ATTTTAAAGAGGTGTTATAAACAAATATTGACTGCTTTATCTCCTGGAGTACATTAGCGTACGACCAGGCAGTCAGAACATTACCTGACGTATTACGGTTAGCCATTCCGGCGCCAATTGGCGTGTGTGACTTGTAATAGAAAACAGCATAAACAACACCAGCCTTTAACCAAAAGAGCCGGGAGGGAATCAGTCCCCCCCCCTCGACATTTTTTTCAATATCTCCGAAGTGCATTTATTTTTCAGCACTTGAGCTTTTAAGACTTTTAGAGTACCGCTTTGCGGTCATTCGGACTGTAATTTTGTGAAAATCAAACCTACCGTTCATATATTACGCAGTGCGCATTTTTTCCCGGCACAGGTCAGCCAAAAATGTATTAATTAAGTCCAAAACTGACCTTGGCTGCGGCAGTGGCGAGACTTGGTAGTCCTGCGGTTCCGACCCATTTTTCACTTCCTTTTCCGCGAAGATATGTGAACGTTTTTATCCGATTTAATGGGATAAGGGCCTCGGATGTACATCCGTATAAGACTCATTACTTTTCAGGTGTGTCTGAGATACCCAGTTTTTCAAAATGGCGCATTAATATTTCTTAATCACGGTGTGTTACCTAATTAACAGACGCAAAACAGTACCACTGTTTATGTACACGTGTCGCACAATTTCGTCTGGGATACCTCCGTAATTGATCTAGGCCGTTGCTGTTTTGCAAGTGGCACATGACTCAATTTTTGTTTCGAGCACATTCTCGGAGTACTGCACTTCAAAACCCTGTCAGGTTTGTAATGAAACTCGTTGATTTTGCTCAGTGAAATCATCCCGTTCAAGTTAGTGATGGACGCTGTATGTAGCATTAAAGGATCAGCGCGTACTATGACCTTTCGACTTCGCCGTGACCCGCCATTGTTAATGTAACTGTGGCAAGTGGGTGGACGCGTATTCGAGCAGTGTGCAGGGATGAGCCAATGGAACTGCAGAGAGGTACGTATATATTACGTCTTCAAAGACTTAAAAGTGGTCTAATGTGGCCTACTGTCTGGTCTCAGCCAACATCAAAATGTTCCCTCGTTTACCAGTCAATACTTCCATACGTCAGCTGTAAGCAGGAGGTTGTCGATCGGTGGTGAGCGTGAGCAGACCTGTCTCGGCCCAGTTCAGCTTGTCAGTTAGCTGCCTTTATGTTCATCGCAACACCCCGATGAAGATTTAGAATGCAGTTATGTTACTGCAGCCTGCAAAAAAAATGAAGTTAAAACGGTTATGTTTTAGCGCTTTTCGCCTTTGAATATTCGACTCCAAATTAAACATCATGGGCTTTTGATTTTCGATCAAAGGTTCGACTTAATATTCGGCGCAGCTCCTTAATGCATTCGAAAGCGACCTCCAGCGGTTGTGGCCGTGGTTGGGGACTGCCACCATGTCGGCGGGGTATCGTTGTCGTAGCGGCCGCTCATCTGGCTACGGCCCTCACCATAATGCAAGTACCGTGTGCTAGCGTACTCTACCTGAATTGGAGGGACGAATTCGAAAGCAGCGCCAAGGACACAGCTGTGGTGATGAGTGTCATGGGGTGCTTGTCGTTGTTTTGTTGTGAGTATATTGCATTGACGGAATGAATGAGCCAGTTTTGTATTTTAACAGCGCATGCCCTGAGTATTTACAAGTGCGTCAGAGATAATTGGAGTCGAGTGCGAAGCCTACCCAGTCATAGCACAGCGCTCACGGGCAGCTCGTGTGCTTTGTTCCCGAATGACTTTTTTTCCGATACGGAACTGGTTAATTGTTTGCACATACATGTACTGTACAATGAGAAGGAGGAACGTAGTCGTTTTCGTGAATCGTAGTCTCATCTGAACAGAACTTTGTCTTTCATTTTATCAAGTCTGTCGTTTTTATAACTGACTCCAACAAATTTAAGAACACCAGCGCCAAAAAAATGAGCAGGGTTTTAAAATTCGAAGATGACTGAGTTTGAGTAGGATGTTTACCTCCCTGTTTTCGTTCGGGACAGACGATTCTTCCTTATTTTACAAACCGCAGGAAATCGATTTTTCAGAATAGGAAAATGTTGGCTTAATTTTTTCTTCATTACCAAGTTGGCTGAGATTTCATAGCTGTAAAGCGATTGAACTAATTTTTGCCGAAACGGTTGCTCTTTTATTTTTTATTTTTCTCCACAGACCATTTTGGTCGGGAGTATAATTTTGTGAAAGGGCCTATATCAGTCCAGTCTGTAATGAAGTTGATATGCAGATGCGCTCTGATAGTTTGCAACAATTATTTTTAATGATGGAATACTAAAGCAAAGAATCACAATTTTGTTCCCGTTGGATTATTCATTGTGTATTAAATGCTGTATTATATTTTTCAGGTCTACCGGGCGGCGTGCTGACGAAACGCTACGGCTGCCGATTTTCAGGGATGCTTGGGGGCGCCCTTTGCTCATTGGGGTTCCTCTGCGGCCACTGGGCCAGCAATCTCGTCTATCTGTACATCGCTGCCGCCATTTTAGGTACAGTGAAGTTGTCATTGAGATAATCGGACATACTGTAGCCTTCGGAGACGCCGTAAACGTGGGTTGCTGGGTAGACAGTAGTACGGCAAAGTCGCGAGACGAACTAAGCAAGATGCACCTTTTCCAGTAGCTTTCCAAAAGGTATCGAGCCTGCGCCGGACTTACTTGATTTGGTTTCCTCCTTTATTCATTTGTCCATCGGGCCGTTGAGCTCTCTGTTGTCTGTCTGTTTGTTTGCTTCCTTGCTTGCCTGTTTTGGGTCAGGGCTTTTGAAAGAGTTGGCAGTATATCACAAGTCGCTTGCCTTGGGATGCCAACATGGGGTTAGTTGAAGAAACCCAGAATGGAAAAATATTTGCTTTGGTACTTTTTATGAGCACCTATTGTCCAACCAGTCATCAATTCGAAACAACTTCCTTTACCCATTTTTTTTTTATTTCACAATGAGGCATATTGGTTTCATGCTCCAAGCTTTTCCATAATCTCTTGTTTACATAAGCCTGTTCGTCTCTTTGTAGGGATCGGGGCTGGCCTTGTCTACAACTCCACAATGGTTGCAGTTGCCCAACATTTCAAAAAGCACTACAAGGCAGCGAACTCTGTCGCCTATGCTGGGTTTGGAACGGGCTCTATGGCTGCCCCGCCGGTCGTGCAACTCCTCCTCGGTAGCTTCGGATGGAGAGGTGCGATGCTGGTGACCTCTGCTTTTGCCGCGAACATGGTCCCACTCTGCGCGTTCTTTCGTCCTCCCGACCCACTGGACAGGTCTAGGCTGGAGCCTGGGCCAAGCGGCGATGAGCTACATCACCGTCGAGGTGCGGAGGAAGACGTGCCGAGTCTGGGTGAAGACGGTGTGTCCGATGCCGGGAAAGAGTGCAGTGTGAGCCTGACTGCACAGGATGGGAACAACGACAGCGAGAGGACGGGGCGTTCGTACTTCCCACACATAATGAGAGAGGGGAGGATCACCAGGATGTGCCAAGGGGCAGTCACCGGTCTTGGTCTGGACACGTTACTAAAAAGCTACCGCTTCACATTGCTGTGCATCGTGGAATTCGAAATCACCCTAGCTTACATGGCCTTTGTTCAATTCGCCATTCCACGGGCCGAGGGGATAGGGGTGGAGCCCTCTAGCGCTGCGTTCCTACTCAGTATCGCCGGCATCGGTAGCCTCCTGGGTCGCCTTGGCAACGGGCTGATGCTGGTCTCGAGGATGTCGGTGGAATGCGTTGCTGGCCTCTGCGTGGTCACGGCCGGCGCCTCAATTTTCTTGATGAACGTAGACAGCTACGCCTCGCTGGCCGTGGCGTCATTCACCCAGGGCTTCACATGCGGGGCCTTATTTACGATTGGGAACGTCCTCGTCCGGCGTTATGTCGGTCTGAGGAGTTTCCCAATTTGCATTGGGCTGTACAATGCCTTTGCTGGTGGTATCGGGTCTTTGCTCGGACCATTTATAGCAGGTAGGTTGGCCAGAAAGAATCTCAAGAGCAGGCTGTCCAGCCCCAATAGAAGTTGGGATGGATGGCCACTTCCGGCTACAGCTATGAATCATTTGTATACAAAGCGTTACTTCACCAATGGTTATAAAGCGCATCAAATGATAAACTGTACCATTGTAAATTAGCAAGTTCCTTTCTAGCATACTAGTAATTGTGATACACGGAGCTAATCCAAACACGCTTGGTTTCCTCTCTCGACAGGTTGGCTGCTTGATTTGACCAGTTCCTATGAGATCGTCTTCTATTTCATGGGCGGAGTTTACCTGGCAACGGCGCCGCAGTTTCTCCTGTTTCCTCTGCTGAAGAGGGTGGAGCCTGGGGTGGACACTACGACATCAGCACCAGATCTGGGCACCCACCCCGGTTTGTAAACGAGGGTCTTACATCAAAGTGCCCACGGGCGAAGCATGCCGGCAATATATTATAATAGGCACCCGTACTGCAAAACGGCTTCAGCAGCATTACGTTGGCCCACAGGCACAAAGGTCAAGTAAAGAGAAGCCGGTCAAGCTTGTATAGCGTGGAGTCGTTGGTATAGCACAGAGGATGTCAGTTGCTCGAAGCCCGAGGTGTCTTTTCATGCCTCTTTTCCCCGTCAGATTTGTTTCCTGTTGGAAAAGATCATTCTCCTAATGTACCTAACGTAATATCCACCCAGAGGCAAACTTTTGCACATCAAAAGACGACATATGCATAACAGCTAGGAAGTCAACATGACAGACTCACCCGCGCTACCACAGGTCTAGCCGGTACATGTACCGGTGCTGCCTGGTCTGATATAAAGTCAAAGAAATTTGGAATGCTCTTGATGGGATTTGGAACCAATGCATAATCCTCAAAGCAAGCCGCATCCCAACCGGGAAACAGCTAGCCCTTTCATTCCTACACTTCACCCAGAGCAACATCCCCCTCACAAGAAGCTTCCATCTTTGTCAGTTGGTGTGGAGGTACCGAAATCACGGCTACACTTGAAGCTTTTGTTGTGACTGCTTGGCGGCATATGCAGAAGTAGATAAGGTCTCCACTGCAAACCATTGTACAGGGTCGACGCCAACAACTTTAGTATGCCTGAAGTAGCTTTCTGTGAATACACTTAACTTAAATTTTACCAAACATTGTCCACGCAAAACTGGGAAGACTCGAGCTACCCAGTGCCACGTTGACGGACACAGACTAATGCACAGGCGCAGGCGCAGGCGCCGCGGCAGGCACGTACACCTAGTGCGCCTGCGCCTAAGCATTACCGTGAACTGCGCAGGCGTATCGCTTGCTCAAATGGCGCTCACGATAATTACACCTTTTGGGCAGAGTTATCCATCTTGCGCCTTCGGCTTCGATCTTTGGTATGAACCGACCTTCACGTGACATAATATTCGAATCGGTCCAACTAAAGAGACTACGAGGGTTGGGCCATCGAATGATTTAAAAGTTCTGTTTACAATGCCCACTGGGCCATTTCATAAAGCTTTACAATAAATTTTATATTCACATCTCTGTAATTATAGTTTGCATCGAAATAGAGTTACACGTATAATTATGTTTAGATTCTCAGTAGATGTGCCCAACTAATTTTGATCACATTTGCCGTATGTGTGTATCAGTTTTAACCGCACATTTGCCCATTTATGGATTTTAAACTTTGGAGCCAATAAACACAATACTAAACATAATGTAAGACTGAGTCGCACATTCGATGGGGTAAATTTGTGCCGAGAACTTAGGTATGAGGGATCACTTGCATCCAAAAACTTGCCGTCTTTGGGAATTCGAAATGTGGGCTGGCAGATTCCTCGACAACACATGACAGTAGGAGGCGAGGCATTGTTCAAGATGCAAATGCAGGAGAGTACTCCACCCGTAAACTTAAACGACATATTTGAGCTCTTGCACTTTTTCTTCGTTTGTCGTCCCGAATCTATTTCTTGGTTGTCTGTAAGTTCCACTGTAAAATTGTACGGTACACTTTGTGTGCATCACGCGGTGCATTTGAGGCGGCTTATTGCTTAGCCTTTCGTCGAGGCCTTCGTGGCTGTGTGTGTGTGTGTGTAACCGCAAAGCGACTGGAGAGGAGACCACAAACACGAGCGGTTCAGCACGAAAACTTGTCAAGAATTTCTTATGTTTTTCTTTGTATTTCCATTTTTGCTACCCCATTGCGGTAGCGAAAATCCGAACCAATCATAAGCGAGGGGTCAGCATCCATTAACCTATTATGCAAATTGAAAGTATACAAAAGATGGCGAGCGTGTCAACGGTGTCGGTGGCCGTGAGTCCAGAACAGTTGTCTGGGCAGTATTTGGACAGTTCTTTAGAATAATCTGTGGAAAAATTTCACCTTGCCGAGCATAAACCGTTGCATCGTTAGGCTACTGAAGAATCTGTACGCGGGCGCGACGTTTTCGTCTCTTTACCCACGGGATATGGTAAGAGTTCCATATTTCAAGCACTACCGTTTTGCTTTGACCATTTGGCCTTACTTGCTAGTGTTACTCCAACGTCAGCACCATCCCCCACCAACAAGCATCATAGTTGTCATCTCACCACTTATTGCCCTCGTGAAAAACCAGATGGGACATTGCGTAAGCTTTGGAGTTGATGCCGTTTATTTCGGAGACTCATCTGCTTCAACTATTTACATGAAATTTATGAATAATTCATATCAGAAAGCTTATGAATAATTCACCTCAAAAACCTCAAAATCAAGTTGGAAAAGGCCCCGTGGCTGCGCCACTCGCCTGGTCCCCTGTCCAGTCGCTTTGCAGTCACACAAAAACAGCCACGAAGGCCTTCACGCAAGGCTAGTTATGGCTGAACTAGCTCCCTGTGTCAGTTTGTCCATTTCTGAAGATGGGGGAATCTTGTTTTTTATCGCACGACCGTCTCAGCTATGTGACTGGACTGAAACCAACAGGACGAGCGATATGACGTACGCTGCGCTGTGTTGCTAAAACCCCCGCCTCTGAAAAAGGTCATGGTAGTGATCAGTAGAAACCAAGTCTTGCAGATGATGTCCATGTCCTATGTAATCATCGAGGAAAGCATATGGCCTAATATTTTTTTTCACATCAGTTCTCTGCCGAACTGTACGTGTACAGGACTCACCGCAGAAATTAAAGTGCACAGCTCGCAGCAGTGCAATGCAGTACAGGCGTACAGTGGTCCTATTAGGTGTGGCGCTAACTAATTTGGCAGGTCAGTTGCGTACACTGCACACTCAAGACGTACATATTGTACATGTACAGTACGATCCATAACCCTGTACAGGTACCTTCACGGTACGTACTAGCTGCTATATTATTTTTTTTGTATGTTATAGAACGTGGCGCACCTCGACTTTCCGTCGACGCTCGACACACAGGGTTTATGGGTGCAGACCAGTAACTAAGCTGCCATTGACAACAGTACGTGATCTCCCCACTTATAAAAAATCTGGAAAAATACTAATAACTTTTTCGTGTGCCCAAGACAAATATCAAATTGAAGCTCACTTCCTTACCTTTCTTTTTCCTTTCAATTTTAGTTGCTTTAGTAACCGAGGAGTTTTGCAGGTACATGTAGGCCTCTTTCTCTAATCACCCCCTTAAAACAGTCATGTGGCTAGTAGAGGACCTCGTTTTGTCCAATACTTTCAGAATTGATTTCATCCTCCTTTACAAACTGTCCAGTCCACGTGCCACGAAGTACTAAAAGATAACAGAGAATTTGACATCCTACAAATTGTGGTTCGGTCCCCGTAGGCAACTTAATTTTAAGGCCTATTTACTAGCCTGCTACCGTCTAGCCGATATGCACCTACAAGATGTGAAAGAGCTTATGCTTCAGTGACTTGACTATTTTAGTTGCATCCCATCAACAACTTCTCCCTGTCAAAATTGAGATATTGCCAATGTGGTCTTGTTTTTTCTTTTGTTTAATTGATCTATCATTCCAGAAAGTACCAGAAGGTTGAGATTAATAAAGATTGTGTTCGCCAACTAAACGAACTCGTTGCCTGTGGCAGCATGTAGATTGGTCAGGTGGTAGATTGGCTGGCAGTAGGGCCTAGCCTAGCCAGGCTGTGGCAAGTCAATGGGAAGCTCAACAGTGTCTGTCGTTTTTGGCTCTGCGAATAACTCCTCAAAACTAAGCTACTTTCGGTGAACCACCCACTTTGGGGTAAGCTAACTGTCTCCCTGGAGACCGTGGATATGTCTAGTCTTATTGTCTAGTTCAAACACTCGTTATTAACTTTGTAATTTCAAGTGAAACCTTGCGTAGGAAATCCGCAGTTGATCGGGGCGAACACACGTACGTATGCACGATGTGCATGGGTGTACATGTACATGTACACTGTACATGAACACGAACGCACACACTGGATGTAGGGGTGGGCGTACATGTACAACGTGTATTCACGTTGTATGACTTTTGACGTACTCGATCTTTAACCTCCACCCGTGAAGTTACCGTATTGTTTGGCCGTTACATTATTTTGTACAAATGGAGCGATGGAGGCACCACCTCTCCATTATTTTGAAGGGCAACATCTCCACCACTCCATCCTGCAAAATAATGGAATTTTTGGTTACTTATTTTTGGAGGACTGTTCACTGACAATAATTCTTAAAACGTTACAAAACTGGTTTTTGTACCAATAATATTATTTTATGTAAATGTACCATTTGTTTCAAGGTGCATTGTACCCAAACTATAAACAAGCTTGACAAGTCTCATGTCTTAATGTTTCAAAGCTCCAGCTGATTTGTAAGCAGTAATTTTGATGCGAGGCAGATTTAGTAAAATCGTGTATTTCTTAAACTCACCTAATTTTATGTTGTACGGTTTATCAATACATGCAAATCATGCATTTTTAACCAAAATACATGACATAAACAGCAGGTCTTAGATGTTTAAATTTACTGCGTTGGACCTGGGTCTACCTCGTTGTCGTACACTCAAGTTGCCGCACTTAATTGTACGGAGGGAGTGGTTGTGCGATGTCCCAGAACACGTGCACTTTTGCACAAATCTGACACGGCAGAGGAAAGTTTATGACACCCCAGTTGCTGTGCAGTGTACCACACATCGCCTTTAGGATCAGCCAGAGGTCTAAGGTAGCAGGTGTCTGTTGCTCGGTCAGCTGGACAATGCTGAAGATACTTTTCATACAGTCTCACAATGCAGCGAGACGGATTGGCTTTGTTTTTACGAGCCTCAACAACTGTGGACTTAATTTGGCGGCGTTTTAGCCCTCCTTGGTTTGTCTTGGATACATCTTCAAAGTATCAAAGAAACTTCCCACCGTCCCCGTCTGTGTGAACAGAAAGCTGCGAATTGTGGTGTAGTGGATTCCTGTGTTTTTGACCCCCGCGTAGTGCAAAGTTTAATCCAATGAGGTAAATCAGTGTGTTCAACAACTTGGTCAGGTTATCGCTTCCTAGAACGCCAGCTGACCACATTAGTTCCTCCTCCCCCAAGGTTATAACCTCAGCTTGCTTACGTCGATTCCCCAAACCCTCCTTGGCACGATCCTTCGTAAAGTCCATCCAGTGTATTCTTGATCTGTAAGAAGTCAGGATCTTGCAGGAATTTGTAGGCTGAAGACAAATCACGACTTCGTGAAGTGTTGGTCCTGGAAATTTCTCTCCGTTTTATTTGTTCACCTCGCACAGAAATCTTGCGCTAGAATAATGAAGCTCATCCTTGATCATTCCTCAAGAAGAATATTGATAGAACTTATGTTCAGTGTTGGGCAGTTGATGGCTCGCTGGTTGCGCTGACCTTGCCATTGCCGATAGAGTCCTAACGCGCACTTAATCTTCTTCATAGTGTTATCCGAAAGTCTGAAAAAGAAACTAGAGAGTAACTTTTGGGTCCAAATATTACATATGTTCAGCGCAATCTTGACCTTTGCACAAACTCTGTACTCTCGAGTTGTTTTGCCAAATGGGACAGATGAAACTAGAAATCGTACCGAAGGAACCTTTATACGCAAAACACAAATTAATGAACGTTTCTGGCAAAAGCAAAATAAGTGGTCTAGGAAAGATTTTACTATTGTACCCAACCAAAAATGGCCATAAACTGAATAATCTTAGAAAAGAGCCAACTTCCCTCGATAAAGTGTCAAAATACATGGCACAACCTATTAGTTCAGGGTTCATGTAAGTAAAGTCTAAAAAAACAGTTGGAACTAACATGCATTTTGCACACCGAGTGACCCTGCACTGTGCACAATGTCACCAACCCATCAGTTATGCACAGTATACCCTACATAACACCAAACGTCTCGACAAAATTGTTAACCTGACAGGTTTTTCAATGTGTTTACAATTCGGAACAAGAATAAGTACTTATTTTCTTAAATTGTTCGGTTGGTAACCATTTTTGGCGGGGTAGAATTTTAAAACACCTTCATTTTTTTAAATGTATTGTTTTTCTAGGGGAATGCTTACATTCTTGTACTCATTTGTGCTATTTCTTCTTCTCAAATTGGTTCGTTTGGATGACTTTTTCCTCTAATGCTAGGGACGCTGCAAGGAGCTCATTGTCAGATATATCAGATACTATCGGCTGGGAGCTTCAGTTTTCGAATTTTACTGTGGTAGGATTTTGTAAGTCTAATGCATCAGCTACGGCATCATCAGTGTGATAGGGTGAGTTGTTGGCTCATTATATATTTATTATTAGGGATTATTTTAGACTAAATTTTGTTATTTTATTTCAGTTGTAACATGAAACAAAGACTCGCTGATTTATTGTCACTGTTATATTTCCACGTTTTTCTTATCGGGTTACCTGAGGTGCAAAACTAAAAAAGGAATCTACCAAACATTGAAGTGTTCGTGTCCTTACTAGAAGTCCCCCTGCAGAGGTACATCACCTTTACCCCCTCCCCCGGATCTTGTCAACCAACTCCAATCACTACATTATCATCATTGTTATTTAATATCATTATTACAATTATGTATAAATTGTCCTAAGACATACTTGGATGCAACGTAGTGAAGTTTTTGCAGGTCTGTCGATAAAGCAAAAAAAAAATTCGTTCCGGAAGAGGAAGGATGCGCTATGCACAAATCATAAGAGTTTTCGCAGCAGAATATTGTTTGCGAACTGCAATAATGTTTCCCACTCCTCATGAACTTCTAGTTGGTTTTGTCTCTCTTGATGATATTCCCGCAGGGACACCTTCATGAGAAAAAGAACGTTTTAGACGTAGTAAAACAGTACATATTTGATACGAAAAATGCAACAAAAAACCTATTTTGTCAAACCCATATGGAAACCTTTTGTGCCAAAAGGACCCCATAAAAAGGCATGGTTGAAGCTGCTATGCACAGATGACCTTGAATTCCCCTTGCTCTGTGGAGAGCTACTTCCCGGGACTGTCATGTACATCCTGTTTACAGCGTGTACATGTAGGCGCGTGTGCGCCTATGTACGACTAGTCATTGCCAGTCGAGCCAAAAGAAACGCCCAGTTTAGATGGGTATGTCTTTTTTAAAGAAAGAAACGCGAGTGATTTCTTGAACCAGTCACAATGATTCTTATTTGCCAGGCAAAAGCTTGCATAAGAAACGCTTTTTGGAATTAGGCCGTACGATGGCGCTGTTAAATAATACGACGAGTTAAACTTAGGAGTTGCATACCAAAAAGGGATTTCACACTGGAAATAATCCCGATTTTGACGATAAATGTGACATTTGACATGAAATCAGCGGGCCTAAATGATTAAAAAATTTCACTTTAATGCTTATTTTCTGAAAATATAGTATCTTAGCTTCGTGCTCCTTCAAAAACTAAGAGATATTGTGAAAATTATTCCTATAATGACGAAAGATACAAATAGGCCCGTTTTTTGGCAGTTTTTCCATTGACGTGCAGCAGGAAGTGAACTCTCGTAGGATTAGTTCCCCAAAGGAATCGATATGTGTTAAAGTTTAGTCAGCAACGTTTAAAAACATGATCAAATGTTGACATGATTTCTTTACGGGAAGTTCAGTCCGTGGTACAATTTTCACTGCTTAACGCTTATTTCAGTTTATTTCACGAAAACAAAATGCGCTGTTTCATCACAAGGAGTGATCACGAGATCATAAAATACCCTTTTGTGTAAATTCTGTAATAATAATGTTTCAAATAAAACACAAAATCTTATGAACAACTTGGCTATTTATTCCCAAAATAAGTCCAGAATAGAGCGTTCGATAAGGGCAAACTGCGTATGAACAGTTCAGGTACACAGCCTAATAAAAGCAACTACACAAGCATTAAATTTGATGTTGTCAGATCATACCAAGCCCCAACGATGGCATGAATATTCAACTTCCTATATACTGTAGTACACAACGATGTAAAGATGCAGATTATACCATTAAAAATTACGGCGATGACCATGGGGTACAAAGGCGGCGTATGGTTTTGAAACAGGCGGCGCGTAGCAAGGATGCGCTGCGCTTTGGCTATATGGACATACCTGTGTAACCGTCTCATTTTTCCGGCGTGCGCGGATTTCCGGACGAACGCACCAGATAATTAGCACGTTGCCGCAACGTGCCCACTCATCCGGTGTGCTTTTTCTTTTTTTTTAGTCTTTCTTGATCATAAGAGTTACTAGTCTTTCATGTTATTTAAAGTTAAACCTGGCAAAAATTGTGAAAATGAAGCACAAAGTTAGGTAAAAAAAGGAGATATTTTTTCGTAATTATCTTTTTTCTTAAAATTAACATTTTCACTTCTTGGATTATTTTCTGGAAAGCTTTCTTATCGGAAGCTTTTTAATCTCACCATTTGATAGATTCTTGGCGATTTATTCACACACGAGTTCTTCGAGGGAAATGGCAGGACAAATCCCTCACATGGGTCACCACCGATATGCGTCATCTGCTACAATATCAGTTTTCAGGCCCACAACCATACACAAACTAAATGCGCGCACAGTCTATTGAGACCAAACTTACGTGACGTACAGTGCAGATGTACTTCTCGGTCCGTGAAGGCTAATTATAGCACGCGTATTGTAGGAGCTGAAGTATACGTGCGTATGTTTATGTGTACATTTGCCATCAAAAAATACCCTCCAAAACCACAATTCCCATGTTTAAAATGCACACTTTCCAGGGAGGGAGTCCAAGCCTTGTTAAATGATATGGTCAGCTGACACAGTAGGCCTTTGCATGGTCAGCTGACATAGTATGGTCAGCTGATACATGGTCAGCTTACCAGTGGCGTAAATCAGTGCCGAAAATATGGGGAATGGGGAAAGGTGGGATGGTATGACTTGCCCAGCCATAAACTTTTGAAAAGCGCCGGGGGTGACACACGACTACATACTGAGATCGATGTTCATGATATTGACGTACAATTGTAACATATATTCAGATTTTTATGGCTTTTTAATTGTTTTCCCTCTTTGAGTGATATTGATTATTGAACGATTATTGATTATTGAACGCACCTTAGTCGCTGGAAGTCTAAAAAGTTATTTAAAATCATCTTTAATATTTTGCTCACCCCCGAAAAAAAGTGTGACGGGTTGTATCAACAGCCCATCCCCCACCTCAAAGAGTGCGGGACATTTTATATATATCCCATCAGCCCCGTGATTTACGCCCACGCAGCTGGCACTGTGTGGTCAGCTGATATAGTATTGTCAGTTGACATAGTATTGTTACTTGGCATAATTATAGTCAGCTGACATAAAGTATGTTCGGCTGGCAAGGGTCAGCGACACAGTATGCTCAGCTGACATAAAATAGTCAGTTTATATAGTATGGTCAGTTGACATAGTATGGTTACCTGAAATGAGTATGGTCAGCTGACATTTTGTTCAGCTGACATAGTATGGTCACCTGACACTTATCGGTAAACCAACAACTTTGAGCTTGTCACGCATAGGGTGGCAAAAAATGTTTCACTAACAGAACCTTTTTTTGGAGCTGTGGACTACTTTGAACCAAGGATGATCTCACAACAAGACTGACCCATCCTTGGCAATTTGGGTAGACTGACATAAAAATCAGCAAAATTGGTACCGGCAACGTAGCGTGGCCATGTAATTAAGCATTGTCTATTATATCCTACCAGCCGATTCATCCCTAAGATCTTGGACTGAATAAAGCACGTGGCCACCATTTCCTTCGTAGTGTCTTTGGGCCTACTTGTAATCTTACGACGGAACGTACTGTGCATTAAATTCTTATTTTGCCTGTTCCTGCACAACGCATTATTATTATTGTTATAAATAATAATTATCATTACTATTATTTTTATTTATTTGACCATTCAGAACAGATACTGGTAAGACGATATTCAACAAACATAAAAATGAATGGACTAAGCAAAAGGACATTACAAATAACAAGAACAACCCACTCCAGGCCAGGATTGACAAAAGTTTACTCAGACTCTATGACCCGAAAGCCTGTCATTGTAAATTGCAAGCGGGTGGACCGAAGATTTCAGACCTTATAAGTTTTTACACATTTATCTGTGACTAACAAGCCCAATTAATTAGGGCTGAGACGGCTCGAATAATTCAGTATCCAAATATTAATTTTGACCTTCGAATGTTCGTTAATACATGTACTAGATTCCCGCATACCTGTTTACCAGCTTGTCAATCAGCTGCCTTCAAATTTCAAACATCAAAGACAAATTTTCCCATTTTGTGTTTCAGTGCATTTCACCTTCGAATATTCGATTCCGAACTAAAACGTTTGACCGTTCAGCTTGAGATCGAATGTTTGAATAATCGGCGTAGCTCCGTAATGAATTCGAAAGCGACCACGAGTGATTGTGGCCGGGGTCGGAGACTGGAAGGATGTCGGCGGAGCATCGTTGTCGTAGCGGCCGCTCATCTGGCTACGGCCCTCGTGACAATGCCGGTATCGTGTGCTAGTGTACTCTACCTAAGCTGGAAGAACGAATTCGATAGCAGCGCCAAGGACACAGCAGTAGTGATGAGTCTCGTGATTTGCATGACATTATGTTGTTGTGAGTATATTCCACACCCAAATTGAACTCTGTTCAAATATCGTCGGTCGTACCACGATCTGACCTATCTCAGTTTTTGACAATTCGAGAAAAACGCGTTTGAAGTTGGGTCCGTTTTCGATCTTTCATTTCCCCCACAATACTAACTTTTATTGACACAGATTCCGTATTTTAATAAAGTTAGATAGTTACATTAATATATGAGATATTTTTGGGAGAAAAATCTTCAGTACTTGGTCAAAATGAGGCGCCAAACCCATATGTCATTTTGTTAAATTTTTTGTCATATTTTATGAGCGCAAAACTGCGACCTATACAGATGGGTCACTTTGTGGAACAAAACATTTCGACTTTTCTGTGGCTGACAGTGACCTATGTCGTTTGTGCATGCGTAAAGGTGTACGCCAACCATCTCATCATTCAAACTTACTTTTCGATGTAAAGGCCACCCAGGGTCAATTTTCTGAAGATACTTTGAACGCCTCCATAAAAAACAATTAAAATAATATAGGGCCTGTCAATGACATACATTTAAAAAAAATCTACTGTTTTTCCTATAATAATGCTTGAAACGTAAAAACTGCAAATATTTTATGGTTGCTCGCTACCTGACCGAATAATGCAGGGCATATACATTGAAAGCACAATTGGTAAGCGTGGGCATCTATCACCCCCACTTGTGATGAAGAAATTTACTCTGCTGCGCTTTACTCTTTTGTGACATTTATTTTAACAAAATTGGAATCAAGCAAAGGATCTCAGCTTATCTCCGATAACTTGCCACTCTTTTTGTTTGTGTGTGTGTGTGTGTTTTTTTAGGTCTACTGGGTGGTGTGCTGACGAAACGCTATGGCTGCCGATTTTCAGGGATGCTTGGGGGCGCCCTTTGCTCATTGGGATTCCTCTGCAGCCACTGGGCCACCGATCTTGTCCATCTGTACATCACTGCCGCCATTATAGGTACAGTGAAGTTGTCTTTGAGACCGTTGGACAGATATACTAGCCTTCTGACAATACTTTGAGACGCTGTTAAGGTGACCTGCTATTTGGACTGTACGGCAAAGTTGCGACACGAACTGAACTGAGACTATAATTGTACACATCTGCCGTAGCTTGTCAGAAGGTGTACATGGAAACTTCACGGGACTTGAGTTTTCATGTTTTTCGTTTGACTACTTAGTGCTAGCTACGGCGTTAAAGTTCCAAACTGAATAAGTATGAAACCAAATTGCTTGCCTTTGGGTGCCATATGAAAGTAGGTTGAGAAGATACACAGAGAAGAAAAACCACCCTTTGATACTTTGTATCGTATCATTGCTTTCAGCTTGTGAACAACTGAACGATGCCCTTTTACAATTTTTTGTTTCAAATTTTGATTCCACACAAGCATTTACTTTACACGTCGATCACGTCCAGGATCTCATCCCGTATAATTACCACCAATACCCGATCCATCCCGACTAAACAGTCTTGGTGATATCGGGAGAATCTAGGTCCAATTCGCTGTTTGAATTAAACATATGTAACGAAGAACTCAATGCAAATTGGAAGTCTGTACTGGTTGCGACTTAGTGCAGAATAAAACCGGGTAATGGTTTTTGTGAAGAATAATTTACCGATAATTCTGGCAAGTTCAACACCAGGCATGACTCTGTCAAACTTGTGCATGCTGTAAGAATGTCCAGAAATAGTTTCAAAAAAATAAACCAGGAATTGCAATTATTTCTTGCCGAATCGCCTCGACAAATGTTTGAACATGTCTAATATAGGACGCTTCCTGCTCTTCAGAAATATTTAACCAAACTCCCAGAATCATTCCGGGAAAGCCAAGAGCCATTGCCTGGTCTCCTCAAGACCTGCTGCCGTGGCAGTTCGGCTTCAAGTTGTCAATTTATAAAAAGCCCCCTGATCGAGGTGTGCTTCGTCTCTCTCTACTTAGGGACCGGGGCTGGCCTTGTCTACTGCTCGAGCATGGTTACAGTTGCCCAACGTTTCAAAAAGCACTACAAGGCTGCTAATTCTGTCGCCTACGCTGGGTTTGGAACGGGCACCATGGCTGGCCCACCGGTCGTGCAACTCCTCCTCGATAGCTTCGGATGGAGAGGTGCGATGCTGGTGACCTCCGCGTTTGCTGCGAACATGGTTCCACTCTGCGCGTTCTTTCGTCCTCCCGACCCGCTGGACAGGTCTAGGCTGGAGCCTGGGCCACGTGGCGATGAGCTACATCACCTTCGAGGTGCGGAGGAAGACGTGCCGAGTCTGGGTGAAGACGGTGTGTTCGATGCCGGGAAAGAGTGCAGTGTGAGCCAGACTGCACAGGATGGGAACAACGACCGCGAGACGACGGGGTGTTCGTACTTCCCACACGTAATGAGAGAGGGGAGGATCACCAGGATGTGCCAAGGGGCAGTCACCGGTCTTGGCTTGGACACCCTACTGAAAAGCTACCGCTTCACTCTGCTGTGCATCCTAATATTCGGATTTCATATGCCTTACACGGCCTTTGTCCAATTCGCCATTCCACGGGCCGAGGGGATAGAGGTGGCGCCCTCTAGCGCCTCCTTCCTGCTCAGTATTGCCGGCATCGGTAGCCTCCTTGGTCGCCTTGGCAACGGGCTGATGCTGAACTCGAGGGTGCCAGCGGAATGCGTGGCTGGCCTCTGCATAGCCACGGCCGGCGCTTCGATCTTCCTGATGAACGTAGACAGCTACGCCTCGCTGGCCGTGGCATCGTTCACTCAGGGCTTCACATCCGGAGCCTTATTCGCGATTGTGAACGTCCTCGTCCGGCGTTATGTCGGTCTGAGGAGTTTCCCGATTTGCATTGGGCTGTACAATTTCTTTGCCGGTGGTATCGGGTCTTTGCTCGGACCAATTTTAGCAGGTAAGTGCCCGATAAAGAATCCAATGTTGAACCAGCTATCCAACCTGTAATGAAAGCAAGGAAGGGCAGACTTAAAAAGTCTTATGGAAAGACTCAATTCGTTAGTTCACGCACATGCATGTTATGGCTGCAGCTCGAATAACACGAACACCTATGGAAAGCAACTGTAGCTACTACTCAAAGGCAAAGACTTCCGACTTACGGCATGGAGGATTAATACCAGGCCTTACTGGTCGAGGGATAAATTCAAATGTTAAAAATGGTACTCTTTATAATAGCAAGTTTCTTTCTGGCATACTGGTAATGTGATATACCAGTCGAGCCAATCCAAACACGTCGGGTTCCTCTCTCGACAGGTTGGCTGTTTGATGTGACCAGTTGCTACAAGACCGTCTTCTTTGTCATGGGCGGACTTTACCTCGCATCTGCGCCGCTGTTCCTCCTATTTCCTCTGCTGAAGAGAGTGGAACCGGGAATGGGCACTGCGACATCGGAACTCGATCTGACCACCTGACGTGGTTCATAATTACAGGATATTACAGCAAAACACCGAGGCATGAAGCGTGCTGGCAGTGTATTATAATAGGCACCAAAGTTGCGAAACGGGTGGGCGGGCTTACGTGGAGTCCTTGGGAATAAAAATGGGTAACACAGGGTGTCAGTGGTACGAATCCAGGACAGTCCTTGTCACGCTTTTCCCTTCGGATTGGCTTCCTGCTGCAAAAGTTGCTTCTCCTAATTTACCCACAATAATGCCTACCACAACAGGCATAATAGGCTGTCTTTCTTCTGCTCCACTGATGCAGCCAGTACATGTACCAGTGCCACTGGTCTGATAGGCCAAAGCCTTGAAATACGCTTGCATGGAGTCAGAGCCACTGCATATTCTCAAAGTAATCCACATCCCCGACCGGAAGAAAAGTCCTTTCATTCCGAAACTTTACCCAGAGCACCCCCCCCTCAAAAAGGCTCAAAGTTTTGTCACTTTGTGTGAAAGTCCCAAATCACAACACTCGAAGCCTTTGTTATGACTGCTTGGCGACCTTCAGATGTTGAAATGATCGCCAAATCAAATCAACCAGGATCGACACTGTCACCACTAACTGCAAGCTCCTTGACCCCAGTTTAACGAACTTAAAAGCTTCAGAAAGAAACAACTAACGACAGAAATAAGGAAGTTATTCAGTTATTAAGTGTATTCACAAAATTAAGCTATTTATAATGTTAACAAAGATTTGGAGTCGTGAATCGGACTTCTCAATTTCTTCAGAGGTTCCCTGCTACTTCGGAACTTTCCTCAGCAATATCAATTTAACAAGCTTTATTTAAAAAGTCACAGTTTTCTTTAGGAATGTCTAAACGATGCCGGTCCTCAAGTACAACACTCTCAAACATTCAAAATTCAGTGTCTCTAGGTTTCAGTTCAATCAGATTCGTTCAGCATCATAATTCACAAGACACAGGTGTATACAATTGTGACTTCAAATGCTGACTTAAGCTTCGAAATGAATTTGATAGGTCGTCCAGGTTTTGCTAGCTGTACAGATCTACACGTACATTAAACTTTTACGCCTGGCCCGAGTCGTTAATTGTGCAAATCTTCGGTTGGGTGCAAACTATTGTTTTTTTTTCATTCACATGCATATCAAGTTCCACAAAGCGACATAAAGTTGGCGCCATCAGTGGAAAGTAGGGTGCACGCACACTCATGCCCTGCTGAAAAGTCCAGCTGGATTTATATTCATCAATTAGCCGTGCAGCTATGGAATCCCATGATCAAATGCTATCAGTATTATTACTGTATACAGAGTTGTGGAAATTTTACGCCACCCACACGCAAGTGTGGCGAGTGGCTAATTAGGAAACCACAGTTCGCTTTCTCTTCGAAAGAAGACCACTTGACCACCTAGGAATTTCATGCTTTAATCACCGAAGGAGAGGGCTTAATTTGGAAAATACACGCATTCAGAATATCATCTGGAAAGTCCTGAAAGGTAATTTTTAAACAATAAATCTTCCCTTGTGTGAAGTGTATGAATTGTCATCTTCATAGTTATTTCTCAAAAAAGTGTACTTTGATAGCAGTGGGAGAGTTTTAACTGAGGGTAAACTGAAAGTCAATTGGTTAAATGTAGATTTTTAAAACACATATACATATCGAAATTCTACATTAGATATAAGCCGTATTGGTGTCCATTCACTGCTGTCTACCGCTTGTCATAATAATAGATGACAACAAAAGATCCGCTGTGGAATAGAGATGGGTTACTGCACTACAGATTATATTGATAATACATATTTATAATGTTCACTTTTGCCAGATTCAGTACGTGGCTAACAGAGACCTCTAGACAAGACAAATAATGAGGGGAGCATTTTAGATTTCGCGTTTGCCCTTTAAAAAATAAATTGTCCAAGGGGCTGATTCTACAGATCTTACTTGAAAGGGAAACAAAGCAGTGGGGTCCAGAAACCGGAAACGCCCTGTCTACACAACTCTACTTAGAGCCATTCCTGTGGATAGGTATACAGACAGGTTTCAAAAAGGTTCGTTTTTTCGTTTAGATCTTCAATATTTTTATAACATGATGATTTTAACGAATGAAGTACGGAAATTATAAAATCTTGTTAACGTGGAGTGTGTTGTTCCCACGCTTTTCCTACTCGCAAAGCCTCATATAATCCCACAGATTGTTTCCTCTTTAGGAAACATTTGTGTAATCATCAATGAAATCCTTACATCCCGAGCAAAAATACATTTACATGTTTTCGTTTACAAAAACTCGTGCAGTATATTTTTGAATTTAAGAGGTGGGATTACTTTTTCCAAGAATAGTTTATCGCGTACATGTACGTTTGTTTAAGCGGTCATTTCTTAAACCTCCCAGTCCAATGGCACAGCAAGGTCGTTTTGATTGGAGTAGAAATATGAAAAAAAGCTACAGTAGGTAAAAGGTGGGCAAACTAGTGCTTAATCTCATATTGACTTTGACTAGATATGGAAAAATTTGCTTTAACAACAAAATAATGTAGGCCTAATTTGCCATGCTGCACTCAGTCCGAGCAAGCTTTGTGAATTGAAGTTGTCTGCGCGGAGTTCTGACATGGGCAAATTTCTGTTTCTTGCTTAGCACGCAAATTAATGCAACAGGTCAGTGAAATGTGGCCCAGCGGTAAGGCCGATAAGGCTTAACCTACCAGCAAGCATGCGCGCTGCCTAATTAAGTCACGTGTGACTGTATACAGGCTGAACAGCATGGGAAAATAAAAAAGTACAGCGGAAACGTGTTTCAAACGACAAGTACCCGATATTTTCACTGTAATAAATGTCACCAGTAAATTATAGTGTTTTGATGGGTAAGGGGATACCATAGGAAATTGTAAGGCGTGTGCATGATGTAACGACTTCCTGTGGCAACATCTGTTCGATTCCACTTGCGAGTCGACGCTCTGCAGAACTGATGTTCCTCTCATTATCTTGAGTGACTGTGTATCGTGTGTTGAGACACTCGATACATTTTTGTTAAAAGAGATGTAACAGTTGGTGACCTGGAGACTTTGGCTTATATAGGGGCAAGGCCTCGCGACAGCAGGGACGCGCCGCTGCTATAACTACCTTAACGTTCTACTACGTAGTCAACGATTCGACTGTCTTGTCGCGAATGAACTTCAAGGCTATGAATTTCGCCATCGCTTCTTTGGTGTTGAGTGCTGTTCAGGCGAATATTTTTTGTAAGTTTCAAGTGGCTGTGGAATGTTTGCGTGCCATTAACGGGCACAGACTTTACCAAGAGGCTTAGCAATGGTTGTAAATGTTGCTGAGTGAAATTCAAAAAACGATCCTGTTTTTATATTCCTGCACAATGGCCAAAGCATGACCACTCACATCGTGCATGTTGTTGCTGTTTTTATATCAAATATAATAAAACTGTTTCATCGCAGTTTGGGGGCACGGCCCCCTTGCTCCCTGGCTACACCCAGAATACCAGGTGATTTGAGAGATTAAGCCAAAAGGTATGAGCAGTGTTGAAGTGATTGAAACACCAAAATATACGAAACAACTGCATTGGCAAAAAATATTTTATCAAACAGAATGTTCCGTTTCTCACAAACGTTCAAAAGTAAAGACATCTCTAGTAAAAAATAAAAAGAAATTTGCATAAGATCTGACAGTAATCTACCTGCTATTTAGATTTCGGTCATGAGCTTGGCCGAGCTGAAGATGAGCCATTTGAACGACGGTTCGATCAACTTGAAGAGAGGAGAACGGGCCGGGGTGTTGCCTGGGATACATGGGACTGCCAAAATGTCACCCTTCTCCCCGATGACATCCGTGCTGAATTTCCCTTGGCCAACTTCTACCGTAAGTACACCCACGCCTACGGCATCCCTATAATCTCGTCGGACGCGCCGCAGGACGCGGCGCTGACCCGGGCCTGCTACGTGGTGCGCTTCCTCTTGGCCGATCGCAAGGACGTGCGGGACGCCATGTACGACTCATACGGCCGGGTGGGCGTCATCGGCGAGCACGAAAAGACCACTGACATCCCTGAGCACAGCTACCTGAGCGACTTGTGGAACCAGCGGGCTAGGGCGCTGGGCGGCATTCCGAGCCGGCCGATTTCGACCGACGGGGAGGAGAATCTTCTCTGCGCGGACTACTGGCACGACGGCTGGTGGGAAGAGGATGTACTGGTGCACGAGTTTAGCCACGCCATCCACCTCGTCGCGCTTAGGGAAGCCGATGCGACCTTCAACCAAAGACTTGAGGACACCTACCGGGAAGCTACGCAGGTCAAGGGGCTCTGGAAGGGCACTTACTCTAGGCAGAACCACAGAGAATACTTCGCGGAAGGGGTGCAGGCCTTCTTTAACGTGAAGACGCGTAAGGAATTCATCGACGACGTGAATAACCTCATTTACACCCGGGAGGCGCTTCACGACTACGACCGGCCCCTTTATGACCTGATTGCAGAGGTGTTTCCGTGCAAGAACATCATTGTCGATAGATGCGACAACCAAGGTGAGTTATTTGCCAAAACGTGAGAGGTATTACGTGACAAGTTAAAATGAGAGTTATTTACTCTCTCACACTCCTTCATGAGTTAGCAGACTGTTAATTACAAACGAATATGCACGCAACTGATCCGCTGTTGGTTTGTACAATACTCGCGCATTAATCCTCGCGGTTTCAAGAATCTGGCTCATTGCCAAAGCGTATAGCACCGTTCAACGTTAGGCTGGTTCCTGTTTAGACATTATTTTCCTCTTTATTACTGGGTAGGAAATATGAACTGTTTTGAAGCTTGTTGCACCAATAGAAGGCTCTGTTGCTTAATTACATTTCCGAATTATTTGGAGAGAAATTAGATGATTTTAGAAAAGTCTCAAAATCAGGCTAACCTCATGTCATTTGACCACTTTGCTCTTTTCTCTGTGCTAAGTTAAATGAATTCTCTTTCTACATTCCCCCCCCCTCCTCATTTATCTCACTGATACCCATTCTTGTTCTTTCTACAATCTCAGATCTGGCGGCCAAGCAAAAACTTCGCATGGACTGTGACTAATTGCAGAGAACATGCAAGGAACGCCGTATTCATCACACGTATATTCACATACCGTCGCCTTGCTGTAATAATGATGAACGGACCTTTTACAGAAAGAAATGCCACGGTATAAAGGACGCCAATGATGTATTATAATAGGCCCCCGAGTAACATTATTCAATAGCACGATGTGGGGTCGTGCGCGCGGGAGTAGTTGGTATAGGAAAGGAATGATATGGAGGACGCCCTTGGTTGCAATTCGCAGTGCTCACTTTTCTCCCCCCCCCCTTTATTTTGATTTTCGGTTTGTTTCCTGTTGGAAAAGATGATTTTTCCGGTTCGTTTTGTACAAGGGTAAAACGCTGTCTTGATTACGTTATCGACGTTGAGGCCCAAAAAATTCTCCGGTTTCTGGCCATTGCGCGCGTCGCCAAAATAAAGATTTTTTTTTATTTTCCATAAAACGATTTCCAGAAGCCGCCGAACTTGCATGATCGGCAGGAATTCTGCTACCGTGTAATTTTAACGTGTTTTTGATGGGTGCGGTGGAGTAATATGTACGGTGAAGGAATCCCCCCTAGGCCTCCATACATTTCAGTCGAGCGCTCTTATCAGATGACGTCATTGATGTATCTTTACACGAAGACAGTGTCCAAATCAGTTGGCTACGGCTTGATTTTGCGCATGATTCTATGGGAACTGGCTGTGGATGCTGCCAAATACTCGGTGTAATTTCCGGCCGTAGCTAATTGATTCGGACCAGGCCCACATCTGTGAGCCAGACAAACGAAGTGGTCTTAACGTCCTGGTCACGTATACAAATTGAAAACGCTTTTAAGCAACAAACTGTGAGGGGCCAGTCTATTTCAGTGTCGGCGAGGCAGTGGCGGTACGCATGCAGTGCATGCAGTGGCGATGAACATCGCGTTATGACAACCATACATGTAACGAGTCATGCATCGTCACTTGCCAAGAACTAAGGTAGATTAGAGTGGGAGGCGATTTTATTTTCGGAGCTGAATTTTTATATGCAGCTTGTTTCTTATAACCTAAACAAGAAAACAATGAGCACAGTTTATCATTTACCTCATGAGAAGTTTATTTTCATTTTGACTCTGGAACTGAACTGTTTTCATTTTTTTCTTCATGGGCTATTTGACGTGCAACTTGTTTCCTCTAAGCTAAAGCAGAAAGCAAATTGTGCAAAAAATGTCATATACTGCTACCTCGTGAGAATTTCATTTAAAACCGGAGTCTAAAGTATATGGAATGTACATCACTTCTAAAGAAAAAAGGAGGAAAAAACCACGTCACTGCATCACCTTTGGACAAAGCCTATGACCAGAAACCGGAGTCTTTTATCTTTCCTTAGCCTGCTTATTCGTTGGCTCTGTGACGCATAATAAGGAGATATATTATTTACTCGTTTTGATTACTGGCATGTAAAAACATCATTTTATTAACGGCGGCATAGTCAGATCAGACAACAACATATCCTTGAGCGACCAGGGGCCGTAGTGAAATAGTTGAAAACAGGCATCACTGCTAATTCTAATGCAAAGAATACATTTATTTTACGTTAATGTTACATTCAGTATTATTCAGTATTCTTAACACTGTTTTATTGTATTCAAGGTCTGACCACATTTAGTACAGCCTGTTTCAATGGCCCAGTTTTCTTCTTTTTAATTTTGCGTTATTATAATTTACTAATGCTTAATAATCCTTCTTGTGTTTGCTTACCCTTTTCTTTGTAGATTCTCTCGTCGATTCTTGTAACCAGTTATGGTACCAAGTACTGTCGAAAATGGTAACTTTGCAATTTTTATGATTGGTTTGAGACAATGTCTTTTAGAGATTACTCTGTGGCAGCTCAGAGAGGACCTTTTTTTTCTTAGTATAATCAGATCATCTCATTTCACGCTTAGAAACCTTGATCATACCAGCAACTCATAGGCAATTAGAATTTAATCTATTTCTTCAATAACTTTAATATATTCAATAACACGCTAAATGCATTATTTATCAAGACTCCGTTGCACTAATCCATACGTCTCAAGAGAAGTCACTCGGCGTACATTTTAATAAAGACATTATTTGCCCTCTCGCACACTTGATACAGCGTCGATAGACACCGATTAACTCAAGGCCTCTAAACGTCTCCATAAATTATTCAAATGGAAAGATTGTTTAGATGCTGCTTTGTAAACGTAACTGATTTGTGTTGTCCGACTGACTTCAGTGACTACAACGTACAGCTGGAGGCCATGCTTACACGAAAAGCGCATGCGTGACAGGACGACCGGGTTGGATTATATTATTATTTACAATGTAAGGCGGAATGGTGTCTACATAAGTACTTGCGTAAGAAAGTGCACCTCTGCCAAAACCCATTTCAGCGGGTACCGTTATCAACCTCTTTGGTAGGCACACGCTAGGCTACCGTGTTCAGCCTGAGTATCACCTAAAGAAACGTCCGACGGAGGTAAATATAAAAGCCCATCAATTACTGTTATTTGCAGCTTCAGGAACTTAAGGTCAATGGTTCCACCCATTGTTGTTGTTGTGTTTTTTTTTAATATATTTTGCCCACTATTTTTATAGACCTGATTGGGTCTTAAACAAAATTCCACGTCGCCAAGCTACGAGACTTTCGGAGCCTGTCGTTTCAGCTCTCTTTAGGTTCCATTTTCCTCTATAGATTTTGAAAGCCAGAAAATAATGATACAGTTAAAAGTTTTCCAACGACAGAACTGCTGCAGCTATAATGATCCCAAAGGAGGTTATGGAGCCAGCAAAATGAGCATTCTTTTCATTTGTTTTCCCTTTGGGTAGATCCTGCTGAGAACAGTCATCATGACCGTAGACTACCTCCGAGTTATATTCACTCTGGTGTTTACGTTTTCGGTCTTGGCCGTGGCAGCGAATCTTCTGGTGATTCTGGTCTTCGCTGGAACTAGACATCTCCGCATTAAGTACTACGCTTTCGTCTTTAATCTTGCGCTGGCCGACCTCGGTTTTGCCTCAGTGGCGTCGGTGTATCCCTGGTATAATAAGAACTCCACTGTCGAAGATTTACTGCAGATATGCTCCATCGTCAATGCCTTGACGGTCCTTGCTGTCGCCATCAACCGCTACCTCGCCTTGTCCCTGATGCCACCGTCGCGCTATGACGCTCTTGTGAAATCAGTTCGATTGTTCATCGTTTGTGTTCTCATGTGGTGTTTTGCCATCGGCGTTACTGTTCCTCAAATGCTCGGTAGTACTATTAACAGTTTCGACGTCTTCCATGCAGTCGTCAGATCTATAGGGGAAATAATCGTTTGGTCCATCACTACGGTAGTGTATGTACTCGTGTTTTTCAAAATCAAACGCTACGCGCCGCCTCTTGCAGAAAGTCCGGCTATCGACACCGACGTCGAGCAGAACGATACTCGATACCGCCAGACGCGTCGCATGTTGGTCACTTTCTCGATCATATGCGCTGTGTCTCTAGTTTGCTGGATACCAGCTGACGTCAACATACTAATCGTTTTCTACAACCAAGACATTCTTCAGGTCAACTGGGGGTTCAGAGTCTATTACGCCGTCGCACTTCTTGTGTACAGTCTGAACGCACTGGCCGATCCAGTGATTTACTGGTGGCGACTGCCGGGCTTTCGTGAGGCCGCCTACGGCTTAGTCTGTCGCTGCTTTCGAAAAGACCGATCAAACGATTTAAATGTGAGGTCTGGAAATGAGCACACGATTACAGACACAGCAATGTAAAAAATAATCGTTTAGATAATTTACAGGGGTGTAGGGTTTCAAAATTTTGTTCAAATGTTTGAACCAGGAACATATTTCCACACTGGAAAGGATCTGAACCCACTGTTGTACCAATAGAGGAAGGACACAGGAGTTGCAACTCTGGCACTTCAAAGTGTTCAATGATGGTCGCCGCCTTGTCAGACGATTAATAGAAAATATTCCAAAAATGCCTGATTACTGCCTTCATCTTAGCCGGACAAGCAGGGCCAGTAATATTCTAGCAATACCAGTAGTTTTTTTGCTCGCAATGAAATAAAAATTATTGCCGTCACCAAGAAATAAAGAAAGAAAAATCTCTGATATTAGACCTAGTTTTGCCATAGTGAACAACCTCTTTTAATTTTGAGACACTGTTCCATTACCCATGAAGTTTGTAATTTTATTCTCCTCCCTCCAATACATCAGTTTTCAAAGACTTGATTCGAATTTGGCTAAGAATGGCCAAAAATGTTGACTACCAGTACTGCTGGAAAGTTAAGTTCATAAGGAACAAATGCACTATTTTATCACCGGGAATGAGCATGAAATCTCGTAAAAAACGCTTTTGTGCAAATGCCATAATAAAAATAACTCCAGAAGAAAGCGTTGAAGAAGAAAGGGCAATGACTGCACATGTACATTTAGGGCGCACGGGATAATACAAGCAACTGCGCAGGCATTAAATTTGATGTTCTTATGTGATCATACCAAGCACCAACAAATGCATGAATATTCCGATACCTCAGTGCACAAAGTTTTAAGAATGCAGATTACCATCGACAAATTGCGGCGGAGATCATAGGGTATTAAGGGGTTTTGTGGTTGTGGAATAGGTGGTGCGTAGCGCTCGCTGCGCAGTGGCTATGAACATACCGGGCATGCCAGAAAGCGGTAATTGGCCAGATGTTACAGCCCGGGCAGTTCAAACTCCTTCTGTGTCCTTCCTCTATGGAGGAACCAAAAGGGTGATAATTCGTCAGTACACGAGGACAAGTTGCACATAATAGCTGCATGTACTGCACCCACAATGAGCAGCCATTTTGGTTCCATAGTCAGAATTTGGCACCGCTCTCTCTATATACAGCTCTGGGTTAAGACCCTAGCTACAGCGCCCTGCCCCCATGGAGGGTATGAAGGCATCGTAGACCTTGGTCAAAATGCAGTTTCCGAGTACACAATTGAAATGGTCAATTTTAAGACCTAGTTTAGACTGTGGTACTAAATTATTCCCGAAATTTGGATAAACTACGAGGAGAGTTCGAGTTGGAGTGAGCACCCCCCCAGGACGTCGAAATACTGACTGATGCAGGCCTTAACCACTTTGGAATACCTTGACTTAAAGCATGGGCTCAAGTAAGTCTTATGGGAACGTTAACCTTTACAATTATCCTGATATCCAACGACAACCTGAGTTTTAAGTCTGCCGTGTAAGTAATATAGATGATGTGGATTATAATTAAAATCCTGTTACATGGACAAATCGTTCACTAACACATTACATGGCCGATGGACCTAGTCGAAACGGGATCACTTAAAAAATATTATGTCTATGTTCTCTTCCTTTTCAACTTTTATCCACGTATTGCCTCATTATTTGTCCAGTATTTCTGTACGATGCTTATGGTTAATTATTGTTGGTATATTCACATGTAGTCCACAATACATGTATTGTTTCAGCGTCATAGCTTTTAATGATCTTGTTTGTCGGTCTCCTGTTGTATAAGGTCCTTAGGCAAAAACGAGACTTTGGTTTAATTGTTGGTGTTATTTTTATTTTATGCTAATACGCGTACCAAAATTGCAGCGAGACATTATGCAGCAGAGAGCGAATTGTGTGTGCAAATATTTATATTCGACTTCGACTCACGCTTGCTCAGAGTGTTCCATTCAAAAACAAATATTCAAAATCCTATCCTAGACACAATATGTCTAGTGGGATTAAAAAGTAATTCCCCGTAAGCCTGATGGTGGTAGGCACTTGGGTACAGATGGCCTAGCCATGCTTGCTGACTGGTAATTATTCAGGAGAGGAGAATGTCCTTTGGCTTCAGCAGCTATGTATTATACGTGCCTTCGCGGCGGCCATGAAGCCTTTCGCGATTTAATTTGATTAAAGATCTGGTGCACTGAGTTCTTTAAATTCAGGTGAACATGACACCCGAGATTCTCCACACTAAGGACGCTGTTGCTTTACCTCACAATTTGGGGCAAGCTTTTACTTAATTACGTAAGAGACGCCATGCACCAATACACTGTTTTCAATGGATAAGAAGAGCACAAAGCAACCAGAGATGGTGGGCGCTATGCAAAAGCTTGCCCCAAATCACGAGGTATAGACCTCGTGATTTGGGGCAAGCGCCAGTACTGACGCCAGTACTTGCGGTGTCCCCCTTCATTCAGGCGCGCATTCCTAAACTTGACGCAACGCGTGATTTGGTTTAGTAGTGCACCCCCATTGACTGAGGAAGTATTTCATTGCACATCTCATCTGTAAACGTGCGTGGAGACACAGCAGTAATGGCTCCAAATTTTTGTCACCGAACCGGTCTATTCCACAGACATATAAACGCATAGCCTTCAGCTCCTTTTCAAAACTGCAGGAGAATTCCGTGATCTGCGACGCGCCCGACTAAAATCAAAACTATGTTCAAATTCACCCCTCGGAATTTACACACAGTTGAAGAATTCCAGCTTTCTAATTCTATGAAGCCATTGCTCGATTGTAAAAAAAAAATTCTATTTACTTAATATGGCCTTATGCACATTCAAACCGATGCGGTTGCAACGCTTATAAAGAAGAAATAACAGTATCGAAAAGCCAAAAAAAACCCCAAATTTTTGGAGCACATGTAAACAAATGCAGGCAATGTAAGTGGGCTGCGCGTAATGTTCACTGAACGCGCGGTTTTTCAAAATCACAGCTTTACGCGCAAGCCTGGAGGTTTATGCGTTTGTATATGCGTCTATATAAATGCATAGGCCTAGACCACCAGGTCCTATTCAAAACTATTGACTTCTTTTGATTCTGAATAAAAAAGTATTTAGGAATGGGACTAAATATATACATGTATGCTTGGTCGCGGTTCAGGAGAATGGTTCATGAGAATGAACGCTGATGATGCCCTCGCCTGCGGCTTGGGCACTGGTCGTGTTCATTCTCCTGAGCCAGTCTCAAACGCACGTTTAAGACCAGCCAAGCACATGTTTATTCCCGTAATAAAACTGTCCCGACGTACTTAAAAATGCCATAATTCATTAAAACTGATTACTAGGCATATGACAGACAAATATTTGCAAGGCGAAGGGCTGACATAAAATGTTTTATTCATGCCACTTAATGTTTTAGGAGTAAAGTTATTGGTAGCAAGATGGGTGGTTAAGTTCTGGAGAGATGTTTAATTCATCACATAACTCAAAAATATGTAATGAAAAAATCCTCCAAGCGCCAAAGCACTCATCAATCCATGTAGGGCAGAAATGTGTGCACTGTTGTATTTCCTCTCACCGTACCTGTTGCACATAATCTTTCAGCTCATGTGAACTTTTTTCAAGGGCGGATCCGGAAAACAGAGCAACCCAGCGCTGTGTTTTCCAGGAGGCTGGCCAGCCTCCTGGAAAAGTTTGTGTGTTTTTTCCTTTGTCTTTTTTTCACAATCATGAATAGAGAGGACGCATTTCTGGTTCTATTTCGTGACCTCTTTAAGTATGCAGACGCCCAAAGGGGTCCCCCCTTGTGATGGATTTCGTTGTGTAGGGTTAAAATTGTTCACTGTTTGTCACTGAAACTTAAATTAGCTTGGATACACAATCTCCTGTTCACTACTTTATTGTGACAAACGTGAGCAATCTCAATTCACCAGAGCAGATCAGCAACATAGATTCAACTGTTTACACATGTCGCTGGAACGAGGTAATAGTTCAATTTCCTCAACTTTGCTGTATTATAACCCTGAAGACACTTCGTAGATGGCCATGCTTTTAAACAGAGTAGTTATGTGTTGTGTGATAAACAATCCAAACGATATACTCAACTATCAAAGTCCAATCACGACGGGAATCGGTCAATGTACGAATATTCAATAATATGCAACGTTATGTGGAGATCAGTAAGCCAAAATAAGCGACGTACAAAACCAGAATGGCTCCTCTACACAACAATCCAAATCTCTTGTTATTGAAGCTTAATCGCCCCAACTGTATCTTAAAACATGTTACAAATATCAATGATATCAAACTTCAACAAGCAATACCTCAAATTGGCTTCTCTGCTAATACCTAAATGGCAAGACTTATTTTAGAATAGTCCCAAACAAGAGCGCCCTCAATTGGCTCACACAGAAAGCAAACAAACTTTTATCCCCTTAAAAAATAATGTGAATATTATTTTACCAACTTTTCACGAACAACAAACTCGAAAACAAACTTGAGCTCACTTATTTTGGACTGAAAAAGCTTGTGTTTTGCAAGCTTAAAACTAACTTATTTTAAACTTCATAATAAAATTAAAACAGAAGTGAATAAGTTGTCTATTTGACTTAGTGACAAACTGCAGAGGACGCTAAGATTATCAGAGTACGTCGTACAGTCAGGCATTATTCTGACCTTTGTCCCAATTGTTTCAAATCTCAGTCTGCAGATTCAAGCAGACAGGTCTGACCACAACGTTCTGGTAAGTTTTCATCTCAACCGTCCATCCTTGCCTGGAAACGTCTTCATGACAAGTAAGTCCCAAGGGCCAGTTCTTCTTCGGTGTAGTCTCCTCCATGGTCAGCACGGTGTCCCCTGGAAGCAAGTTCCTTGGCGGATCAATCCACTTTTATCTTAGGTGCAGAGTAGGGAGATACTCTCGTAGCCAGTGCTTCCAGAAGTTGTTTGCAAGCAGCTGCGCGTACCTCCAGCGTCTTCCATATGCATCTTGATTAATGAAGTTTCCCGGGGGTGCAGGCTTGCCAGCTCTGAGCAGCAGTACATGTTTCGGAGACAAAGCTTCTGCGTCTGCGGGACTACTGGAGACAGGGGTGATTGGACGACCATTTACAACAACCTCAACCTCACAAAGTAAGGTGTCCAACCATTCATCGTCCAGTACTTGGTCCTTGAGCACAGCGTTGATGACCTTGCGAACTGTTCTGATTTGGCGCTCCCAAATGCTCCCCACATGTGAGGCTGTGGGTGAATTGAATAACCATTCAATCTCGTTCAACAACATCAAGTACTCCTTTGTTTTGTCACTCTGGTTCCACTTCTGGATTGATTCTCTCAGCTCCCTTTCACCACCAACAAAGTTAGTCAATTATCAGAACGTATCCTCGCTCCTTGGCATTCCCCCTCCTTGTTGAGAACCTCACTGACACATTGATGAAGGAGCCTGAGTCCAATCCATTAAGCTTTTCAATGTGTACTGTTCTGGTTGTTAAGCATGTAAGCAAGCACCCATATCTCCTCTCCTGGCTTCGTCCCCACTTAACATAGAAAGGACCAAAGCAGTCCACTCCCATGCAGGTGAAAAGAGGGTCTCCAGGAGTTAACCTGTCTTTAGGTAAGTCAGCCATTCTCTGGAGACACAGCCTTCCCTTGATCCTCTAACGAACAACAAACTCGCGAAGTACTCCATTTATGAGTGAGCGTGCTTTGGGTATCCAATAGCGCTCTCTCGTGAGGCTCAGCACACACTCTCTCCCGGAGTGTGCAGACTTCTCATGGTAGAGTCCGACGATGAGCTCAGCTACATGATGTTCTCTAGGTGCTATCAATGGATGTTTTGCTAGATTTGTGAGCGGCGCCATTTGCAACCTACCTCCAATTCGAAGCAGATTATCATCACCTATCACAGGGTGTGGACTGTACACCGCACTCTTCCTGGATACTGTCCTTTCAGTTCTGTTTTCAAGACAGGGAACTCTTCAATGAAGTGCCTGTCCTGCAGGTATACAATGATTGCCTTCTCAGATGCCCGCAATTCATGAATTTGCGTGTATATAGGGACATTTGTGGGATCTGTTGTCTGTGGTTGTGGAGCCACCCCTTGAATCGCAATAACTAGGCTGCGGCTTTCTTCAACTGATGCCAGCAGGAGAACATCTTACGTAGGTTGTTGATGGTATCTTCTGAAGCAACTGCCTCGGTGATACAAGCCTTTGCCTCATGCTTTACTTCTCTGTCATCTTCGAGCAGGTCTGGACATGCTTCAGGCTCAACTGACCAGCCTTTTCAGTTTCTGCCGGAATTCTTGCCCCTGTTTCCATCTTAATAGGCTTAATATCTTCTTGGCATCAAGCCCTCTGAAGGCTTCATCTGCTGGGTTATTATAGCGTGTGTCTACCTACCTCCACTAAGCCGGCAATGAACCATCGTGAATAACCTTACTCTATTGGTGTCGAAGGTTTGGAATCTCTTTGTTTTGTTTCTAATGTACTGCAAAACAATCATACTATTGGTCCAAAATGTGGTACTCTGGACCTCCAGCCTCATCTCATGACGCAGGATACTGTCCGTTAACACAACCATAACTGCCACTGAAAGTTCAAGTCGTGGAACTCTCATTGACTTTATGGGGGCCTTGACTTGCCCATCAGGAATAAGTGTGGATTGGTCCCTGCTCGTTCACTAGCCCGATATAGGATGCTGCTCCGTAGGCAGTCATCGACGCGTCACAGAAGTGATGTAGCTGCATACATGGGGGTGTTCCAAAGCACTCTGGTACGATGCACCTGGGGACGTTGAAATCTTCAGGTCGGGTAGCTCACGCACCCACTTCTGCCACTGCTCCAATGTTCTGGCTCTAGTTCCTCATTCCGCTCCTTCCTTTTTCTGCATTCATCTTAGAATATCTTCTTTGCTTGGAGCAAAAATGAGCACACCAACCCACGTGAGTCATAAACAGAGCTCAAATGGCTCAGAAGACCCCTCTTTTTCTCTTTTCCATAGGCTTTATTTTGATGCCACACGCCTGTGTGTGTGTCCTAATGCACTCCAAGTGTTCTCTCTACAGGAAGTAATCGGTTGTCCAGGTCCACATCTCTCGCACTCCTGGCCCTTTCATCTAGTAGGATGGATTTGACTACCCTCCAACTATTTGACATCCATTTGGTAAGCCGGAAACCACGCATAGATAGTAGTCCGCGCAATTGCTTCACCAACCTTTCGGCCTTTAAAGGCAGTCATCTGCGTATAGAAGTTTTTCATCACGGTGGTGACGGTTTCGGAGTCAAAGGCATCCCTGTGGTCTTTAGCTGTTCTGCAAAGAGCATATATAAGTGGCACAGTTTGGGTACCAGACACCTCAAAATGGGGAGACTGTCATTTGGAGGACTTCAGGCTGGTTGGCTATGTTTCCAACTCTCCACCTTAATTAAGAACCTCAGAACATCTCTATGGGGTGGAGTGACCTTTTATATCCCTTTTATATCAGCCATCACTACCACTCTTCGCTCTCTGAATCACAATAGAATGCCATTCAACTTGTTGGTCATATCAGGGCATTGCTTCACTCTTGTTCAGGAATGTTCCTTTGTACTTGGCACCAGTCAAATACTATTGGCATGTCACAATGGGAATCGGTCACGTGTACGAATATTCAATAATATGCAACGTTATGTGAAGATCAGCAAGCCAAAATTAGCGACGTACAAAACCAGGCTGGCTCCTCTACACAACAATCGGATATCTAAAATCTTAATAGAAGCCTTCTCACTGCAACTATATCTTAAAACATTTTACAAGTATCAAAGATATATCGAACTTTAACAAGCATAGCTTCTCCTGCTAATACCTGAATGGCAAGACCTATTTTAGAATGATCCAAAACAAAAGCGCCCTCAATTGGCCCGCACAAAAAGCAAACAAACTTAGATTTATCAGCAACCTACGCCCCCCCCCCTCGAAAAAATTCAGTTCTGGATCCCACCAATTTTCAGACAGAGATTGTTATTATATTGAGACTACATTAAAAACAAACATGTTGCGACAGCGTGAGTTTCTCAAACGTGATCTTTGTTGTTTTGTTAATTCCAAACTTCGTAGTACAAAAAGTGGCAGATGTAAAAGTCCCAAAATCTCTAGTAATGTGGGTTTCAGTAATTCCAAGAAAGTCACAATCACTCAGATAAGGCCTAGCTAATTAAAGCTGTGGCTTGTGCAGAATACTACGAGTTTTGGAAAAGGCTCTAAGTACAGACCAAGTTTCTTCAAAATTTCACAATGAACATTAAGTTAAAACAATCCATTTCCGCAACCAGAATCTAATCAGTCAAGCCGACAGAAGTATTGCAGCCAAGATAATCGTGCATTGAAATGTGCATAGTTGTTTTGACAGACTGTGATCTTGCGATATGGCGACCTGCCAACGCTATTTATTCGAATACAAAATACCACCAGGCTGCAACTCTACACACCAAAGGCCGAGTACACAAGTTCTTGTGTATACTACACGACTGCATGGAACACCTGTGACAAATTACACTCTCTTCGTCACACTTTGTAAATTGCATATCCAGTATTGAAACTATGTGCTACAGTGGCTAAGCCCTTAAGTCAAACTCACAATTATTAAAAACTCTTACAAGAATTCGCCTGCGTCCCAAAAACCTGAACAAATAAAACAAGCAAAAGCAACAGCGATTAGAAAACATGCACATTAGCAAGAGACCTCACTTTCAATCAGTGTTGTACAATGTACGACTGTGTAAGGTGTAAGATAGTGCTCCATGAACGCAACAATATACATTAGTAGATCCTTTGCACCCGTGTGACAAACGTCACGTGATTGGGTCATCTGTGATGACCTGTCTTAAAAAAACTGCACTGTAATCAAATAAAATTATTTCATTGCTGTTTCAATTGTTGCCGTACCCATAAACTACAACTCACTCAATCCAAAATACTCCCAGAAGCAGGAGCTCTAAGGAATGGAGATCCATTAAGTCTGAAACCCTTTAAAATCGGTCCAAAATGACGTCATTGGAAACAGATCTGTAAACAGTGGTGCAGTCGAGTCCTCATACGAGTCCGAAGCAATGGAGTGCCGAAGGTGAGATGTCATGAGTTGCCGTGGAGTTGTACCCATTGACTAATCGGCTGCAACGTCCAAAAACGCAGGGAACGGTTGGATGATTTTTGTGTGAAATCATTACCGTGGCAACTGATCAGAAATGACACATTCACTTCAGCTCTCCATGTGTACAAGAAAATTGCACGTTGGGGTCTACGGGAATAATAGTACGCCAAGAAATAGGCCTCAACACCGGACAAAGAAAGCCCCCGATAGAAACGGCAACAAAACTGATCCTCAAATCTAACAGTTGCCTCAACTTTTTTATAATATACCCTCGGACTCTTTCATGCAAGAGCTAGGTCTCTAAGCAATAATTAAAGCTGAGGTTTTGTCCAAGAATAGTGTAACAATAACTTGGTTCGGGGCTCTCGGCGCACCCGATCCGACTACCCACCGCTACTTATAAGTGAGGCCTGTGCAGCTATTAAATAGCCAAGCTCTAACTGTGATGCTAATATATTATCGTATGGTGCAATACAGTAAGCAAACTTATAAGTGAGGCTTGTTGGAGCCTTCCGCTTGCAAATGTTCGTGACGCTGACTAGTCTCACGTATCAGTTTGCCTACTGTCTTGCACCATACAAACATATATTAGCATCACAGTTCATGCAGGCAATTTTGCTGCACAGGCCTCACTTATAGGTAGCGGTGGGTGGTCGGATCGGGTGCTCAGCGATCCAGTTATCACAAACCTACTTTACTCCTTATATTTTCGACCCTGCTAGACCAAACTCTTACTAGCTGGTTGTTATTGCCAAGGACTAGGATCCAGGAACAGGCAATCCTCTCTCTAAGGACACCACTTCTTGTCTATTTCACAAAAGGTTTGTCTTCTTACAGTTTGTGTTTATCCAACTGGGATTTACCCGTTGTAGTCTTTCCAATCACAGTTTTTCATCGTTTTGTTGAGTACATTATATTGAGAGAAATGTGCGTTTCTGTAGATGTTTAGCACTTGAATAAGTGAGTTCTCTGGCGTCCTAAAAGTAAGGATTGCTGAGACTCGAGTGTAACACTGTGGGTGATTAAGTCAGCATCAGTGAATTAATTAGTGTACTCTTAAAATCCCGAAAAATTTAATAGCAGCGAAAGTAAAAATTGAAAGCGTTGGAAATGAAAGCAAATTATTCATTTTCCAGGACGCGGTATTTCTTCTTCATCCTTCTCGCGACGACGGCGATCAAAACGACGACTGCGACAAGGAGGACAGCTCCGGCCACTGCAATGATGATGATGATGGTCAGACTGAGACCAGATGCGCACTCCTCAGCTGTCAAACAGAAAGGACAGAAAGCGGATTAAAGACGAGGTATACCGGAATGAATGGAAGATCCCAAGGCAAACAGGTATCGAAACAAGAAAACGACAGCTCCATTATTTGCTTCACCTTTGGAATCACCGCCACCGGAAGCTGCCAGTATCATAGTCCACATCAACATCTTCATTAGCATCAAAATTCCTAATTCAGTGTCACGCAAATATTTTCAAATATTGTCATAGGTGTCGCTGTTCCTATCGTGTAAGTGTGTATTCATCAATTTGGTGACCGTCGTCAGTCAGTCAAATCCAAGTACCAAGTCCAAGTAATATTCATCCCTGGTCAGCGTTGCATTCATATCAATCATCACTGAATGCTAAAATAGCCATAATAAAATTACCAGTCAATACCTGTCACTGTCAAGATTGTCACGCCATTTTCACAATGATTGTTCTCCCATCTGGCAACTGTCTTTACTTTACTTCTTACGTTAGTGTGAGCACACCGCAAGAAAGAAAAATGTAATTGGCAGATGACAGGACACCGTATCCGTGTCACCATTCAATTTTGGGGTGTACCGTTTTCAGACGCTAATGTAAAGCAACGAATGAAGGGGGGCACCTGCCCCGTCCACAGACCCAACCGACCGGTCAAAAGACTCTTACCGGGACCGAACTTGCCGCCAGCCTTCTCGGCGAACGGTTGCAGCTGCATGTGCGACAGGCGCAGGGTGGCCTCGCTCATCAGCACAGTCAGGGGATCAGGGCACGTGTACGAATTTCCCAGCGTGACCTCCTGCATTAAGAAGTTGTCCTGTGTGACTGAAGCAGAAGCAAAACCTGCCAGGAAAAGAAAATGATAGTGTTATAATGTTTAACCAAGAGGGAACGGAAAAGAGGCAACCAAAGGAAGCTGTGAGCCCCAGGATTCCATCACGCCACCTGGCAACCTCTCCCGGGGACAGGCAAGAACAAATTTGGACAGGCAGGTTTCGCTTGTTCAGAAATTGACAAATTCCTATTTTTTTAAATAAACTTTTAACGAAGGTGAGCATGTCTTCAGGGCTCTTTCTAAAATATCAGTTGCATTAGAAATATGGCCTCCGATGGCACCAAGGAGTGTCAGTTTCATAATTAGAGGATTGGCCGTTTTATATATTTAAGTGTTTGTTTACCTTTCTGTGCTGAGTCGTGAAAGCGCATGTCGTAATCCCACGACGCCTCCAAACTGGTCAGAGAGTATTCCTCGGACTGGCGCCTGAAGGTCAGGGTAATTAGCCAGGCAATGTCTACCAGGCCAAACGGATAGATCGTCAGCGACCGGGTGGATGACGCGTTACAGTCGCTGGTGAGATCGGCCTGCTTGGGGTTGACATTGACGACCACTGTACCGCGCTGAGGACATCACGGTATACAAAACGGCAAAGACGGGAATGAAAAACAGAGGTGAATAAAAGCTACCATGACAAATTTCGCTCTTCTGGAAGAAAAGAGGGTGATCTTCCTAAAACTGTGTAGCCACTGCCACATGATTTTTGTTTTCAAAATGGTGACAATTACACAAGTCTAAAAGCCTATTTCTACGGGACGTGTGCACTTGAATTTGGACGTTTTGGAGTGTTAAACAGATGGGTTGTACGACTGCTGAGGTGTTAGACGGTTAGGTGGGGGGGTAGACTGTTGAATTGCTGCGTAGAGGGATTGTTGTTTTATGAAAGGTTGTTGGGTTTTCTGCTTGTTTGGGTTGCTCACGAGCTCGGCTACTGGGGGTTGGGGGTTGGCTAATTATGGTGTTTTGGGGCTGTTGGCTTCTGGAGTTTGGGGTTGCTGGACTATTGAGTCCGATTGTTCGGTTGACAGATTCTTTGATTTATGTTGGACTGTTAAAGTTGGATCGTTGCGTCGACGTTTCGCGTTTGGGGTTACTTGTTGGGCGTTGGACTTTTGACACTGCTGAATATGTTGGGTTAATGGAAAGTAGGGTTGTTAAGTTTTGGGGTTTTTGGTTCGTAATTGGGTTGTTGGACTGTTGAACGTATGAATTCTGACTGTTAATCGAGTTGGACTGTTGAGCTGTTGCAGGGTTAGGTTTCTTGATGGTTTGGCTACATGGGGTTCAGGTTGAAGACTTCTCCGACGAGAGCCCGTGGACATTGACACTGGAAAATGGGAGGAACCATCAAAACAGTGCTAGATAGCTCAGTTGGTAGAGCTCTAGTGGCGTATTACGGAGGTCACAGGTTCTAATCCAACTCCAGTTGTTGTTGTTTTTTCATCTTTATAATATTAGGGAAGAACCATATGTCACTTTTGTTTGAAGTGTCCGAGTTTTGGGGGAAAAACCAACAAAAATAACTTACACTTTTGTCGGTTTTAGTGTAGCTGATGTTCAGCTGTGCCCCGAAAGACATCCTCATGCAGACTGTCCCGTTGGCGCCTTTAATGGACCAGTTACCCACCCCAGGCGGCACCGGAGTCACTGTGGTTGTCGGCGTCTCCGTGGTTGCGTTGCTTGCTGGACTTGAGGTGGTTGCGTTGGTTGTGTGGGTCGGCGTGGTTGCGTTGGTTGTGTGGGTCGGCGTGGTTGCTTTGGTTGTGTGGGTCGGCGTGGTTGCGTTGGTAACCGGGGTAGGCGTGGTTGCAATGGTTACCGGGGTAGGAGAGGTTGCAATGGTTACCGGGGTAGGAGAGGTTGCAATGGTTACCGGGGTAGGAGAGGTTGTGTTAGTCAGCACAATTGTTGCCGCAGTGGAGTTGGTCGGCTTGGCAGTTATGCCTGAGGTCATAGGGTAAAGGAGAACAAAGGTACCAACTAATGAAAGTGGAGCATTTTGAATGAGTTGAGTATTGTGCTGTGGTATTACAAACGATAAAATGGCTTAATCTCAAGCTAGAATGAAAACGACCCAGTCAATAGTCACACACAAAAAGTTGCTGACTGAGCAGTCGACGGCAAAAATCATAATAACGTTTTATAATTCATTAAGGCAGTTATTAAAATTATGCACAAACTATAGCAATACCCACACACACTACAGGCCTATTATATTGGTGCAGTTGGACCGGCCATCTCGGCTCCATTTTGAACCGCAAGTTTGTTCTTTTAAAACATTTCGGGGAAAGGATTGCTCTCAGGCTTATTCCAATACATTTACACAACAACAAAATTGCCAAAGCGGGAATGATAGAAATTTACGATTGCAAAATATGAAAATCCAGCACAAATTTGTGCACAAATCAATGCAACATTGAGGTTCGGTAACACAGTATTGTTATGAATATGCAAAGTCGCCGATAAGCCTAAACCAGAAAGGCTCCAAAATACAGATTTAAATAGCACTAGGCAAAACAAACTGGAAGATAAGATTAATTGGAGCACAAAATTAAAGTGCAATTTCAAGGGATACATTACACCCCTTAAACAAACCTAGGACCGTACAAACCATTCATATTGCCTTGTCCACGCTCCACTTTAATATGAGTCTCAACATATAAGGCTAGGCAAACCATGAAGGGAACATGCAGACCCAAAAGGAAGGCAAGAGACTGGGAACAAGTCTAGGCAAATTCCCCCTTAATCTTTCCACTCGTCATGATTTTTGAAGTCTGGAATACATTTTGAATTTGATCCCATACAGCACGCGTATGGCGGCACTGTAGCAGTAGCATCATGGCTCGTATCTTTAACCCTAACAGTCCCAAATCCTCCAATTTCAATACGATTTTACACACACCCTAGGGGGTTAGGGTTAAATCCATGTTGAATTTTGGAGGGCATTTTTCCTAAGTCCAGAGCTCCATAACGTCGCCTACTCGACCGCGAAGAATGAAGATTTTATTTCTGACCTGATTTCATCAATGTAGGCCTATGGAGTGAATAGAATGTTCTAAGTTTATGCATCAAGAATCGCTGTTCAAGTCAGCAAGCCGTTTGGGAATTAGCAATTAGGCCTATGTGCTTCAGAGTGCCGACAGACAATCTTTAGGAGACTTGCCAAATGATATTCATTTCGCATTGTTGGCAAGTAATTAAGCTACGTTTCTTTCTTTTTTTCTCTGTTCTTTTGTGCAGGTATGTTATTATGCCAGTACCGTCACTAGAAAGACAGTCTCTTCTGCTAGAAGGAATATAGCACCTTGCAGGCGCAAATACGCGCCACTTCTCGGTAAACTACGGAATTCTGTCACGCCCCAACTACGGCATCAGTTCAATTAGTTAGGGAGGGTGCCTAGTACAGATTACATTTCTGGAACATTTATCAACTTTCTCCGCCTTTTGCGGCCGCCGCAGACGACAGAATTCATCGAAAATGATAGGCAACTCTGGCTTGTCACCCGGCATTACCCAAATACAGAAACAAACGGTTGAGAGTGCGAGCACGTGTCGCCGGACACGAAATGGCGATGGCACGTCATGGCATGGCAGTTCGGTCAACGGGAAACTCAACCCATGGTTTGGACAGATGCTGTAGACTTTGAGCGTAAATTCCCCACGTCAGCTATAATTACCTCAAACCTGTTAGCCCCAAGGAACTAACGTTAACCCACGTGCACACTTGCATGGATTCTGTCCTGCAGACGTTTCCACATAAACAAAGCACTGGAGAAACTGTAACAGCACTGAGCAAATTGCCTTCAGCCATGGAGGAACATAGACAGGTGTACGCTTTTACTTACCCAGTCCAGAGGAGAGGCACAACACGAACACGAGCTGCACGCAGGAGAATCGCTTCATAACCTCCATGTTCTGTTTTCCCTCTTACACTCGTCAAGTGCCCTGTTTAAAATTGGCGTAAAAACCAAGCGTGAATTTGGCGCGAATTCGCTCTAATCTACAGAGCTTGCAAGCACGAGGGTCGATGATTGTATCTGGGCTGAACGTAGAGGTATCTACAGATTTCTACATACACGGTGCATGTGGCGCAATACTGCGGGTTGCGCTTGTTAACTCTAGGTCACGCGCAGGCGCGACGGCCGATTGCATTTCTGTGTTCGTCATTTTCACGTGCACCGTAACTACGTGCACCCTCTCCGAACTTTCCCTTCTCAACCTTGTGACATACACCGCGGAGGCTGCACGGCTGATTGCAGCCTTTTATATCATAGAGCTACAAACCCTAGCTCTGTGTTTATATCACTCACACAGCCCGACAGACCGAGGTCGCCCCAGCTCGATGCGAGGCTGTTCAGTGTGGGCACAGACAAGACATACATGTATGTGTTTCATGTCTGTGGTCGTGGAGTTAAGCCGGAAATTGTTTTTAGAGTATAACGTTACACCATGGGGTTACATGGCGTTTCTTGTTCAGTGCACAAACAGATGGGGGAACTTCGCTTGAAAAAATAGCTTAGACTCCTATACACAAAAACGCAAGTCACACTGCATTTACAGTAAAATGCCATGTAAAATGAATGACATGAACGCACTTTACACAAGGGCGGATGGGGGAAGCCCCCCCCCCAAAAAAGCGGATCTTCTTTTATCAGAGTGTCTTAAATGGAGGTTGTTTTGTATGGACACAGCCATTTTGTTCATTGAATTGTTTCGGAGCCGTTGCTCTGCAAAAAAGAACAAATTTAACAGACAATAATAGTGCTGGGCATCAGCATCTTATGGGAGCACCAGCTTCCAGTGGTGTGGTTTTGGAGGCACTCAAGCTTTTGTAGCCTCGTTCAATATCCATTCATCCGTGTTTTTCCAGGGGGGCACCCGCATGGGGACACCGGAAATTTGTGGGGGCACGCGCCCCCCGGCCCCTCCCCCATGGCTACACCGTACCACTAGACAACAACAACATTTTAGAATCCAACTGAACCATTGATATGAAATTACTACAGCTGCTGCCATTTCATTGGTTGTCAAAGAGTGACGTAAGCCTCCCTTCCTTTAACCTCATTGGCTTATATTAACCCGTTTGTTTCGTCCTTAAATAAGTTAAAATAAACCAAGGACCTTCCCTCACGGTTACCCCCCCCCTCCAAAAATGTGTCTTGATCCATATTTTACATAGCCTGGGAGTGAAATTCTGTGACTGGGAACTGCACTGGTTTTCCTGGGTTTGACCGCCGCCCATCCATAAGTAACTTGCCTATCCTTCAGTATGTACAAGGAACTTCCCTGGCTAGCCGTTCGATCGGTTTAGGGGTCGCTGGTGAATTTGTCGGGCGCAGTCACCAAGCCCCCCCCCCCCGTCAGTGAAGACAGTCTATTATGAAAAAATACTATATGAACCAGTTTATATTTCATGCCTGTAGCTTCCCGTGCTCTTATTATAGTCTACATGTACGTGTATTTTTTTTTTCATTTTTCCTCCATGATTTTTTTGGAGGTGTGCTTTAATTCTGATTTTTGATACTGACGGGTTTTGTTTTGTTTAAGGTCGTATCTGTGCCATGTAAGAGACTCTTAGGGCGACTCAGTTTCCAAAAAAGTGGAGCCAAACCTGGAGGTGGAAAACGAGAACACGAGAGCTCGGCCCATATGACGTTGGTGAAAATTTATGTCTTTGCAAATGGTTTTAATTGAAAAACTGCAGTTCGGTACTTGCCACGAACGGCACAAAGCGCAGTACAAGGGCACGGCCTGTGCACCTTTCTTTCATTTATTTTTCGATTTAAAAACGGAAAAGGAAAATAGATAAAGGAGTCGTTTCTCGTTTTCCGATTTGAAAAAAAAAACGAAAACAGAAAAAGTCGTTACTCGCCCTTCATTCAAAAAACGAAAAACTATGACTGGCACGCAATCTTTCGTTTTTTAAAGCGAAAATGAACACCAACGTAATCTATTGTCCTGTATCTAAGAATGAAACACAGCGAAATTGGGATTAAAATTTAAAACAAGATTACTTTCGTTTTTCGTTTTCAGCAGGGAAGACAAGACAAGACTAGACTTTGTCTTTTCCCTCATTTTTTGTTTCAAACCGAAAAACGTTTTTTGGGGGGGTTGTTTTTGGTTTTTTGGGTTGTTTGTTTGCTTGTTTTTGTTTTGTTTTTTTAATATTCCTTTTCAAATCGAAAAACTATGACTGACACGCAATCTTTCGTTTTTTAAAGCGAAAATGAACACCAACGTAATCTATTGTTCTATATCTAAGAATGAAACACAGCGACTTTGGGGGGGTTGTTTTTGGTTTTTTGGGTTGTTTGTTTGCTTGTTTTTGTTTTGTTTTTTGAATATTCCTTTTCAAATCGAAAAATGGATGAACGAAATGTATATGTACACCGACCCTACACAATGTGTATCGGGAGGCCCGCACGGCGACGAGCGAAGTTGCGCTTCAGATCAATAGAGGGCGCACTTTCTTTCGCTCACCAGTATGGTGCTCTTTTCCGGAAGCTTATTGCCCTCTTCCGTAAGGTAAGCGTGCACATTTGCCCGGACACAGGAATCCAGTTCGTCATATCTCGTCTCCTCGTCTCGGGGGGAATAAAAGAAAAAGCCAGAGTGCAGTTTTCGGCTAGTTTTCACTGCATTGCAAATCGGAGGTTTTCCGCCAGAATGAAGCCCACCGTGGCTGTTGATGAGATGTTTCCTGAAGGGTCTGGACCATATGTTGATCTTGACGAGGTATGCGTCTTTGTTTTGTTTTATTTGGACGTACAATCGGCCCTTGCTTATCTATGGATCGGCATACCCCCAGAACTGCGAACTACGAACCCCATAGAAAGCCTTTTTCGCCATAGGCTATGCATGACGTAGGGCACGAACAGCGATTCCATCGGAATTGTGAACCCGTAGAAATGTTGCTTCATTTCCCCACGGGATTTTATGTAAGATACCTTTGTTTTGAGTACCAACATGACCTGACCAAGAAAGAACATGAAGAAAAGGGCCAAAACCATGCCATTTTCGAAAAAAAGGTGCAAATATTTCCTGATCAGTGTCTGAGAGTCATGCGGTTCACATGTGTACCTGCAAAGACGAGCCGCGACCAAATCTTTGACTACGGCTGTAATCGATACACAAGAACAAGACATGGAAATTGGCTACAGCCACTTTCCGTACCTGTGTTTGCAATTCTTAGCCGTGCTGGTTGAAATGGCAGGCAGTTGGCTGCAGCACGCTGGGGGTCACAGTGACCAATCACAGGGCTCCTCATTATTTTGCCCAAATTGAAGGAAGACGAGCAACATCCGTTGGGTGCACAAAGCCGCTCAACAGGAACCGTTCACTGTGCGACAGCGGGCTCACGTGCACTGGTACCCAACGGCAAGTGTTAGACATCAAGCAGTCAAGCATGTTATTGTATTTTCAGGCCGGAGGAACAGCAGGACTGTTGATGGATTTAGCTGCCAATGAAAAGGCTGTTCACAGTGATTTCTTCAATGGTAAGTCAATTAACCCTAACCCCCTAGGGTACATGTATGTGTCAAATCGTATTGAAATTGGAGGATTGAGCTGAACTGCCACGGTGAACGCCAAGGTAGAGTTTTTTCAGGACTAAAACATCTGTCTGGTCTTTCTCATAGCGTGTTGGAAATTGTTTGCCCCCTCTCAGCAAACTTCTTGGAAACTGTTACCCGCTGGTGCTTTCCAAGCCTGTATTTTCATTGCCAGGATTGTGCCAAATGCATAGGATGGAATCATCCTGATTTTAGTCCCAAGCGCTAAAGATTGCTGATAGAAAATGGCAGATTGTAACATTTGCACGTGGAAAAAGCTGCCTGTCCTCAAGACAGTGGATCGGTGGCTAGATGGGACTCTGGGCCAAGGCGCTAGTAACTGAACTCTGTCCTTTCACAACTGAAAATAGAGGCCGTAAATTAAAGTAATCTTTTTAATGTCTGCTGTTTCTGTGTTTACTGCAGACTTTGATGATCTATTTGATGACGACGACTTGTCCTAACAAAGGCTTTCAGAGCTTGCACCATTATCCACGAACCACCCCTGTGATTGAATGGAACTGCCAACAGGCTGCAAGTGCCACGTGTGGGATCACTGGGCATCCTGGAATGTACCATGCTGGTCAGAGGGGTGGAATTGGACGGAGGAGTGAGGCGGAGTGTAGTTTTTCATTGTGCCAAACAGATCATTCTACTGAGATTGACATTTCCTTGAGTATGATGACATAGAGTGTGTTGTAAGTCAAGCGATCAGAATTCAGTGAAAAGCCTCAGTTTATGTGCACGTAAATAGTCATAGCTGAGCAAAGTTTAACTCAGCGGTATTGGCTGCTGTCAGGTGTCTACACATTCTCTCGACAGTTGCAGGCCACTTCAATACTGTTGCTGAAAGGTTACGCCATCTCTCATGCACTGAAGATTGGTGTGTAGTGGCTACCATGGCTGTGCAGTCGATTAGCATTGAATATTATTTCAATCCTGAAATCAAAATTTAGTTTGATCCTAGTCACACTCAAATCGTGACATTGTATTATGTGATTGAAGGTCAGACGTAGTACACGTAGCTGAAGTTAATAGTATGTACTTGACCTTTTAAGCTTCCCAGTTGGGCGTCATATCAATGTTGTCATTTCCTCTTGTTTTATAATATTTGTAGGCTGGTACCTGTCCACATCCTCTTGGCATATTTGGTCTCAAGAAACCTGATCCCGTTGCTGGAATTAATAAAAGGGATAAAAAAGTGGAGAAATCTCTATTTAACTAAATCTTAACAGATTCTTGTATATTTTACATGCGGTTTGAATAATAGTTTGGCCCTTAGTTCCATCATGAGAGAGGCTTGGATTAATTTCCATTGTGTGCAGAATGCGCCCTTTAACCCCTGCCCTTCTAAAGTCCTTCAGTCCAGCAACAAGGGGATGCTTAATGCCCCTTCACAGTGCAAAGTGCTCCCTCCCCCCAATAAATACAAATACCCCTATTTGCTAATTTGTCGTCAAAGTAGAGAATTTCGTGGGATTCAGGAAGGTTTCTCGTAAACACGTTTCAGGGGTTGCAGTTCAGATTTGAGTGAAGTACTTGTAGGGTTAAATGAGGCTAACAAGCTGTTGTACTGTTTTTCAAGACTTCATCAGAAGTTCTTGCCCTTTCAAGAGTTCGTGAAATTTTCAGGGTTGCAATTACACCTGTTGTATCATGATCCACAAATAAAACGAGATAAAAACCACATCAAAACGTTCTTTTCCATGAATCGTTCTTTTTAATACTGAAAATATTTACATCTCTTTTTGATCACTCGGATTACCGCCAAATTATCTACATTTTTAACACCTGTATGTTTTCTTCATCATCATATAGAAATTACCAACAGCACAGCTGAGAAATTAATCTTTAAAGCACCTTCTAAAAAATCGACTGGAAATTTAAAATGAAAAACCTACGTTCCGCACCAGGGAGTCAGATAAATATGGAAGAATTCTCTCTTTTTGAAAAGGATTAGACAAACTTAATTATGCGGATACTCACAGCAGTATGGTTACATTTAAACCATGAAAACCATTCAAATAAACCTACCAATTTAAAGATCACGTACCTGTACACATGTATTAGGCCAGCATTACATTGGATTACAAACCTGGCATGAAATTTTCCAGGGTCAGAGGGTGGGAAAAATTCAAATAAAATAATGGACCGGTTCTCTTTTGCTATTACATTTAGTTTTTCGGCTAACTAAAAGCACTGCATCAAGACAAAAAACTTAAATATTCAAAAATTCAACTTTTTTGAAAACACTACAAAAAATCCTGCAGGGGGAAAATATTAATTTTTTCATTTGTTTAATATATATATTCAGACTTGGCATTCAAAATCCAACTACATGTCATAATAAAAAAAGTTGGCCGTATGCAGAGTCAACAAATGCTATGCCTAATGCTTGAATTTTTTTCAAATGCCAAATATTCATCAACTGTAACCCCAAATCTGATTTTCCACTTACAAATCTACATGTATCTCCATTGTTTTGCTAGTACGTCAGTTTTTTATGTTCAAGTTGAAAATGATATCAAAGTTCACTTTAACCCTAACCCTCTAGGGACCATTGAAATCCTGCATAACCTTGTTGGGTTCAGCATTAATAATGGACTGGGATTTTGACAAAAAGGGACCTTCAAGGCTTTGACACAAGAATTGTGTCAGCGTCACTGTGACAACTGACACCTTAATGACAATAGCCTGCTCACTCTTGGGCTTTGCACCAAGTTGGTGACTGGTTTGGTCTGGCACTCCATAAAATATCCTTGCAATCCACATTTATACATGTTCTGCTTTTCCAAGGGGATAGTTGTTGCCTAATTTCCAACTTGCTGATGGCGGACCATCCATAAGTTAAAACTTGGCCAGTTATGCCACTTTTATTGGAGCCGTACTGATGGAGTTCCGGTGCAGTTCACGGATAAAACATGACTAACATTATCACGTCCACCTGGAGCTAAATTTTTACTTCCAGTTAAAATGTTACATATCAAGTCCTAATTTCATAAAACTGCCAATTCAAACACCCAATTTACTGAGCCCAAAACAATCTGCTTAGCAAAGGAAGACTAACACAGACAGGCTACCAGCAAAAATTTCATGGTTGCTTAGCAAAGACAGGCTACCTGCCAGAATGTTCTATCCAGTTCCTTAACAAAGGCGGGCTACCAGCCAAAATGTCATTTCTAACTACTTAGCAAAGACAGGCTACCAGCCGAAAGAAATTTCGTACAATCCACATTTCTTATAACTGGTTCCCGCATGATTTTTGCCGAGCGCACAAATATTCTCAGCATTCTTTCTAGAGAGCAACTCTCTGAAACTAGGCACATTTCAGCAGGATTCCATTCAAGAAAACGTAGCCACACTCATTTGAAACCTTTCTTCAGATATGTGCCTGATTGCAAGTACAGCTTGTTTAACTGAATTTATAATGACAATTCAAGTTTCACACCTCGCATAACCTGCATGTGTGGCTAGGGTTTTCAGAAATTCATTAATAGCCAGCAAAACTGCGACTGATGTGGAGGGAAGTCTATTTGGATCGGAAATATTAAAGGTATAGACTGCTCCTATGAAAATTAACGTCGACCAATAAAGCACATAGACACTGTCTTTTAGTACAAGGATTCACAAGCTTTTTTTTTAAACCATTTAAAATATTTGTTGTAGTAAAGAAGTTAAACAAGGTGCGACAACTTTGGAGACTCAGGGCTGCTGATTTCTAAATGTACAGCTTCTCCAGACAGCCCTCCATTTTTATATACAAGTACATCATATATGTTATCAGATCAAATATAAGTTTCCTTTAAATCTAATTTGTCAAGTGTTATCAAACGTACTGTCTTTAGATAAACGATAAAACTGACATAAAAGTCAAATTGACGCAAATTGATAGAAACTGTTTCCCAAAAGTAAGGATTTTAGATTGCCAGCGAGACGTTCCGAGCTTTCATGAATAAGCCGCGGCTGACGTGCATTTCCACCCTAACCAATCTCAAGTCGTATCGCAGTGTAATTCTCAAAACTTACCTGTCATTAGGATTAATGCTGCTTCAGTTTCCTCCAAGAGAGAAACAAATTCCTCTTTTTGAACGGAATGTTCTACAAGACAGCCATGCTATTTAGCCTCAACCAATATTTTCATGCGTAAATCATGAATTGAAAATACCGATTAAATATCATTATTAATACGTGCATGGAATTTATTTTACATGATTTTAAGTGTGGCATTTGGAGCGACAAAGTACAAAAAAGTACAACAGTGCCGTTCATGCAGCCCGATTGGCAGCCATCTCGTCTACGCTTAGCCGATGGAGAAATGGTCCACCCTTCCTGGACCAGTTTTGTTTTCCTGCAGTATCGTTGTGGATTTGCCAACTTCCTAAGATGTGACAGCCTTCTGCATGTAAATTTGACGATACTTCTTTTGAGGCTTTAGAGTGAATTTCCAGCTGTGGGTGCCTTGTTGAGGCTGATCGTGTCTGTCAACACTTGTTGATGCTAATTAGCATGACTGGGGGGGTGGGACTGGCGAGCAGTTAAAGCTTGGGCCGTTTAATGAACACCTTTATGGCACCGTTGAAATCACCAGAGACCAGCAGTTCGCCCTGGTCTAGCAGCCTCTTGAGGGAGCTCTTCTTCTCTGCCTTGCTCCCCCCTTCCGCTACACTCTTTCCCTGGATCATCTCCCGCTTGGCACGGGTGGCAGGGCTCTCCGGGGCCTCAGCGGACGGGAGGCCGCCGGGGATGGGGGCTGGGACGGCTGCGTCGGAGGCAAGTGGCTTGCCGTCGGAGTCGGTGGGCTTGACGACCAACGAGGGCTGGGGGGAGAAGACAGCCGTGGTGACGACGACGTCGTGAGCTGAAACAGAAGAGAGCAACTGCAGTCACAGGCCACTAAACTACCGTAATTTTGATGAGGACACGGCAACAGAGCACAAAATAGCTTTATAACAACAACACGCTGCGGCAGATTCCTACAAATCATGGGAGGGAGGAGCGGAAATTCTTGATATCAAAAGTCGCCTAGTCTCGTGTCAAGTCGCAACTATTTGAAGCATGTGCGCATGGCTTACTTTCCATTTCCTTCATACTTGCTGCCTGACCTGGGATTTTTGTCAATGAGATGCACTGGATTTACTTGTGACGGTTGTGAGTTCTTTCTGTTTTCTGAGACCCATAATAAGTGCTGCCAACACGACCAGCCAGGTTGAAAAAAATATAGCATAAGGACTACTTAACAAATGCTATCCGGTTATGAAAGTGATATCCAGCAACCATTATGACGACTTTCCCCTTGGGGGAGTTTGTAGTATAGACTGAAAAGTGAAGATAACATCAAGAAAGCCATGCGATTCCATTAACTGGATTTACTGTTAGTAAACCTTTCAAATAAAAGTCATCCCAGTAAGAAGTTAGACTTGACTTAAGTCGGGATCTTCCATGAGTTTGTGTTTATGCTTTGGATGTGGAGGCCGGCGTCATTACTTGCTTCGTGCCCTCTTGTTCCCACTTGGTACTGTGAGTTCAGAAATCCCTTTTCTAGTTTAGAAATCCCAACTTGACAAATTTGCCAGCCGTTTGTACACAGCTCATCTACTAAGACAGGTGGCAGCCAATCAAATTGCTGGACTTAGTTTTACATTGTCCATACCTCTGTTATAATGAAAACTACACATCACCGACGGGGAGTCAGATTGGCTTATCTGTCAAGTTGGACTCACTGACTGGTGACACATGTTGTACGAGGATATCGCAGAAAACCTATCAAATGAGGGTGCCTTATAAAAATGCGAGCGGCCAAGTGCAACGACCGTGTACTGTGTATACGAAGGGATGGCTGACTAGGGAAGAGCAAGGAAAGTCCAACTTGATTCCAGTCTAGTAAGAAGTTGGCTTGGTGCCTTTACCTTTGATGGATTCCCAAAAGTCGTTGCGGTCTTTGCGCACCGAGGTGAACTTGGCAAAGTCGTAGTTGGTCTTCCAGATGTAGATGCAGTGATCTTCGGAACCACAAATGATGTAGCGGTAATTGTGGCTGAGAAGGTAACGACAAATAAGCCGCGGTGTTAACGCCCTCAGAAGTTTGCAAGGAGCTTTTGCAACAAATGCTTTGCTGTGCGTGAAAAGTACAATGCTCAGGGAAGAAAAAAGTGGATGGAAGCCAGGGACAGAGCTTACCTGAACGAGGCTCTGATCTGACTGCTGATGTTCATGCATCCTTTGTACTTGCAGGTCAGCGAGAGGTCACGGAGGTCATACAGCCTCAGGCGAGAGTCATTAGAAGTTACAAGAATCTACACAAAAGAAAACGAGCCCCCCCCCCAAAAAAAAAGTCATACAAAATTTCAGGCGTTGAAAACTTATTTCAAAATAATTGTAAAGGTCCAGCTGTTGAAAACTGGCAAGACTTTTTTTGAGTAAAGATTAAGAGGGGCGTGGCAGGGGTCAAAAAAAAGGGGCGGGTGATGGGGAAGAGTTCTGGTGTAAGAAAGAACTGTTGGGAGTGGGTACGAATACCGTAATGTGCCTGGAGTGAGAACCTACCTTATCCTGACCAGGAAGGGGTTCAATGGCGGTGATCTTCCTTCCTATGGCGTTACGCCCTCTGGTGGATCGCACGTGAATCTGACTGTAGTACTTCAAATGCTAGAATTTACACAAAAGAAGCACAACTCAAAGGGTAGAGCAACAACAATGGGACTTCCAATGTCAGTCATCAGAGAATCTCAGAGCCAATGGGGGATGAGATGTCAGCCACGGACACAAGAGAGAAGAAATGAAAAAAGGCAACCCGAATTTGAGCCGTACACGAACAACGAAATGGCGTCCGATTCGGATGGGTTCGTTTCATACCTCGGTGTCGTAGAAGATGCATCTCCCGTCGTAGGTACCCACCACGGAGAAGCGGCCGTTCTGGATGAAGTTGGCGGCGGTGATCAGCTTTGTTGGGCCGTCCACCTCATTCCACAGCGCCACCTTCTTGTCTGGAATGTTCCACAATCGTAGCTTGCCGTCCAGGGAGCCACTCAAGAAGTAACGATCGTCCTGCAGTCAACGGGGAAAAAATTGTCTGACTCTGCACACTTTTTTTTTGAAGTTGATTACTTCAAAATGCATGAAGAGACCTCTTCTTTCGATCTGTCTGAGAAATCGTCTGAACTATTTATTTTTGGAATTCAACGACAAAAACTTTTGCCTTTTCACAAAAGTGCTATTTTAAGAGTGGTGACACAACCAGCAAGCGTTAAAAAGAACGAAAAAAGACAAGATTTCAAATGAGTTACTTGTGAAGAGAAATGAGTTCATTATACAGCAAATTTATCAAAGAAAACAGACACTTGAAACCGAGTGGACTAAGGAAAGGGAAGTTTGTAAACCAATTTCCTGGTGTCACAGTCAAGACCCCCTTAAGACCATCACATGACCCCACAAGACCATCACATGACCCCACAAGACCAATACACGACCCAACAAGCCTAACACCAGACCTCCAGTCTGAATTCAAGTAAACTGATGTATTTCCTTTGTCACTCTTCACCCTCTTACTTCTGACGGGTCTCGACGAGAACACAGTGACTTTCACACTTTCAAACCCACTGCAAACAATTCGGTGCAGAGGAATTGCGTTGGGGCTTACCCGTGGGTGGAAGGCGATGGCAGTGACAAAGTCGATGTGTTGGAAGCAGCAGAGACACTCGCTGCGGGAGATGTGCCACAGCCTCACCGTCTTATCCATGGAAGAGGACAGAATGAAATAGTTCTGGAGGGAATGGAGTACCAAAGTGAATAAGTCACGCGCACAATTAGTGTGGAAGAGGCATGAGCGCGTGAACCAACACGCGCGCGTAACTCCATTCATCTGCACTGCACTGTCTGGTTCACAGTGACGTCACACTTCGGTACTCTGACGAAACATTGCCAAGTCAAAAAGACACTGGATTGCTCGGACCTAGAAACTCGGGGATTTCTCGGTGGGAGCAGCCCGATGATGGCCGGATGTTGCCTCGACATGGAATGATGGCCTGCCTTTGCTTGTGTTAATGGCCAGTTTGGGTACGTAACATATAATTTTTTGACTGAGGGAAGATATTAGCATAGCAAGCACATGACATATGTGGCTAATTTGCTTCATGACCAATGCGAATACAGAACAGTTGTGCCAAAAGCCGTGGGGGATTTCTATTGCTTGTGACCTGTCCCTCACTCACCTGCCCCTGGCAAGACAATCTGTGGTCCTGCTATACAAATGAATTTCTACCTTGGACCAGGAGACGTCCAGCACATCGGCCGTATGTCCCGAGTACTCAAAGAACGGTGTCCGGGCAAAGATGGCCAGCTCATCGTCGAGGGCACTCTCCCGGATGGGCATGTCCGGCTGCTCCTCCCCCTCAGGTGGGGTGTCCTCCTTCTTGGCATCTCTTGGCTCCTCGGCAGCGTCCTCCGATCCAGACCGCTCTCTCTCTGGGTCAGAAGATGAATCCTTCAAAGAGAAAAATTTGTCTTGAGATATTCACCATCCTAAGTTCAAAAGTGGGTGTCTCATGCCTTTGTATGCAATTTGAAAGTATTCCTACTACTGTGTTGCTCAAATGAATTTATACGTGCTTCACTCAAGCAGAGTTTTTTTAATCATTGCACTCCTTCCTCTCTCATTTCTTAGTTTCTTAGCCGACAAACCTTCTCTGAGCTGCTGCCCTCTTGTGCCTGCTCTCTGGCCTCGTTGCTGTAGCGCTGCCTCATGTCGTCAAAGTACTTATAGTGGTCTTGAAGGACCCAGACACGCAGGATCCTGTCCTGACCGGCCGTTGCCTAAGCAACACCATCAAAAAGCAATTATAAGGTGGCAAGTCACAGGTAGACACATTCAGGCAAGAGTTTTGAGTTTTTGCAGCGTTAGTTTATAAAGACTGCACTCTTTCAGTTTTTTATAAAAGTTTAATTGTGTGAAAAAAGCTCTTTGTTGGTGATGTTCACGTTTGAGTTACGACTGAACGTTTGGAGCATCAGCAGTCTCTCAACTTTCCCTACACCACAAATTAAAAAAAAAAAAGATGCGATTTTCAGCTGTTTCTCCGTTCATGCCTGTGCCCAAGTCGGTCTGGCTTTAGCGCATCATGTCACACTTCTCTTTGAAAACCGTTTGTTTCTAATTTCTGTTGGTATCTGCTTTGAATCCATGTGCATGCGGCCAGGTATTTTGTCCTGAATGGAAAAATCCTCTCTTGACATGAATATGCAAAGATGCAACATAGAACTGGTCAGTGATTTACCAGTAATCGCCCACAGGGGGAGAATTTCATGGTCCACACTGCCCCAGCATGCTCTCGGCCCAGATCCTGGGCCAACCTCAGCTGGTCAAAGTCGTAGGGACCCTTGTTGCTGCCAGACGCTTTGAACTGATGAGAACAGAGAGCAAGAGATGAGCTGTCTTGAAATCTTCTGGTTCTAATGGTATCAAAATGTTCCTGGCCCTGCTGAAGTTTTTTCAGCTCAATGTTCACTCAGACACAGAAAGAGGAATAATAGTGACCAATTAAGTTTGTTTTGTTTTAATTGTTGGAAATTGTTGGAACCTTCACAATCCTCGAATCTGGAAGCGACTCCTCATCACTGGATTCCTGCTCCTCATGCCTGAAGGCCTCGTCTGCGACATTCTTGATCTTGGTCAGGATTTTCTTGAACTTGATTCTGACGAGAAAGAAAGGCAGCAGTTTTTAAGAATCCCCCATGCCACACTGGCTGCCGGGTTCATCAGGAGTCCAATTGCAATTTGACCACGGATCGTGCTGCTGTTCAGGTCAAAGAAACTGACAAGAGATGATCTGTCTGAGTTTCGTTCAGTAATTTCTGGCTTGACTTGACTGCGGTCCAGGTTCAAATCCCAGCTCCATCCACATGTGGATTGGGTTTTCAGTCCCTACCTAATTCCGTGGGTTTTACCCAGAATATTCCTCTGGGGTTTTCCTCCCACCTCTAAAACTGTAACTTCTTCTCATTGTCTCCTCTCTACAGGTTTCTTCAGGCTTGTGAGCTACACAGTGCCCAGGGAGCTTTTGAGGAATCTTTGGTGTCATTACCAGAAATAATTAATAATTATTAATTAATGAGATCGGAATGAAACCCCAATAAACCAGTAACACAATGTAGGTGCTTCAACAAAACTGCAGAATAGACCCACACAATAATGAAAGAAACCTAACCATACCAAAACCATGGCTCAATTGGCAGTCGGCTTCAATTTAAACCATTTGTTTGAGGACCGGCGTGTTGATGGGTTTTGATGGACAAAAAGAGAAGCATGATTCCAATTTCACCGAATCCAAATTCCAGATTTACTTCTTGGATTTGGATTTCTTGACCCCCTGCGTGGCTGCTTTGGCCTTCTCTCCGTCACTTCCGCCCTCCTTGTCCAGGCTTGTATTGCTGTGGAAAATCCAGAACACAGTGGCTTGAACCAGGGTTATCACACGCGAAAAGCCATGCAGCCATACTTCAAAAAAAAAAAACAAAAGGTGTACTGTGTTTCCATGTGACTGAAAGATCGTGGGTGGAACCAACATGCATAAAGTGGGTGTGGCTTGGATTACCATAGACGGGGCGTTTTTATTTCTTTTTCTGCAGCACATACCTGACATACTCGGACGTCAGTCTCATTATGTGCAAGGCCAACGGATTGATGCACTTCGGCAGTCTTTCCTCGGCCAGCAGGAGAGGGACAGTGTCTCCCGTGTCCAGATTCCTAACCGTGACCTGAGACAGTACTTCCTGGAGGTCAAGAAAATACAAGGGAACGAGAGGGTCAGTTCAAACTGACCAATTTTTTATACAGGGCATTTCCCGCACAAAGTCTCTGTGCAATGACATTGTTATTACCCCTGTTCATCATGCCTGTAAACATTCCCAAAACAATCTCAGCTCCCGGGTGATGAAAACTGTAGAGTAACCATCACTGGTACCCCTTGGTACTTCTGCGGGGAGGGAGGCATGTAGGGGTGACATGACCTGTCCAAGGGTCACTCACGACATGTAACCAGAGGCTGGATTCGAACCCCGGACCCTATTATCAGGAGTAACAAACTTTGACTACCTGTCCACACACCCCTCTTGGAACAAGAGGATGTACGGATACTGTCTACCCCATCAGGCAGACTGCAGAACCAGCAGTGAGAATCAAACACCCACCTCGTCGGTGAGCTGTTCCCCTTTCGCCGAGCGGCCCTTCATCAGGTTGTGATACTGGGACAGTGTGTCCATCTCCGGCGTCCCCCCTCTGCTGCCCTTGCCCTCGGAGGTGGCCGGCGACCCGCCCTGGCTCCGCGGGGGCTTGGGGGGTGGGGGCCCAGAGGGGACAGGGTTCTTCAGGGCTTCCAAGACCTCGGCGCGGGACTCACCCTTGATGCTCTGGGTCTCCTGTTGAAATACGAAGTAACGAAGCTCCAGGCTTAATCCAAGCAATGGCCCTGGCTGAAAACGGCACACACTCATTCAGAGCTTACAGACTACTGGTTGGAGACTATAGAGGAATATCACATTATTAACCCCAACTGCCAAGCATATTGTTTGGCTTACACTACACAGTACTACAAAATACTAAGAAATAGTCTGAGCCTGAAGGACCTAGCGCTACAGATTACTACTTCTGGCTAGGTTACTTCCATTGTTACTTGTACAGAGAACAATAAAGCCATGCATTCATAGTGCCACAGCACTGTATGGTACATTGTCTTATCTATTGTATCTTATGGCTTCTGAGAACAATAAAGTCATGTCCTCTTACAAGCGACAGCGCTCAGTACTACATTTTACTACAAGTAGTAATTTGTAGTATTATGTAGGGTTAAGGTTAAAGTGCTGACCAATCATTCCCCACACCGAGAAGTTCTGACACCTCTTGAGCACAGACATTTTGAATTCATGGGAAGGTGTAAAGAACATAAATGAAATTCCAAATGATGTAATCCAAATGCAAAGGGTTAGAACATCATACACAATAGCACACAACGCGTTTGCTATTAAGGAGGCTTGAACTAGCCCTCAAGCATCCATGGGCCACGGCAGGGGAGATTTTTCTACAAAATGATCTCTGAATTACAAGACAGCAAAGATGCGATGAGAAATTTTGCACAAATCGTGAACAAATGACCACCGAGGGTAACCATTGTTAATTAAATGCCACACAGTGCATCGGGTGAAAAAGTCTGATGCACTTTGATGGCAATCGACAGCAGCCGAACAAACTGGCCATGTTGAGACAATGGGATCTAGTCCCACTGAACAATGCCGCTGCTGGATCTTGTGTTGACTGGCAACCACAGACTCCCAGGCTGTTTGGCCTCTTGGATCATGTTACACTGGGCAGGCAAGCCACTTTGACAAACGATGCAGACTGATGTGCCTGGCAGGGTTTCTAGCCAAAATAGGCATTAGACGTTTAAAGTTTTTAAACATCGTGCCTGGGCCAAGTTAACAATGCAATAACATGAGGCCAATGTCAAGGTATTTTCATTTGTTTGCAATGGCGAAGGTTTAAAACTGGTTGCAAAGCTGAAGACGAAACCAAGACCTGAACAAGCAAGAGGGTTTCACCTGATGCAGGACCACAGCATCGCTGGTGGCACTGGCCAGGTCCAGAGAATGCTCCAGCTCTTTGGTCAGTGACTCGATGGTGGTAGTAGGGGTGAGGAGACCGCTCAGAGGCCTGCCCGATGAGCCCGGCTCAGGTGGAAGGCCTACCGACACCTCCTCCCCCTGGCTCGCTGGAGTCTCCGCCTGTTGAAAACGAAGAATTTGGGGTTCATGGGAAAAGCTCATAGTACTGAAACATAATCTCACCTGAGGCTCTCACAGGAGGCACACATCCGTACAGATTATGATAATGTATCAGGGTGCAATGCAAGTTTAAATATACCAAATGAACATGCAAGAAATGAAAAATGAAGTGCGTTTGTCACTGTTAAGATTGTAGGAAGACGGAAAACCTCCACATGCAATGTGCACATTTTGAGAGCATCATGTGATGTGAGCACATCGAGAAGGGAACCATTTCTAGGACGTACATGTAGAATGCATACAGCCTAAGACCTTGGCAAAATCCTATGACATTAATACCTAGATTTGAACATTCAGTTTAGTAACGTCATTTGGAAAAAGAGAAAATAGGTTTGGATTTGTCCCAAAGACAAGTTGGCATACAATTTGCCTTTCCGAGATCTTACCTTTTTCGTAGTTCCTTGCAAACCTCTACTGGACATTTCACTCAATCATTTTGAGTCCATTTTCGTAAGTTTTAATGACAGCTTTGTTGTACTGGAATTTAACCTTTGACACACCTAAAGTTGTCAGTCATGATGTTAATATTTTCCAATAAGCAGTGCTCAGCCAGTTTGAGACATTCATTTGAAAGCACTCACGGTTTCTTTCCTGGACTGCAGATTTTTGATTTCCGGAGTTGGGGTTTCCGACGACTTCGGTTTCTTCTTCTTCCGCGGTGGGGCAACAGGCTGGGGCGGCATATCACCCTGGGAGTCTACCCCCAGGGGTAGCGCCGAGGGCCTCTCCCGAATGCTGGCAATGACATCGGGCTGGACGTTCCGATTGGCCAAGCCGGGCTCCCGGGGAACGGCGTCATCCTGGGGCGTGTCAGTCTGTCGGCCCAGGATTTCCTCCGCTACGCCCTGGGAAGAAGGTTCTGAGGCTTCTCTGGCCGGGTCTTGGTCGCCGGATGACGCCAGCCTGCTGCTGTGCCCAGCACGGTCTTCCCGGAGACGCATCTCCTCCAGGCGTTTGCGGCGTTTCTCAGCCTCAATCCTCCGTTGTTCAGCCTCCTGAGCAGTAAAGTTCATTATACATGTACTTGCTGCTCACTTACAGCACATTTTGGCATAAGAAAAAAGTTTAATTTTACTAAGATGCATCAACGTACAAGCATGACCGCCTCCCACAAAACGAGTCTCAAGGCCATATTTTTGGTGGAAAATTCTTAGCACAAATGCCAAATGGGTTATGGTGGGGAAAATGTACACAAACAGCCCAAAGGTTGTGACAGGCAGATCGAATCATATCATGGCAGCAAGGTTTGTCCAATGAAAACCCTCCAATCTGCAACCAGGTATGCTCTCTGACCTGCTGTTCTAGTAATCGCTCTTCCTCCTCCTGTTTTCGTCGCTCCTCTTCCTTCCTCTGCTTCTCTCGTTTCCTTTGCTCTTCCAAGAGACGCTGGAGCATAAACAATACAAAATGCACCGGTGGTCAGTCTGAAGGACAGTTTCCAAGGCATTCCACTCGTTTGGAGGTGAACAATTCTTATAAACCAGCCAACAACCATTTTTACTCATCTCGTTAAGCGCAGGACCTGCACATCGCTAGCAGTTAACCACTTTGTAAAAACGGCGAGGCCGTCTCACCTGTCGTTCTCTCTCCTCTTCTTCTCGCTTCTTGGCTTGGACCTCCTCTATCTTCCTCTGGAGGGCCTCCTCTTCCTGCCTTCTCCGCTCCTCGGCCAAGCGTCGCTCGGTTGCCAGTCGGTGCAGCTCCTCTTCAAACTCGGAGATTGCCGGTGGCTTTTTGGCCTTCCTGCCTCATCCAAAATCAAAACACAGGGCACTTTTGAAGCAAGCCCCAGTAGCTTGTCTTGCAAGCAAATTTTATTCAAAAGTGTTACAATAAGAAGAAAGATATTGTAAACAAGGCCTTCATCTCCATCTTTGATGACACCTTATAAAATCTTATCAATACTATTTGAACAGGCCAAAGGAACTTTTGACTTTTTGACTTGATACGATGACAACAAAACCTGAATGGTCTTAGTTCAACTCTTGATCATAAATTATAGGCCTAAGGCCTACTACAGGTTATGGTTTTCCATATACATTGTACGGACGGACAACACTACCTTTCCCTTAAATATTATAACAGCCATCAGAAAGTGATAACATGTCTACTTAGCAACATATAAGAAAATTCCAAAGCATTTACTTGAAAACACTAGGTTTGTGCACATAGGCATTTTGACTGGACTTAGTCAAATGATCAAAGATGTCATGCTGCAGACCTAGTTTTAGGGACTTGGAAATCCGCAACTCTGCGGCGACCACTTTTCCCCATCTCACTTGCACACGATGTTGTTACCTGGTTTGCCTGGTGCCTGAAACAACAGCATTTTTCACGGCTGTTCCAGTGGTAATTTCTTGATATCACTTCATGTGTTATAGAGGGAGAGTTCGCCTTCAACCTCTACCAGAATTTTTTCACTTTCGCCGCTTTTTTCACGATGCTACGGCAGTTTGGAAATATGGTTCATGTTCGGCTGATTTTTTTCCTTACAATGAACCTTTGTGATAAAAAAAAAAACCCAGGTAATTAAGTACTGTAGTTAGAACATATTTTAATGAATAAAATAGTAAAGTTGCAGTGCACTTGAGTACTTTTTTACAACCGGACCTGACCGATGTATTCACAATAGCAGTGTAATGGTAATTCCATAATGGAGCAGAAATCAACTTTCAAACTTACCCAAGAACTTTACCTCGATGGCTTGAGGCTAATTAGACTTTTTTAGCATTTTAAAATTCTATATATTATTATTTTATTTTCTCAATGTTGGTGGATTAAATCAAGTGATAAAGGCAAATTTTTTCGTGCTGGTCAAAATAAAAGTCACATGACTAACATGACATAATGTGATCGGACAATGATGCAAACAGGAGGCCAAGCGGTCTTTCTTCAGCGGATTTTGTGCAGATATTTTGCAATTTTACATTACATTTTCAGGTCAGGTTCCTCTGAGTCCATTTATTCACGATGGTTTATTATTCTTTGTAAAAATGTGTGGCAATAATAACCCAGAAAGGCATTAAACATTTAAAAAAATGAAATAAAAAAGATACACAGACAGAGATCACAGTTCCTGCCTTTTTTCCATTGGAACAAATGCACCATAAGTCACTTGTAAGTGGGGCCTTCAAATTTCTAGATCTTTGGCATGTTTGGACTGGGTTGATGGATTTTGACAAATAAGGTGTCATTTGAATGGTGAACTTGAACTCTATGTAATACCTGAGCAACAATGCCATCAGATTATTTTGAAAATATTTCCCAGTCCCTATTATTTTAGGCTACCCACAATTACTTGTTTTTAAACAAAAGGCTTATTCACTGCACTTAGGCCATGTAAAAAAATAAATTGGTGATCATGCCCGTCCGACCCTTTTTTTTAAGTTTTATTTTACAAAAGCCGAGGGGGGCGGGAAATGTACAAAAAGAACCAAAAAATTACACGAGAAACGATCCCAAGCTTACCCTTCAGTCTAAGAATTCGTGCAAGACTAGATCATACTCGACCAGAGGCTGTTCTCTCTATTGAACATGCGTGCTAGGAAAAGGCAAAGTTCCATTCAATTTAAGGAAAGGGTGGTAAATGGAACAGCACCACTGACTAATGAGACATGGCCGCATCCGAATTATTGGCTGCGGCTGCGACTACATGCACAAATACATGTGTACAGTCCATCCCTGTTAACAAGAGAACTGTTAACACAACATTCTGCTAATATGTGAACGAAATTTTTTGGCTCCATTTCTTTGTTTTTCACTGCTTTTTGTTCTTAATATAAAAACAAGGTTCCTGTTGTAACAAGGCAATAGACCAAGTCCCAAGGACCTCTTAAGTTAAGACTTAACATAACAACAGGGTTCAACTGTAGTAGTATTTGGCATAAACTTGCTGTCATTTAAACGCATGTGGACATTTCTTACCCCTAAAAACACCTCCCCCCACCTTCCCTTTACGGGCAAAAAGGATGATCACTGATTTTTTTAAAATTATGCACGGCATTAACACTTTCATGACTGTTCTTAATTGATGACTGAATTAACAAAAAGAGTTCCAATATGGACAACACTTGAGGCCTTGTGCACAAACCTAGTCTACATGTACATGTAAGTATGAGACTTCTCTGAAAAAACCTAGGCCTACAGTGCAAGTGTTTTCTAAGTAGGGTGAAGACTACTTAACATGCTAAAGTGGCTTTTTCGGAAGTTCAGTTGCTAACTTTTACTTTTTAGGACATGTTATCACTTTCTGACAGCTGTTAAAACATTTCAAAGGAAAATTAGGAAAGAGATCCATATACATGATACAGCCCGGGCTATATGGTTTACGGATGCCACTTGACACGCCATGCACAAACAAACCCCATGAGACTGGTCTGAAAAATTCTGACATGTCTGAGATTGTTATCTATTCTATTAAAGTAAACGACTTGGTTTTTTTTCCTCCTAAATTGAACTTTTTTGGACATGTTTTTACTTTCTGAATACTAATAGGTCATTGTAGGGAATAATTACTGGCGAACTCTTCCCACAATGGACATGATGGAGTAGGCTACGTGGCTAGGCTTCTCACCTGGGCGGGCTTGACCCGATCCCTGGACCTGCGTGCGACAGTTCTGCATCTTCTGCATCATAAAACTCATCAGAATCGCTCTCTGATGTCATGATAGCATCACGTGGAATACTGTACTACTATTTGCACAAATCAACAAATTTGTAACATAATACTTATGCTCCAAATGTGATATACATGTAAACATCGACCACTAGACTTACTACACTATATACTGTAAGTTAAACCACAACCAAGTTTAGAAATTGATGTTTTTATCTTTGTATCTTTGACGTTAATAGGCTGGCTCCTTCACTGGAAGGCCTTGGTGTATTTTGTTTTTAGAATGCTGAAAAGGGTACAAGATACTTTTAAATAATACTATGGCACAAAAGAGGGCGCTATAAACTATATATCCCCCAAAGGGGCGTGTCTTTATCTTGCTACTACTGGGAGATATAATTCACGGACGTTTTCAAATTTCTTTTGGCAGTTATGTGCTTGCTTTTTTAAATACAAATTCAGTTCCTCCGTAAATAGTCAATCAAGTACATGAATTTTCAACACTGAACCCGATATTAAACGGGAGAAAATTCAAGTTGTTACAGATAAGCAAAAAGTTCTATTTTTGTCGGTGACTATTATTATTGACCTGACAAAAGAGGGCGGTATTATCATAAAATGGATGCGCCCACGTCTGCGGATGTGGCTTGTTATTAATCTTGCTTGTTTAGTTTGCTGTTACCATCATGCCCATTACTCAGTCAGTTTAAGATAATGGAAATAAAGTCTTCAATCTAAAGAGAATGGACCAAAGAAATTTAGACAACATCATCTTCACTCACGGACAGTCGATAAATAGAGGTGGGCATGCCGTACTCCCCGCCACAGGCCTAGCCTTACATGTACGATACCGTAGCTTGGGCTTATCGCAAATACTGCATGAGCAGGTGATGAGCCTGGGTGATTTTTCACAAAAGTAGAAAGGCATTGTGGGAAGGAGAAAGGGGCAATTTTCTTCCCACAGTGCCTTTCTGCCATTGTGTAAAATCACCCTTACAGTATTTGAAGGTTTATGCTTCAACTTCAACTTGCTTTGTTCTGTCATACTCATAGCCAGAGGAAGGTCACAACATGCATGAGGAGTTGTGGGGATCCGGAGTTGCAACTCAGACACTTCAAAGTGTTCAATGATGGTCGCCACCGAGTCAGACTAATAATAGAAAACATTCCAAAAATGCCTGATTACTGCCTGCATGTTAGCCGGACAAGTGGGGCCAGCAATATCCTTGCAATACTTGTAGTTTTTGGCTTGCAATTAAATACAAATTAGCACTGTTAGGCCGACCAGGAAATAGGGAGAGAAAAATCCCTGATATTAGGCCTAGACCTAATTTTGCCATCGTAAATAAACTTTTTAAATTTTGATACACTGTTCCATTATCCATGCTAAGTGTGTAATTTTATTCTCCTTCGTCCAATACATCAGTGTTCAAAGACTTGATACGAGTTTGGCTAAGACTGCCATCAAAATGTTCACCAGGCCTACTGCTGGAAAGAGTAGTTCATTAGGAACAAAATGCACTATTCCGTCACAGGGAGTGATTGTGAAATCTCATAAAGTATGCTTTTGTACAAATTCCATACTAAAAATGATTCAAACAAAACACAAAATCTTGTAAACAACCGTGCTATTTATTCCCAAAATAACTCTAGAAGAAAGAGCTCATTAAGGGCAATGACTGCACATATAGATTTAGAGCACACAGCGTAATGCAAGCAACTGTGCAAGCATTAAGTTTGATTTTGTCATGAGATCACACCAAGCACCAACAAAGGCATGAATATTCAATTTCCTATACCTCAGTACACGAAGTATTAAGGATGCAGATTACCAGCAACAAATTGCAGCGGCGATTATAGGGTACATAGGGGATTCGTGGTTGGGAAACAGATGGTGGGCATTCGCTGCAGTCTGGTTATGGACATACCAGGCGTGTCAGAAAGCGGTTATTGGCCAGATGTCATAGCCCGGGCAGTTCCAACTCCTGTGTCCATGTTTCTATCATGCCTAGATGCTTGGAGTGCTTGGTCATCATGGTCATGATCTGGTCATGCTGACCAGATGACATGATATTATGGAACTCTCCAGCCACACTAGAATTTGTAGAATTAGGCCTACAGTGTAAAGCAGCGAAAGTCCCTATGTCTACTTTGGGGTAAAAAGTTGTTACATGTATGGTTACCATGGTTACGAACCCCATATATGCCATATTCACTCACCCAAGCATGCCAAGTACATGTACATGATGTAAGCCAACATGTAGGCCTTGTCATGTTTAATTTAGAAATTTGACCGAACTGCAGTCTGGCTGTGTGGCACGATCGGCAGTTGGTTTGTGGTTGTTCCCATTTTTGTAGTGTTTGTGAGTTTTTATAGTTTAGTCTCTATCAATGTCATAATGTCTAGTAATTCTGTCATTCATTTACTGGGGCCTACATTCTGACATTGATTCTCTAAAAAAAAGTTAAATTATCAGTGAGTGTCACCCATCATGTTCATTGAATATGTTGAATGTGCAAGTTAAAAAAGAAATTAATATGATTATATTTACATGGATAACTGTCTTAATTTAGATGGCACATTGCCGGCTTTTCCTAGACTGGAGGGGGACGGAAAGGAAAATGCCTTTAGCTCCAGTGAACCTGCTGGAATCCCAACAGCCATGCCCCGCCTGGCCCGGCCGGCCTTCTTCGATGGCAAAAGTCGGAATTCCACCGATGTGGCCCTCGCGGAGCGGAATCGGCAGCGGGATATCGGGCCTCAGTCCCCGGGACCTCTAGGCAGTGGCTGCTCGGTCTTTGGGAGTGGGCAGCGGGACGTTTGTGCCCAGCTGGAGGAGGCTATCAAGGAGAAAGAGAAGCTGAAAAAACAGTTGTCCAGGGTGGAGACAGAGGTGAGAGAACTGAGGGAGGATCAGACAGCGATGGTGTCAGAAGCGGCCGTTCAAAATCAGGTGGGTTTTGAATAACAGACTGACTGACAGCCCGACTGACAGACAGACAGACCAATCAACCAATAGACATACAGCTCAACAGCAAGACAGACAAGCAGAAACCACAAGGAATAAGTGGAACAGCTTTTGGAAAGAAGAAAATGATGTGAACGTACATTGCTGCTGTGTTTTTTGTCGGTGCAATGCCTTTTGCAGCACAAAGTGGACATCAAGAAGTGCTCGCGGTAAACCTGCTTGAGTTTAAGTGTCAAGCTGTGTCAAACTTGCCATGCAAATGCCAGTCTTATCATTGCAGCACTGCACTTATCTCTGCTGTTTTGCACCAACGATGAATTCGGTTGTACTCTTCAGTGTCAAGTGTTTTTTTGTAAACAGGCTTTTGTAAGCAGGTTATAATGACATCGTCAGTCACACCACAGACTGACATACTTATATCATGTATAGTTACCGCCCCACAAAAGGACGTGCATCGTACGCACAGCATCAAGGCATGATGCGTTACTTTGTGGTGCCTCAAATCTATCCTATGCATCACTTCATTGTGCAACTGGCGGTGCGCATGTCCCTTTTGAAAAACAGTTTACCGAGTGATGCAGTCTTGCCCACAGCTCCTGGTTTCTTTGGAACTACCAACTCACTTCATGTCTTTTTCTCGCACTTCCCCCACAGGTCAACAAAGATTTGAAGAAACTCCTGGTCGCGTCCATGGGGGCAGATCTACAGGCCCAGCTGGAGCACCTGTCCACTGAGCGCGCTCAGCTCGCGCAAGACCTGGAGAACACGATAGCAACACTGGCAGAGGAGCGCGAAACCCTTGAGAGGGTCAACATTCAGTGCGACGTTTGGAGGAGTAAATTCCTGGGCAGCAGGTAAAAAAGTGACGTTCACTACAGAATCCCAAATTGCTTTTCAACTTTCAAGGGTGTGTTTTCATTGCTCGAACCAACTCAAACTTTGCCTGGCAAAGTGCCTGGAAGCATTTTCACTGCAACAGGCCCACAGAATGTACATATTCCAACACAAACACTAGTGGAGCATATGGAGCATGAGTGGATACTGTTCTTTGCATCTCAGAGATTTCAGTCTGAATTGATTTTCGGTTTTGTGGTGAGGTGAAGCTTGCTGTTGTGGTAGAACTTACTTTTAAGGTTTATGACTTTGTTTCCCGAAACCTTCAGACTTCATCAGACAATCAAGGACCCCGCTTGATGGGTCTCATATCAGACATCATATAGTGAGGGATATATTTGAATGGCACATTCCAGAGCCGTACCGATGTTCCCTTTGAGCGAAGTTCCCTCTTTATCATGACCCGACTCTTTGACTTGTAGAAATACTGCCGAATTTCATGCCTCGTGGGTGCCGGGCCTCCCTTGTCGGTAAACTGTGGATTTTATTGCTTTTGGAGACTTGTATGGTAAGGCATGAGTGAGAGATTAACCTCTGACCTCTCCGTGACCACCCCCGTCCCCCAATCAGATTGCAGGTGGATGAAGCTGTGTCCTCCCGCACCCGTCTAAATATGGTCCTGCAAGAGGCCTGCTTTGCACTCGGCAAAATCTTGGAAGAGCGGGATGAGATCAGAACCCACATGATGCAGACACAAAGGTCAGTCCAGGTCAATTTGTCGTTAACTCCATCAAAATATCTGACAGGTTACTCCACTGTCTCTTTAATTGCCTACAGAGGACTAACAATCTCTCAGAGGACGTCAAGATCTAAGTGAGGTCCTCACTACTAACAGATCTACTCAGCCAGTGGCCACTTATCATTTCAAGGGGCTTATTCTTTGTGCTTCAAATTCTCCTGCAGGCTACTCCACTATCTCTCCAATGCTCTTCAGAGGACACACAGCCTCTCTGAGGACATCAAGCCCTCTAGTAACGTCCTCACCTTGGCCTTACTCAACGAGCAGGTGGCCACCATCGTCTCCAAACACCTGTTGGGGGACGTGGGGCACTCACAGGACAAGACCGCCTCCCAGTTTGACTTCGTGGAGTGGACCTCAGCCGAGATGCTGGCAAAAGATGTAAGGCTGACAAAAAAGTAACCTCAGATACACCTCTGTTATTGGTCATTATTCCAATGTATTAAGCAAATTCAAGTTGCTCATTCAGCGAGATGGCCGTCCCCCCCTTGGCTCCTCCCCCACATCAGCAAAGGTTTTTTTCGAAAAAGGAATTCTATTCTATCAATTTCTTCTTCGGCCAAAAAAAAACCTGGTTTTGGAAGAAATAACGTTGTCCAACATATTTTACCCCTTGTCAGATTCTCTTGAACCGTCAACCAGCCTTGAAACTGGAACAGTTGCATACGTTTCCGTCATCAGCGTCGACAACGTTAATGCCACCGTCGTCATCGTCACCGCCATCAGCAACGGCAGCTGCTGCGACGGGACTTGTGACCAAGACGAATATGGCACACCGCTTCCATCCGCAGACCAAGTACGAGAACCTGACCATAAACTGTTGTAAATACTGCACCGGCGACATTAAACTGGTATGACGGATCATCATAGCCCGGCAAGCAGGGTGTAACAGCTGTGGAACACTTTACAGACTGCGTATTTCGCGCTCTGTAAGAACAGCATGGTAATTGTTACTTGCCCTAGGAGAGTAGGTTTTCATTTAATTTATTCGTCAAGCTAAGTTCACTTTGCACAGTATTTTTATTTTGTATTTTTATGCCCCGGCCCCCTCTACTCTCGCATTTCCCAAAGACCAAGCTGCGCATTTTCACGTTACAGGCAGGAACATCTTTCTGATTCTGGGCTCCATGCCTGAGCAAGAGGTGATGCTTCCTGACCTAGCAACAGTGTCCTTTGGGGTGCACACAGACCACTTGTGGACGTTGGACACTTTTGCTGTCACAATGCTCTCCTTTACCGTAATAAATTTTCGAGCAGTTTAAGGTTTTTTAAAGCTCCGATCTCACTCCCCATTCCAGTGTTCTGTGTCCATTTTCAGTTGGAAAAAATTGTATCTTAGTTTCAATATGTCATGTTTTTGTCTCATCGTTGGCAGGACTTTCAAGATGGATGATCACATAATGCAAGTAGAAACAGGTGTAACATTCACATTCCATGACCTTACGGATCACGGAAACAAAATAAGCGACAAAAAATAACATTGTGAGATCTCACCACACTACTAAAATCAAAGTCGAATATCAAGTCACGTAAGCACTTTGTGTGTAATTGGTTAAAAACTTGACCCTTGAACCCTTGATAATTCCTTTAGGCATGGTCATGCGAACAGATTTCAAGTTATTTCCTCCTGGCCGGCATATCAGTACTTAGCAGCACACCAGGTATTGACCTCTGAACCCATCAGCTATCTCTGCTTCCAGATATGCTCATTGCATTGGTAATGCGTGTTTATATGATATGTGCAGACTTAAGCCTCGGGGGTGGGGGAAAAACAGTATCATGTGAGTTGACTCTCAGTGGCCTGCGTTTTGTCATGTGCAGTGTTTAACCAGTCCACTTCCTTCGAACAATTTCCTGCTTGTCTTGGCACTGAACTGAACATGCATACATGGACTTGTCTGTATTCTGCGCCTGCAAAGATACACAGTCACATTTTCGGAAGTGTATCGATCGACGGTTGTGTTTTGTTTCCAGTTTCACTTTGCAAAAGCCACTGACGTGACTGCGTCAATGTGAAACACTTTACATTTAAACGGCAGAAACAACAAACGGTGGAGCAGTGTTGCAAATACAGTCAGTCACAAATCGGGAGATTTCTTACTTTCATGAGTAATGATTACGAAAGTGTGCCTTTTCAAAAGGTGTGTGACCAGATTGTTTTTATTCCGAACTACAGAGCGGTGTTTGGGAAACTGCGCCTCTCAAACTTCACCAGCTTCCAGTTTGTTTAAATAAACGGTTGAGAGCTCTGCCTGTCTTCGGTGAAACATTACGATGTTCAACAACTCGCAATTATCTAGCATATACCAGGAAGCCTAGAAGCTTACTCTGAAAATTTTTCAGTTTACCCACACATATACTAAACCCCTACTCTGGATAAAAACACAAATCACCTGGATCATTCACTGCTTGGCTACCAAACTTGGCTATGGCATACGTTTGTTGACCTTGTAAATGTAATAATCTCTCGAGGTTCAGGCCATGCACCTATTTTTATCTTGAGCACACTGTTGACAGGGTTCAGTAGGTCCGAAGCTGTGACAGGTTTTCATTTCATATCCACTTCCTCTCGTATTGTTCTGTTTCAGTTTCTTTTCGAGGTCACATGATACAGCGTATCTGCACATATATTTTGTTGTAAGGAAGCATCATCATGTTGTAGGTGAAAAAGCATTTTAAGCTAGTGGTGAAAAGTATTCCTTAAATAGGACTTTGTCAGCACCTGCGAGAAAATCTAAAGTTCTGAGTTTGGTGTGAAACGGAGTATTTGTGACAAGACCACTTGAAGTTGAATTTTATCACATCAAGGTGACTCAAAGGAGAAAAAATATTCTGTAGAAAGCTATTGTAGTTCCAGGCAGTGTAAGTTTATGAGATATGCACTGCTCATATGTCTATTGGAGTCATTTTCTAGATGACAGTTTGTAGTCCCCGGTCCGGTTTTTACGGTGGGACAGAAACACTTTAGATTGCTCTCTCATAATTTTGAAGTGGTTTCTGAGAGTTTGATGCTTTTGAATCAGAATGATCTATATGTGTAATACTGTTTTCGTAAAGAGTCCACATTATAAAGTTCTAAGGATTATACCCATGTACATGACATCTTGACATCTAACAGACAATCAAATGCGCTACTTGTTTGTGTTATGTGCCATGTCAGGGACCAGAGAGTGGTAGATCATTTGGTCGGAAGTTGCCTGGTTTTATTTCTTCATTTTCTTGTATATCGTAACCGTTGTGTATATAGTAACATTTCAAGGCAATAATAAATGAAATTTTACACAAAACTTAGACGTATCAAAGAAGCGTACTTTTTCATGTCTGTGAACAAATGACTATTGAGCCATTTCAATTTTGTGACGTGTTTGTGTACCGTCATTTGTAAGTCTGCCAGAGAAATCCTGCACGGAAGTTTTAATTGGGGGAGGAAACAGGAAATCGGTTGGTGGCTTGAACTGCTGGAATTCAATGAAAGTTGAGTCATACAAGTATCTTTGAACTCTGGCGTCAGTGTTGTTAGAAAACAAATCAATACGCGGCGGTGAAAAGCACTATACATGGGTCGGGAGTCTCATGGAACAATGCAAATAATGCAAACTATTAACCCTAACCCTGCCAGATGCAGCACAGTGCACCAGGTGAAATGTTTGATGCACTTTGATGCACTTGGCAATCAACAGCAGTGGCACACACTGGCTATGTTGAGACAATGGCAGCTAGTTCTATTGAACAATGCCATTGTTGGATAGTGTGGTAACTGGCAACCACAGACCCCAGGCTGTTTGGCCTTGGGGAGAGTAGAACTGGTGGATCTTGTTACACTGGGCAGGCAAGCCACTTTGACAAATGATGCTGATTGATGTGTCTGGCAGGGTTTCTAGCCAAAGTAGGCTGGAGGGTTAGGGTTAATAAGCACTTTTCAACGGAAGCAATAAACAATTGGAAAACCATTTCTGAGATTTTTTTCATTTAACTTTAATGAGAGATTCCACAACCACAGTAAAGTTCCCCAAAGAAAGCTTTGCAAGCTGCTACGTGTTTTACAGTTCAGGCTCATGTCACGGATATCAAGCGATACAAAATGCAAAAACATGCATCGTCAAGAAGTTGCTGTCCAGAATCAATTACAGCCAACACAAACTGAGGCCTGTCCTGCTTTGTGCAAAGATGGCCAAAATGCACTGAAGTCGGACGCTGGAATCACATTCCGTGTACGGCACACCACTGGGAGACAAAAGTTACAGAACCACAACCTCTGAGAGCAATAGACAACAGGTGCGCAAATTACATGTCCGGGTAGTAAATTTCTTTTTATACCCAAGTTTAGTCCGAATATATCATGGTTCCTCTTCAGCTGGTTTTTATTGCTTTGCTGGGAAAGACAGAAATGGGCCAACAGGATTTAACACAGATCTCAAATGTAATGAAATTAATACATCGGCAAACATTACAGCGAAGAAGCTTGTCCGCATTATAGTCACTATACAAGAAGTGCGTACCTATTTTGACAAGTTAGCATGAACAACGTACCGGCAAGCCCATTACAGCCTCAATGCTATCTCCTAATTCTAAAAACCAGATTAGTATTTTTTTTTCATCTGATTTTGAGCTGTGCAACTGGTAACGATTAATCCTTTATCAAAACCTACATGTAGATTCAATTTTCCTTATATTTACAAGTGATATATAAAAAAATTCCAAGTACTCAATGTGATTTCAGAGCGTAAAATTACTGACTCCACAGCCGAAGAAAAAAAAAGTAATACGAAACCTTTACGTAAATACTTGCATTTATGTAATTACTAATTCTCAAGGCAGACAATTTTCATTTACACTTACATGTAATGTTTTGCATCAACTCTATGGTGAAATTTTTCAGAAATACAGATGTATGCAAACATGGACTGAAGTATTGGTCTTACCACAACATTACTCCTGATAACTCTGGATTAGAATCAAAATAAAACTCTACAAGATACACCAAACTGGACAAAAACACTGTGGAAAAACCCAGATAGAGACATTTCACGTCTGTCTGTCGAACAATTGGAATTTAATCTGGACGTCTTGTCGACATTTTTTGAAAGGCTCAATTATTCTCTCAAAATAAAAGGCCTCAGATAAAGGAAATGTAGATACTAAGGGATGGCGCGCATTGTGATGAAGAGTCTAATGGCTGTTAATTAATAAACGGTGAGCGGCCGCCAGAGGTTGAAAAGGAAATGTCAGCAAATTCTGCATTTTGAAAAAAAAAAGACACACACCTCCAGCCACAAGATTCTACATGTACCCCCATTGTTAAACCTTTTTTCTGAGTGTTCAGGGTACGCCCCCTCTTCCAAATCACATGTTAATAACAATCTGCCATTTCCGATCTTGATTATCAATGCTAAAAACGGCTCAATAACAAGAACTCTGCTTTTGCTACATACATGCACATGTGCTTTAATTTTTTTATTACTGCGCCTGCTAACAGTGGGCAATTCTTCGATTTAGGAAAATTGCAAGTGGGATTCACAATACAATTATATCCTTGATAACAATATCCACTGTATCAACAAGAAAAGTCTCTCATTAAACCCCGATATTGGCATCGTGTAGTTCTAATTTCATTAAACAATGACCAATCATCTCTAATCATCACATCCTTTTTTTTTTCCTTTTTAAATTTCTAAACCCCTTATAAATCATGTACATTTCGTAGCAATCAATCTCCGAAATATCAACTAAAAAAACTCACAATATATATATATCTACCAACCTCATTAAAAAAAATACATTGCGAGTTAGGACACAAATTGGGTGATGTATTGCGAAGAAACTGTTAAACATTTCTTCGTGTCATTTTCCAATTAAGATGCCATTGGTTCAAACGTAATGGAAATGAGACTAAGAAAATTGAAAAAACCATGAAATAATTACGAGAGATTTTGAGGGTTCCCACAACAGTGTTTATGTACCGGTATATATATGCTTACCAAAAGGTACCCCTTAAAAACATGCAAATCTGTATTCAATTTTATATGTAAAATGGTAATGTTTACCATCTTGATGGTAAACTCAGGATTTTCCTTATTTTTGGAGGGTTGTTTGAAAGTTCCTAAAATCAGTACAGCCCTGAAAAAAAAAAAAGAATCCTCAAAATCGCGAAACATCCTCAGAAATCTCACCCGACATAACTTATATTATTTGGGGTGCAAATATTTTCCCTCATCAGTTGATTTGTTTTCATAGCGAAGGAGAAATTTACCAAAGAATGAAATTGAAGAAATCTTGAAGGCCAAAACAAGTAAAAACAACCACATTTAAAATACTGTTTGACGACTTTCAAAATGTTTTGTCGAACGAAATATTCAACTCTTCTCCCCCAACATTACGTGCAGTTTTTTTTCTGCCTGCAGCTTTACATCTCAAAATTTCATGTCACAGAGAAATTTCTAAGATTGCCCTCCGTTTTATGTTTCAGTCCTTAACTGTGACATTCAGAGAAAGGAAAACTATCTAACAGTTGGGAAACTAAAATGGATACAATAAAATCAAATCTAAATATTTCTATCCGCTTATAAAAAGTTTAACATTTACAGCTGAAGTCATTTTTATTTCTGACAAAAATGACACTATCCCCCCAAAACATTACAAAAATATTCAGATTTTTTTTTGCATTAATTCTTACTATGTAAGCAAGTCCACACAAAGCACATCCAAATCAACGTATATACTGGACATAACTGAGCACATTAAAAGATTGTACATTTTCTGTCTTTTTTTTTTGTCCAGCATTCACGATACAATTTACAACCTTTTTTTTGAGGAAAATTTAGAGATGCAACTGAAATACAACGGATTCATTACCGGTCAAGAATTTGTACTTCAAAATTAAAAAAACACATCCAGGCATTTGGTGGAAAAGTGAATCTTCTTCAGTATACAGCTTTAATGGTCACGTGATGCTACTCTAATCCAATTAAAGAGCAAAGTTAAGCACATTAACCCTAACCCCCCGCAGTACTCCAAGATCCTTTGGTTAGTTTGGAGGAATTTGGGGGACTGAGGAAGGACGGTGTTTGAGCATCGAATGATTTTCGAGGATTGAGGGAGAATGGAGTTTTTGAAGTCAGAGGATCTGGAAGGATTGAAGGAGAATGGTATTTTGAGCATTGGAGGATTTGGGAAGATTGGGGGAGCATGGGGATCGAAGTGTTACGGGATTTTGGAGGAATAGAAAAGGCTGCGTGGGGAGTGGTACTATTCAATTTATTGTTCACCATAGTTATTTATTTATTACTGGTCGCTGATTATATCAACCCCTTAGGTTGGTTTCTTTTCATTTTGCTTTGTTTCTTAGAGCTTGCACACTGGAGGATTTTGAAGGATTGAGGTTAAGATTATCCCTCAAATGATATTAAAGTGGGAAATTTTGGAGGATTTTGGAAGAATGCGTTTTTGTACCAAGCCTATTGGAGGATTTTGGAGGATTGAGGAAGGTGCCCAGCAAACGGGGCCTGGGGGGTTGGGGTTAAAAGGGACATAGTTTAATCTGCCTGTCAATTAGTTAACCAACTTTTGTAAATGGCCAAAATGAAAACACAAGTCCACAACCTCTGCCGAAATTTAAATAAATTTGCATGATATCTCTCTTGGGATCATATCATAAGTTCTGGCAGAGCCAAGGCTGTGGACTAATACATGCTCTGTACACAAAATGTCTCCATAAGGTCAGAACTAGAGCCCCCCCTCCCACCACCACCGAGGACAGAGTACTGGGAAAGCTCCAAAAAATCTACAGGAACCAGTGACAAATCTGAAAATGGATCAACCCCCTTCTTTCCCCGGTACCCTGCCCAGAAATCGCCTCTTATTTTCCATATGGAACACTAATCGGTTTGCTTACATTGCGGAATGTACTCAGACCGACTGGTATCCAGATCGGTTGGTGCGGCTGCGTCCGATCAGGTAGGCAATCAGCACGATGATGACCAGGCCAGCCAGGGCGCAGCCCACGGCGATCGGCACGATGTTGCTGACGTCGTTGTCCGCGGCACAATCCGTGGCTGGCAAGAAAAACAAAAAAAGAAATGAGAGTTTTACAAGTTGCAGAAGAGCACAGGGAAGTTTGAACAGAGATTACTCTCTGACCTCCAGTTTAACTGCCTCATACCAACGTGAAAGTGTAACACAGTCCCACAAAAATGACCCCAGTTGTTGCACAATCCTATTATTTATCATATTTCATCCTTGGCTGCATCCCTCATTGCAAACCTGGCCTCTGCCATCTAGTACATTTTATTTTCATGCCAATGGCTCCCTCTGCACTTAGAGAAAGAGCTAACAGTAACCAGCTATTGGTCCAGCCTGGTAACATGTGTTCAACGGCATGCATATTGCCACCAAGCATTGCTTGAGTGATGTTAGAACTTTCACCAGTTGGCTAAGGGAGACCACTGCTCTCCTCTCTGCTCACAGAAAAACAAACGCGGAAAGAAATCTCTGATTACCCTGAAAAGGATAAGAGATGAGTTACACAAGTCCTGCCCACAGGACATAAACTCTCACAAAAACATGCCGTTTGAAGGGTTAAAGGTGTGTGTGTGGTCACTTACGATCTCCAAATCCCCCTTTCTTGACCTCCTGGGCAAAAGGTTGCACCTTCATCTCGGTGAAGGTGGCCACCACCTCCTTGGCCGTGATGTTCTGGTTGGCTTTGCACATGTAGTAGTTGCCCGCCGTCGAATCGTAGCGTTTAGTGCCATTGGAGACAGTCATGTCGTCATCTGTGTTTAAGAGAACAGTAGCGGGGTGGGGGGGTTGATGATAAAAGGAAGTTAGCTAAGTTCTGGAGTACTGCTTGAGAGGTAGCAGCAAGACTGGCAGAAAAGAAGAAAGCTGGGCTGATCTTCAGCTTATTGTTTGGAAATGTAAAGCTAAGCTGCTTCAACTTCAAATAATCAGAAATATGTGTCGTGCATCATCTTGCGATTCATCATCAAAATCATATGTCTGTGCTGCATCATCAGGCGATGGTGAATGAAATCTCCTGGCTTACTTCCCTTTTTTCCAAAAAATCTTCCGCAACTGTAAATTAGAATGGGGTGATTGGCTGGTGCCAGAATTATCGGCCAATCATGCCAAAAAAATAAAAAGACGAGCTAAAAATGGACAGATGGTGAAAAGAATCTCGCAATCGTACAGATCCACTGCTCACATCCATCACGATGCCAAACTACAAGTTAAAGGGCCTGGCAATTCAGTCCGATCAGAACCTTTCTCGAAGGGCCTACTCTACTGCTCAGACGAGCTAACACGTGCCAACACCTAGCGCTACCATCTGTTAAATTTTCAAGTAAATTCGGTGACTGAAATCAGTATATCCTTTAAAGGCTCAATTCGCATATCACGGCGCATTTAGCAGTAAAATCAATCTAGGACCAATGACGGATGCTGCCTACACGCTACCGCCCCCCCCCCGACATGCTCAGGTTTTACTGGGCAAACTTCCACCGACAATGGCGTCCTAGACTCTTTGCATAATTCAATCCCCGCCCTTTCTGACAGTCCAGCAATATGAGTATTAGGAATCGAAACTCCCTTCACAAATCTCAATATTTTCTGCTCTTTCTAACGGAAAGAAACTAACTCCAAAAAGTAACCCACTCAGCAAGTTCCACAAGAATTTCAGTGCCAAAAACTTCACTGGTTCCCTTACGTGTTGATGCGTTGACTCCAGGGAAGTACATGGCGTCCACCACGTAACGCAGGGTGAAGTTGGTTAGGGCGTAGTTCTTGTCTTTGTCCATGGTGAAAGTCAGTGACATCGTCCAGTCCTTCTCGGTCTTCTTGCCTTCCGGTGAGAACTTGGCGACAAACTCTGCTTTGGTGTCGGTGCAGGTCGAGGCTTCAGTGTCTACAGTGATGTTGGGGAAGTAGTAACCCTCCCTGGATTTCTACAAGGCGACGGAGAAAATGTTAAACTCTGTTATCCCGAAACCAATCCAACAATGATTCCATGAGGTTTACTACACCAAGCATGGAGGGGTATCTGTTAGCCCTAACCAACCCCCTAGGCCCTTTTTGCTAGGGACCCTCCTCAATCCTCCAAAAGCCTCATTTTTTTTGGGGGGGGGTTAAAAAGTTCTCTCTCAATCCTTCGGAATTTCCTGGAAGTGTTACTTGGAGGTGTGCCTACTGCCTCAATCCTTCAAAATCCTCCGGCAGTTCCTGTCACTGTGTTGAAGCAGTGCAAATGGCATTCTTGTGCAGAGCGGTTGATTCAAAAGAAACATTGGACTGGATTTATGCATGACTAAGCAAAACCGACAAGGTCTGTCCCACGCCCTTCACGCATGGCATCCTTCACAATAAGCCATGCACTTTTGCCATTCACCCTCAATCCTCCAAAACTGCCCGAAGGATTTTGGAGGACTGAGGAGGGTTTGGGTTAACCCTATCCACTCTCGATCCTCCACATTTGTCTGAGAGGTTCTGGAAGACACGTGTATAGCAAAACCTGTGGCTAGTTGTCGGGAGATTGGAGGGAAAATAAATATCTAGGAAATAATCGGCACAGGTTTTGAGGGCCCAACTGCAGCACAGGGCACCACGATATACATTTGCCCGAGAGCACCCCTTAAAATTCTTATTTATTGAGGCAATTTTATTCCACATAAACTTTTACAGTGCAAATTCAGGATTTTCCACATTTTAGAAGAGATTCAGTGAAATATGCTGAAATCAGGTAAAATCCTGCCAAATCTTAGCCCAATAATTCTGAAGAATCCATTGTATCAAGGTCTCAGAAAAAAAATTGTAATGCCCCACCCCAATACATCTCTCATCTTTTATAACAAGAGTTGGCTCAGTCGTTTTCTTTCTTGCGTTTGTTCGTGTACCTGCTTTGTTGGTGTGGTCGTTTACGTTCTGGGTTCCTCTTACCGTGTGGTTTCCCATTTGGTAGGAAATGATAAACTGAGCTCCAAACTGCATCATCATGCAGATGCCCTTGGTGTTGGAGATGTTGAAATGTCCGACTGGGGGCACCGCCGGCCTGCGTTTTGGAGTATCATCGCTGCACTGGTTCACTACAGGGGGAACAGAAACCAATCAGGAAGAGGACGGGGCTGTGCCGACAACACCAATAATGGATCATTTGTGTGATGTACATTTGAAGGAACTGGAGGCCGGTTCAAGATAATAAACGACCAAGTTAACAATGATTAAAAGGGATCTTAATGGCAGGCTTGGGCAATCCTGTGATGAAACTGGACAGAGTCAATTGGGATATCAACACTGAAGGTGTAATTATTTTTTTCGAGAAATCAACAACCTCTATGGCATGATTCCAGCTCAAGTGGAATTCTCCAGACTCTTCAGACATGCCAGAGCCAGTTTTTGGGTGGTAAATCATGACATCTTGGAGCCTGATTGAACCCGATTGCCAGTGCAGATCCTCACTGAGCAAAGTTTTGCCCAATGCTTCTAATATGGGGCAATTCTGGGTTGAATTAAGGTTTTGTGTGGTAGCCATCTGGCAGCCCCACCCCCCCTCCTTCCGTCCCTTCCCAAATAGGCCTAAGCGGTTAAAAAAAAAAAAAAAAACCAAGACGGGTTGCTCCCTCACTTTCTCCGAATGTGTCCTTCACATCAAACGGCTGGATCTTGACGTCGGTGTAGCTCAGGGCAAACTTGTCCTTGGTCTTGAAGTCCACCTTCTCTTGGGCGGAGCACTTGTAATAGCTTCCCAGGCCGGTCGGGAACTTCTTCGGCACCATCCCACCGTAGGTGACAGGCTTGCCTGTCAAGTAACAAGCACAGAAAAAAAAAAAAAAGACGCGCTAAAAAGTCAGCTCTCCTAGAGCGAAGACTAAAATCATGCAATCAACTGCTTCCGGTCGAACCGTCTTGGGTTGCACGACACAACAGTGGGAAAGAAAAGGTGATAACTCGAGGTTTTGTTATGAACCTGTTTTCCAGCCGTGTGAAGTTTCATTTTATTATCTGATGTATCCAACAATCGTGTCCCTTTTGTGACAAAAACCATAGTCCGGACCTAAAAGGGTTATGTACAACTTGACCACTCTGAGGACGGCAGCACGAGAAAAAGAATTTTTCTCTTAGTGCTGCGTAATCCTTAACATCGTTAGGTGGGCAAGATCACTGGTGTGAAGGATTTGTACATGTGCAAGTTCACACGTGACATGCTGGTCCCAAGGGTCAATGTCGCTAGGCAATAAATGGGCCATCGCCTGTACAGGGCTGCAGCACAGAGCTGCTAAGGTTAAAGGAGGGTTTCCCTCATCTTATCTTTGTGGCCATCTTGGGCTTGTCCGACATCTGGCTGATTGGAAGCTAGTTATACAACTACATGGACAAACTTCAATCTAAGGGTTGGCCGCATGCTAAAAGCACCTATGCGGGGGGGGGGTTGAAATAAGGCAGTGAAGACAAAGGGGCGCTTTGAGTTCTCTCCTGCAAGGCAGGCCAACCAAACTCACCAGCGTCACTGCTGTCGGGGAAATGGGCAGGGCTGTGCACCAGCACGGCCGTGGCATTCACCAGGGAGAACGTCTTGGTCTTGTTGTCGGCCTGGAAGACCTGAGTGAAGGAGCTGCCGTTGTCGAAGGTCAGGGCCAGGATGGCATTGACCTCTGGCTCCTTGTCTGACCCGCACTGACTCGTGGCGTTGTCAATGGCGGCATTTTGCGGTAGCACGTACTCAAACGGGTACTGATGTGAAGAGAAAAATCAGGAAAGTTTCACATTACATCATCCAGGCCAATTAAATCAACCAATTATTTTCACCTCATGGGCCGTGAACACTTGCTTCAGTCGGGCAATGATAAATATATCTGGGGCCTCATCTAACAAAACAAGTCACAACTTGCATGAGCCATACTTGAGATTAAGGCTCATTCTGCAACTTAGGGGTCAAATTTTTTCGTGTCCCTATCACATCTAACATATGATTTATAAGTTCAGAACACATTCTCTAATTTCATAGAGTGACGAATTAATGCAAATTACCTGACCAACAGATAGCAAAATAGAAATGATTTGAAATCAATTTCAGTGATATTTCCATGTCAAATTACACAGGTCAGGTGTAAAAAGGACACAAAAACGTCCCACTTTTGGACCCTGAATTTATCGAATGACCCTAAAGGCTTTGAAATGAACTTTGCACCACGCATCGCCCTTGAATATTTTCACCGACATAATGCCCACTTTCACCAGGACGCCAAATTGAGTGATAATTGTCACAACCGCAAAACCGGTTTGCTCGTTCCAATGCAAGCTGAAAACCACATTTCTAAAAAGGGGGGGGGAGCTTTCTTACTCATTTCCTGGATCCAGTCACCGAAACATGTACAAAGCGCCGAGGGCAACTCACCATTTTCTTGTCCTTTTTCATGTACTCCCCCGTGAAGGTGAGCTCGAAATCGGCTAGCAGACAATATGATCCCTTGGAGTCCCGAAGACCCCAGTGCGCGGGGAAGTCGGCGGGGCAGTGGCTCTCTGTAAGGACAGCCAAGCAAAGTTTTGTCACTGTTGGCTCGTGCGCCTCTTTGAAAAAGGAAATTGGCGAACGGACGGTGAGGTCCCCTGGGCCCTCAATCTTCCCAATCTGGCCTCGACATTAACCCCAGCCACCAAGGCCACTGCCTGTGTGCCCTGCCAGATTGGTCGCAATGCCCCTTAAAAGCATACACTGTTGGCAGTCAAGTACACCCTTTTTATGCCAACCCTATAAGAGCTGGGGAAGGGGGCAGATCCATCTCCCCAAAGTTTTTCTCAACAATATCTTCCATTTATTTTGGCACCGGCCTTGTGAAAATGAGACATACCTTATCCTTCTCAAGCGGCACCCATTTTTCTGAGACTGGCCGCAAATGTAGACATAGTGTCTTTCCACTGACAGGCTTGATGCATGCTTGATACGCGAAAGCTAAGTGTACGAAGCGTGTGGAGTCACACCAAAGAGTCACCTCAAGTTAGTAGACCTACTCCACAGCAGTTTTTCTCCCGACAGGAAATAACTCGCATTGTGTACACAGATCGGATGGAAGTGCATGAGGCGACGCATGCGTACAAAGGTTTTAGTTGCTAACAAGACGGAAGTGTTAACAGACACGAATGTCCCATCCAGCCTGCATTCAAGCCCACAAATTGATATATTCGTATCACAAACAAGATCTCTCCTAATCGTTTTAGTAGTTGTGACCTCTACCCTGGAGCTTTCAAGCTTAACGCAATAGGCCCGTGGGTATATCAAAACAATACAAAAGCCATCTCCACACGGCAAATATTTCTCAAGTTATTGTATTTAAAATATTTCTGTTGTTTCAGTCACAATGGCTTTTACCTTCGACCTTTCAGATCCAAAAGCTTTGGGCTTCCTAGGATTAGTAAGAACAATCAACGAACCACAGTTGAAGTTCATCCAGAAAGTATTCACCAAATATTCACTGACAAGATTTCTATTTACTTTACCCATTCTGAACTTGACCTTTGACCCTCCAGCCCCAAATGTCACAGGTTTCCTTAAATCACCTACAGTAATCCACAAACTGAATTTGAAGTTCATATGCAGAGTAATTCGCAAGTTATCGTGCCAACGAAAATATTCGGGACACAAACTGACTTTTTCACATTGCAAAAGGAAATGTCAGTTGAGCCGGCAAAAAAGATTTACCTTTGCCGAATGTCTTGTCCACCTGGAACGGCTGTACCCGGAGGTCAGTGAAAGTGATGGCGAAGGCGTGCTCCTTGAAGGGAATCTGCTCCATGGCCGTGCATTTGTAGCTGTAGCCTAGCTCCGTCTTGAAGAAGACCTCGCTGGGGACGCCCCCGTACTCAACGGCCCCTGATTAATCGCAAAGTGGGAGACGGAACGCCGTCAGCTGGAATTCACTCAGATTTCTGTGGTCACTTGACATTTTGATATATACATGTACCGTGACGGATCGCACTTTGCATTCTCTGTGCTATTTAGGGCACGGATGTACGGTATAAAACCATTCCGCAGCTGCAAAGTCACAAACAGTCAAACATTTAACTTACTGCAATACTTGACTATCAAGTGGCCTATCGATCACAGCTTCCTTGGCCAAAAAAGGACTGAATATGAAGATTCTGCTGGTGCCGTCAACTGGTGACCGACTTCTTCTCGCCTCCATTTAACTTGTAAAGAGCTAGCAATTACCCCTGCTCAGAGGCAAAGCAAAAACCAGGCCCTCGTGGCCCCAAAAGCCAACCAAACAAATGCCTTTTGGGGGGAAGGGTTGAGGGAGGGCGCTATTTCTCACCGGACGCTGTTGGGGTGATGAAGTTATGATTTTCTTTCTTTTTTTTTACCTGTTGCACTGCTGTTGGGGAAATGGGCTTCGGTGTGCGTCAGGCTGACATTAGCAGACTTAAGCTGGAACATTTTAGTTTGGGGATCCATCGTGAATTCCAGGGTGAAGGTATCGGCGGTTTGGTACCACGACAGAGCCAGGATGGCCGATTCCGTCGCCGAGCCACACCTGCTCTTTGCTTTGTCGACTTGCGCATTCTCCGGCATGTTGAAGGCAAACTTCCCCTGTGGGTGACCAAATGAGGAGGAATTGTAACATTTACCTCAAGTGTGAACACAAACCCTACCCTTCCCAGAATTCCAGTTTGATATCCACACTGAGGTTGAGAAGAATTTGGTGCGAGTGAGGAAGGTACACCAATTTCTTTTTTCCTTACTTGAGGCTTGATAATGTCAAGAAGTTTTGGGTACAAAGAGCGTGCCAATAGTCGTTTCTGCACCTGCAGATGTGGGAAGGCCTCTGACAAGAATGCGTTAGGAAATTTGAGCACTAAAAATATTCTTGACTGTTTCTTACATGCCAGTGATTACCTGCAAGTCAGTCTGAAACAGTAGAGATGGTTTAGTGAGATTTTTTGTGCGGCATGGTCTCAACCTGGGTGAGAATGGGGAGTGTCCATCCCGGTTTCGACATCCAATACTGTCGTACAACGTACCCCCCCCAGAAAAAAAGTTGAAGGACTTACGGTGGATTTGTCTTTGAGCTTGTAGGTACCAGAGAAGGCTGCATAAAACTGGGCCAAGATGCACTCATTTCCGTGAGCGTCCGACACTGACCAAGTCCTGAGGGGCGAAAAGGTGGTGGCCGGGGCCTTTGTGGGCACAGTGGTGGGGACCACTGTCGCGTTGCCTTGAGTGTGCGCCGTGGACACTGGTTGGGTGGTGGGAACCACTGTTGCATTGCCTTGAGTGTGCGCCGTGGACGCTGGTTGGGTGGTAGGAACCACTGTTGCATTGCCTTGGGTGTGCGCCGTGGATGCCGGTTGGGTGGTGGGGACCACTGTCGCTTTGCCTTCGGTGTGTGCTTTGGACGCCTGTTGGGTGGTGGGGACCACTGTCGCTTTGCCTTCGGTGTGTGCTTTGGACGCCGGTTGGGTAGTAGGGACCACGGTCGCAGGCTTTTGAGTGGGCATCGTGGGTTGGGTGGTTTTGCCTACTCGAGTAGCTGGCTGCTCCGTTGACTGGCCATCCGAGGCTGGCAAGGAAACAAGAAGGGAAAAAGTCAATCCGAGTTCTGCAATACGTGATTGACTTCACAGATTTTCACCTTAACTGCCCAGTACCCATCAAATTCCAACGGCAGGTTTTCTAGGTTTTGGCAGGTAATTGGTACCAAACCTGTTTACCTTCTTGTTGAATTCTGTCGGACTTTGTATCAAAGGGCCAAGGTGATGGTGTTGGAATTTGTGTGAGTTGGAACACACAGGGGTCACTGCGTGCAGTGTCTGGCTTGCTGTACCACTTGTTGGACTATGCTTGATTTTGTCAGGTTTGGTACTGTTCAGTGCAAGTCATCCTATACTGCATAGACCCATCCATACAATATCACTCAAACTCTAACAGAGCACTTAGCAATTTAATAGGTTTGGTACAGTGACCTGCTTGTATCTGTTGACATTTGTTGGGTTCAGGATGTTCTCTGGTGGAAGAGTCTACGGGGTTAAGGGTTAAGGGCCAGCCAGAGTGCATGCAAACATTTAATAAACATGGCTCATGAAGTGGCTTAGCCTGTGTTTTTGTCAAGATACAAAATTTGAGGAAAATACCAATTCTATGGGCACTGGAAATGTTACGTACATGTAAGTTGGATTTTTGTCAACATTTTTCCTTGACAGTTCCTCTGTATTCTGTAATGGATGATCTTTAAGTCTTCAAAACACTCTTACAGAGGGGTAAACCGTGTATGGACCCGGCCAAGTCCACACAAGTTTTGACCACACAATCTGGATGTGGATGCCTGTTCAGTTCTCAGGTCTACACACAGCTGGCAATTAAGACTGGCTTAACCAAACAATGACAGCACGGCAACCATGTCCAGTGTGTATATGCATACATGTATGTGTGCACATGGCAACAACATTACAGTTGAACATGTATTTCAGGGACCTGTACACGGTACATGCATGTTACATACACCTGTGTACATGCACTCTATCCTTGAACTGTGAACTGTTTGCCAGACAGGAAAAAAGGTACACTGCGCGTGACCCTTCTCAGTTTGCTGATCTTTAACGCGTCTGTAGTCTTTTCCCTGAAAACACCAGCTGGTTTTGTTCTCCACTTCCAAAGCTTTCCAGTATTCATTACAGTCATTTGCCAAAGTTTAAGACCACCTGGAGTTTTAGTGGAATCTGTCACTGGGCCTGCAAAGGCAGGTTATGTATAAAATCTTGTCTGTGAGGCAGCGTGGATAAAAAAAAAGAAGCCAGACTACCGGTGAGTAATCAGAAATAAAGGAGGGCACACTAAATATCAGACTTAACATTTCAAATCATGGAAATGTAGTCAAATAGCTGTTTAACCAAGACACTAAGGTTACCCATTGAAACTAAACATAAGTTGCCATGATTAATTGGGTTGCGTTTTTTTCTTGAGGCTAATGCATTTCGCACGGGCAGTCTGCGACTTTTGCAAATGCAGAGTGAATTGGTATCAAACGACAACACATGCTCACAATGAGTGCTCTCCTGTACAATTATGAACGATACCTTTCCGTCAAGTGCACTTGTAAATGTACTGCATACATGTACATGCATACATGTATGTTGATGCAGATGTTGTCCGAAAAGAAGTTGGCGCATGCATGAAACCAATTTGGAAAGGTCTGACGCGTTCAAAGATTGCTGCCGGCAGAAATGCGCTCAGGGATTTCACTCTGAAGGAGACTTGTATCAACCGAATCATCTACGGTACTTAAGGGTGAGCATTTATGTTTAATTTGAAAAAAAGCGTTCAGAAAACTATCCCATATCACTTAAACATTTAGCAGACACATTACAAAGGCTGCCACCTGCCTCAGTGTTTTCAGAAATATGCATAATTATATACATGTAGTTAAAAAAATGCATGTGGTCCAGCCAATGTGAAAACGTAGACTGATGTTGGGGCATTTAAACCAAGCCCTATTTATTCCTCTAGAATCCACTTTTTTTCCTCAGTGAGTACATGGACCCCAAAAGGAAAACCTGTCCTGAGCATCCGATTACATTTTACGAGCATCGCTTCCAATAAAAACGGACGCCAGATCGAATGAATCAAAACGTCTAACCTCTAAAAGGGGCGGTTCAGCTTAAACATTTGGGAAAATTTGTAAACGGATCAGGAACTTGTTTCGTTTAAATGTCCCAGCCTTTTCATTTACACGTAATCCCACTGCTAAGGGGAAGATTGTACATGTATTGGTGGGAACAGTGCACCAAAATGGTTAACAATCACACACAATCAAGTACTGAGTAACAGATGCTTTGCATGGTGGCCATTTTGCAGGGTGGTTCTTCTGTTCCACAGGGAAGAACCTCCTTTGTGAATACCTTGCAGAACAAAAGCACTGGCCTGCAAGATGGCAGTCAAGCAAACCCCCATACATGTACATAGAATTCGGCCTGTGTTGACTATCAGGCAAATAATCCCATGGCCATCTGTGACACAGCGATACTGTATCTTGTGTCCACAGAAGTCAGGGCTTGTGTGTGTCGCACAAAGACAACTGTGGGATAATTCGCTTAACATGTTTATTCAGCACTTTGTAGGCAGGGTTCACTCAAGTGGTTTGCTTGTAAACTGAAGCACTGGTGTGAACGTGAACATGTTTGTAGCGGTCATTCTTTTGACCAAATACACGGCCGGAGAAGTACATGTACCACACATGTACATAAAGAGTTGAGTCTCATTAACAAAATGCCCTTTGGACTTTGTAGATTACCTTGTAATAACAGGAACCTTATATTATCGGGAAAAATTAAACAATAAAAAAAAGGAATCTAAAAATTTCCTTATTACAGGCAGAATCTTGTATTAATTACCAGTTCTCTTATTGGTATTTACAAGGTTTGACTGTGCACATGCAAGATTTCAAAAGGTCCAGGTGAACATGTAGGCGGATGGATGGATGACTGAAGCTTCTACCCCCATTTACAACACCTGAATAAATCACCCTCACCTGACAAGACTCTGACGCACTTCAGAACACAAGACAACCCCAAAACGATATTCCAGGGGAAATCTACAGAATCAGTCAAGGACTGAAAACCACATCCGCATGTGGACCGTGCTGCGGATCAAAGCCCGGTAGCAGAGGTGAGAGGCGAGGAAAGAGCCACTATGACAAACCGAGCATACGATACTTATTCAGATTCTCTGTCCGTACCTGAATGGGTACACATGACACATGTGCTAATTGACTTCAACATTGTTGCTCAGTCTTTCATCTCCAATCTCAAAATGCTGAGAAATGTGAATTGTTAATAGAATTCATTCTTTTTTTTTTAATCACCGTAAAAAACTTTTAACCTCATGCATTTTACAAATGTCTGATTAAAAAAAAAGCATGTGTTCTGGAAGGTTGTTATAGTTTACCTTAAGTAGTATTTTCAGGAACAAAGCATGGGCTTCATACATCCAAACTGGTCTTGACTTCCAAAGTTTAAAATGACTCTTGACAGTGTTTTTGTGCCGCACAATTCTGGTAGAGTGTACCGTACAATTCACATGACCGGCTTGAGAGTGTAAATACGCCATGTTTGTACTGTCAAGTTTCGAGGCAGGAATGAAAGCAGACATGTACATGTAGGTGTTACTGACGGTGAAAACCCCGCAAAGTTTGGAGACGTTCACACAAACAACAAAGCATTTGTGATCTTTTCCAAAACTTCTGCACAACATTCCAAAGCACTTCTTGTTGACACAGTAGCACTTCCAATAGAATGGACAGAAAGTAACTTTCAATGTGTTAGCAGAACAAAATATCAGCACAGAAACCAGTTAAACTCCTCAGCTCTTACGAAAGAACAGGTGCACTGTTCAGCTTTGAAAAGAACAAACAAAATGCTGAGAGGGTAGCTTTCGTTAAGGCAGTGTGATGTCACCGGTCTAAAGGCTCATGCTAGGCATTGCATCATGGACTATATTTATCACTTCATCATAATGGAGGACGGCTGTTAAAAGTACAGCATAGCAGCCTTATGTCAGTGCCACCCATCCGGTATCTCTTGTAGGACTCTCCGTGTGACCGACCCGGCATTTCGTCAGCAGTTCCTGAACAGAATCACGCCCTCCACTTGTGCCTCACGGGTCAACTGCACAGATGAGGACAATCGCTGACAATGGGGCCAAAGGTCACAGAGCAGGCTCAAGTACAATCAATGTGTGCAAACAAGGTTTTTACAGATTTCATTCCCGACATACATGTAAATGGTGCCAAATCGGCAGCTGAAAACAATTCTGAAATAACTCTCCAAAAACTTAAACGACTCTTGACGGCAAAAGTAAAATTGTGAAAGGATACACACGACCACAGCATGATAGTCTGCTCAGACATCAAACATTTTGGAATCAGTCTGTCTGACCACAAGCAGATGAGGTTGGACAAACTGTTTGAAGGGTGTATAGGCCTAATGCTAAGAAATTCCCAAAACTGAAATCCATTGATTACTTTTCTTATTGGTGTGTTTATAGCATTTACATTGTAAGAACTTGTCGTCATGTGACTCCACTTTGGTGTGCAGGTGTCCGATCAAAATTGACCGTGCTTACTACATGTGGATGTAGGCCTAAATGTATTCATCTACACTCTTTGGTATCTTCATGCTCTGTGCAACATTACTAGCACTACTTTTTTCTTGCCACCCGCTCAGGACTGTAACCAGAGCTTGTGCAAAGTTGCCGTTGGTTACTATGACTCTGACAGTTGGTACCCTTCACTGAGTTTACAAGTCACCTTGACCCTAACTACGGTACCCCTAGCCCCTCTACTCAACAGTTTGTGGGCCGATTCCATACCATACCCAAATGTATTAGGCCTACGCATGAACGTGTTCAACTTCGTTGGACTGAGGGACGGCAACCTGGAGTGATGGTGGGTTTTGTCCAAGTGAGATCGATTTCTGAATTGACGAGGACTGCTTTAGATTGATTGTATTAAACATAGAATAATGCATATTCTCCATCCATTCCAAACTGAGAGGATTCCATACGGATGCTGCTTGACACCTTATCCACAAACCCTTACGAGACTGGTCTGAAAAACTCCACGTCGGCGGTCTTCGCAGTGAGCAGGTTAGGCCTGGGTAAACAGGAAACAGCTGTTGCATCTCAACTCCTGGTGCTCAATTTGCACAATGTGAGGTCATGGTTTGGGGGTCACAAACTTGACGTTATGATGATTTGAGCTGTTAGGGTCAATGTGCACGACCGGATGAAGTCCAAAAACGAGCTCAAAATTTCTCGAAATGGAGGTAAGATTACATAGTGACTGTTGTATGACTCAATTCCAGGACTCGGACTCGAGTCACATTTTTCATGACTCAGACTCAACTCAAGTCATATTGGGTGACTTGGACTCGACCACGATGACTCAGACTTGAGCTTGGTGACTAAAGACTTGAGTCATGTATCTTCATTAAATACATTTACCGTATACACCATCAAAAATTAATTTGCATGCACCCATGCTATCTGCACATTTTCCACTTTGCCCATTTATGTACGGCTAAATTTCCACTGATGAGTCAACCAGACGCATCATATTCCGTGTCCACAAACTGTGCGGCAGTAATCAGACTATGCACCCGGCGCACATTTGTTATTTTACACTCGCAAATACGGACATACATCTATATTCAGTCTCACGGTCTCCAGTCGCAAATATGAACAGTTTTACCGAAATGGCCAGGCTCACGTGTAAATAAAAATTGCATGGCCTACGCTGGGCATGTGAAGTTGCTTGGGCTAGGGCGAAGTGGTTTGGTGTTGGTATAGGCCATTTCGAAACGACTGGATACTGATAAGACTTTGGTCTCGCTGGTTCCATCCATTTTGAAGCCGTGTTCGAAGCCGCGTGTTCAAACTGACGTGCGAAACTAAAGTCTAAGCCAAATCAGCTGAACAGGTGTCAGTCACTTCACCCCATGCCTCTTCCCCCCTAACAACTTTGCCAAAACAAGGCCAAAACAATGCTTCCGATTTCCCGACGGCCGGGCCCAAATTTTTTAGTGAGACCCTAAAATTTTTATTGGCAAGTTAGAAAAAAAGTTTTCTTTGTGTTTCGTTGTCACTGTGGTAAAAACACATTTGTTCACGTTAATTCTTCGTATTTTGTCTACGTGTGTATTTTCTGTGTTCATCAGTTTAATTTTAAGTTGTTTTGCTCGTACATGAAGCGAGAATGTTTCCACAAAATTTCCTGCATGCCGAGATTTTTCCGATCGCCTGAGTACAGCTGTCTGAATGCATCGACAATTACCAGAGCAATGTGAACAGAATTTGTGTGTGTCGCTTTCAGTTGAAATCAACTTGAAGAGGACGAGAAATAACCCCAATGTTAATCCAACCATATGTATTACTTCACCATAATGGACAACGCAGTCGACATCAATTTAACCCTCCTATGCTGAAGTCACTCTTTGGGTCAATTAATCAGCTGCACAAAGATGCACACCTGTCTCATATTGTGCACTGTGCCAACTATCCTACACAGGCATATCAGATTGCATTTTTGTGCTGTCCAACAACTGTGCCTCACTGTTTTACGTGCGTAATTGTGCAGTAAAATAACTGCAGTGAAGAGGACTGCACAAAAAGAGCCTGTGTCATTTTGTGCCGGCAAGCAACTCTATGCACATTGAACCTGTGCATATTTGTGTTCCATGCAGAAAACACATGCACAAGAGTGACTGTTGGCATTCATGCATATCTGTGCTGTTAAACCACAGGAGGGTTAATGCCGTAGAGTTTTCTATAATAATTACATGTCGTTTGTGAAACTCCCCTCTTGACCATTTTTGAAGAGGCTTGTATTTGTAACACACTCGAGCACGGACGGCAAAGTGGAAATGGGGCGAAGTGGGAATGGGGCGAAGTGGAGATGGGACGATGTGGGGATGGGGCAAAGTGGTTAAGGGCGACGTGGAAATTGGGCAAAGTGACTGTAAACCGGCTGAACAACTTGATTCATGACTTGTGACTGAGACTCGAGGTTTGTGACTTGAGACATGGACTCGGACTCGAGGCTTGAGACTCAGACTGGCCATTGATGACTCAGCTACAACAATGTGTAGTGAAGGATTTATTCAGAAGTGGAGAGGCCTCGGGGTGTACATGGCGTACATCAAGCACCTCTAATCTTGAAAATTCTTTCATTTCGATGTGCTTGAAAAAGTCAACAAAAAAAATCGGTAGGGGGCCTATATGGGCATGTGGCTGTAGGGGAGCGCAGCGTACCGTAGGCCACATTAATAGGGCTATCAGCCCCTCCCCACTCTCATTCCATGCTGCATTGATGAACATGTTGAAGTGGTTGCACCACCCCGTGGTTGCACCAACATGACCATGATGATGAAGGAACACACCACCCCCGAACATGACCCCCCGAAAAATACTTACCAAGAGCTAAGAACAGAAGAGCAAGGATTACTGTAAGAAGCTTCATTTTGGCTCTTGTTGGTCAAGACCCTAAAACTGTAAAAATGACTGCTTATTAAGGCGATTTCAGCTCCCGGGAAAACTGCAATACCTCTCGATCATCTACCGTACCGTTCCACCAGTGTTCAGAATTCAGGAAGAAAGGATGGTGTGCTATTGGTATCCGTGTAGTCCTCTTGGAGAACGTGTGCGCTGCTGGTTACCAGTTATATAATGGCAGATAGACACTGTCATGTGATTTTGGCTGTTCCTTCATTTGAACACACACCCCTTCAAAAGCAAGTTCTTCCCATTGTCTTAAGATTCTTTAAATTAAATCTCACATTAAATGTATTCGAGTTATTGAAAGAAATTATTTTTTTGTTTCAATCGTTTAAAACAGCTCCATACAAATCCCGAAGCCAAAGATAATGTTTTGAGTTGTATTTGTCTAGATAAGAAAAAACTAAAGGCGCAACAACCCGATATGTCGAAAGGTCCCTTGTCACGTGCATGCGTGCACGGACTACTGCGCCATTGGTGTCACAAAAGAAGTAGTACTCTTAAAATTGTGGACAACACATGCAGTTTCAGCTTTAAAAGGGTAAAACTTAAGAGTTACTTTTACTGGATCTTTTTATTTGGGCTGAGAGGCTAATTCCTTTTTTTTTCTTCTTCTTTTTTCTTTTTTGCAAAATTATCGTCCAACATTGGGCAGTTCGATGGACAGACACTATCTAGCGTAACACCTAAACACGAACCACTAGGCATATTTCGCGCTCTCCAACGTGCAATTGTCCGTGCTTGCTCAGTTTGGTTGAAAACCTTCACTTGAAATTGCCGTCAGTTTGCCCATAAGGCATGCTAAGTAGCTATAACCTTAGGCCTAATATTCCACACTATCAGAGGTACGTTTGGTTTCACTTTGTCCATTAGGCCTGCACATTGCATAGTTTTCTGGGGGAATGTTTGGCCATTTTTGAGTAGAAAAAAATGATGTAAACTGGCCTAGGCCAGTTGCTTAGTTGGCGTTGTGGTGCGCCACACACTTCGATGCACGTGCGCCTGTAGTATTGCTCAATTCACGAAATAACCAGTCAGGCACGTGTATATGTGAACATTTTTTAAATCAACATTTTGAGTTAGGCCTACTTTAAATTTAAGGTACAACAGTGTACAAGGCCCGAGGAAAGAAGAAAGACTTTTGGCTTTGCCTTGGACATGTTGGACAACCCTACAATGGGCTGCATGATGTAATTTTCCGAACATGATGTAGGCCACACAGGCATAGCGCGTACATACATGTAGGCCTACTACTTGCATAACATGTTTGTTATCCTCAGGCAAACTTGAATTCTCAATTCTGATTGGTCCATCCATGGCAACGAATAGTGTAATATATAACTGTATTGAACGGTGTACTTCAAACCCCACGTAATGCGCTGTTCTAACATGTCTAACTCAACGTGTTGTGCTATTTTTACGCTAAAAAAGCAAAATGCACAACTTCAAAATTACTTTTAACTTAAAGGTGACTTGTTTATGCACATAGGAGCTTAGGCCTCTATAACATCTTTACTGCGTGTCATGTTTGCTTGAAGACAAATTTGTTATGCTCATACTCAAGGGCTTTGGCCTCGTCATGTCGTGTGGTATATGGGACAAAGACACACTACATTATTCTGTGTTACACTTGTGTGATTATACATGTTATAGTTCTGGAATCTCGAAGTAGAAGTTAGAACTATGACCGGCCCCTCGCTTCCGCCACCAGTGGCGGCAATAACACAGAAGTAAATCATCACTGGACTGACATTCAAATATCTGCTGCTTCGTTAGTTTGGAAGAGTTTTGCAGAGTGAGGCTTTCATTCATGTCACCTGTACAGCAGGTCCACTTGATAACTGGTGTTTCCTTCATTCTTTCCTCTACAGAATACACAATGTCGTATGGAGATCAAGACAACTCGAAGGTGTACGTGGGCAACTTGTCATTTCAGACGCATGAGGATGAACTCAAGGAGACTTTCTGCGAATACGGGCCGATTAGCGATCGTGAGCATTTCGTGCAGCGTGCAGAAGCTGTGAAGTTAATTGATTCTGTTTGTGAACAACATCCGGTATTGCACACTTGTTGGGTGTTGTACAGTTTAATGTGGATGTAGTTTCATGCAAGGCGTGGAGGCCACATTCTTTTCATTTCTCTCACTGGACATTGGCCTTCAAGCGTCTTAGCACATTCATTCGGACCACTTGACTCAGTGCAGTTGACCCGTTGTGTTTGTTGTTTGCAATTAGCTGATCTGCACAATCATGGCGTCCCGCTGCTTTGTTTGGTCAATCCTGTTGTTAATCTCCAACTTAACTTCCCTTTTTCGAGAGTCTTTCACAACTGCAAATAAAGAAAAGCCATTGGGTGATCGAGCGATCAACAAACCATGCAGTAAGATTGACAGATCGGTGAGATGATTCAGCAATTGCGCAGATAAACTGATCACAGCAAACATTTATACAAAACATAGTCTTCCTGTAGTTATGCATGAACGATAAATTTTCCGTGAAATCATTATCAGAATGCTTAATAACCACTCATTGCTCACCAGATGTCATCGTCAAGGACAGAAACACCGGCTACAGTCGCGGCTTTGGCTTTGTGACGTTTGAAAGGGCGAGCGATGCTCAGAGAGCTGTTGAGGCCTTGGATGGCTCAGTAAGTGCATGCCTCCGAAAGAATACGTGTTTTATGCAGGGCACATGTTTTGCGGTGTTGCTGCGCAAGGCCCTTTTTATGGTTATTGTTATCCCTGTTCACCTTGAAGGTCATATTTTGACCAATTACAACTGTTGATGCCGTTGCAAGTCTGACTAGTCCACTCACAGAGTGACCGTCTGTAATGTACGCTAGGGTGGAGAGAGGCGAGGAGGGGGGGTCAAGCCTTTGCACGTCTTCCTTTGATTTATTTTAACTAACACTCTTACAGGAACTTGGTGGAAGAAACATCAAAGTAAACATCGCCAGGCCTCAAGGCAGCGGAGGCGGTGGACGCGGACGTGGGCGGAGAGATGGCTACGGCTACGGAGGAAGAGGCTACAACTACGGTTATTAAAAGCCGATGGGGCTCAACGAAAGCCAAAGAGCGGTAAAAATTTTTTCTGTGCAGTCGGTCGGGATGCGGGACATAGCTGGTCTTTGCCATCTGAGTGAAGCCTGTTCAGTAGGCTGTGGCTAGCAATAACGAATGCGCCTTTGGAGGTCATTGGCGAGGGGGTGTGATCTGGCCCCACATGTGCTTATGGTCCTCTCAGACTCGGACAAAGCTTTTGAGAGTCGCTGAACAGGCTCTTGAGGGCTTGAGACATAAGTCCGATCTACTCAGCTGCACTAAATCCTGGGGGGGTGGGTTTGCACCACTGTAAAAAAAAAAACACTCTTCAGTTGGTTCGCTGGTGTTAAAATGTATACGCACTTGCATACTTCACAATCGCTCACATCCACCGGCTTGGAGCTGTCTCGGGACCGCACTGTATTCCAACTTCTGATGTGGTCAGGTCATGTGGTAGAGTCAGAGGGACTTCTCAAGTGGTGCGGTGTTACAGAGTAGAAATGCCAGGCAGTGAAAGTTAAAAGAGGACCACAGTTTGCTACAGTTTCCGTAAAGGTTTCTCAGAATCAGCGGCGGTTAATGCGTTAATGAATCCACCTAGCCCACTCCCTAAACAACCCCACTTTGTCAAACACTGGACAATGACCTGGCATTGTCATTCAGTTTTGCACGGAAACCTGTGCAGCTGATGGTAGTGCGGTGCATGCTTTGGTGTCCAAGACGATTCAGTGGACCTCGCTTTGTCCGTCCTGATCACAAAAGTGGTCACTTTGATTATACCCTCTCAAAATGCTTAAAGTTGCATGCCTCCTCAAAATAGCCTTGTGAAGATTGATCAATCACTCATCACTTTCTTTTGTCAAGAGCATGCAAGGATTTGAGCTTGGAGGCAGTGAGGGGATTATCTAATACGTTGAGTGTTCAGAAATCTATAGGTATCAGTTCCCTTCATTTTTGATTTTTCTGTATGGAGTAAGTAAACAGGCATCCACAAATTCCTGGGACAGGTATTGGTCGAAAGGAGACGGTGTAATCGGGTCTGACCGGTCAGGAGTCTGCGCGCACTCAACGCGCCACGTGCGCGCCAAGTTCATTGAAGGGGATTCTATTGGACAACTTTCAAATGGTTGGGGGTTTTCAGGAAAAATGAAAGTAAAGTTTTAGAACAAAATCGTTTGGAAATCCATCATATGTTGACTTCTTTTTACTCTCATTAATAACTTGGAGCATTCCCACAGGAAGTGGCACGTAGGCAAATATCATCTGTTAACTACGCATGCATATTTCCACATTGAACCTAATCATTCACTTACTATTTTTGAGGGGTTTAATTTGATGGCACGGGGGCCCCGAGGGCATTGTACATTGTCTCTGAAGGGCCATGACTCTCTAAACACTGAAACTGGAGCACCCGTCGCAGATTACAGAAGTTCCAGCACACTGTAATTGCTATGGCTAGCTGCTACCTCTGCTCTTGTGGGTGGGGGACGATGGTGGCTCCTGTGTAAAGTACTTGCCTGACACCACCATGACCTGGGTTTGATTCCCAACCCAGGCCGTATGGGGGTTGAGGCGTCTGTTGGTTCTCTCGAAGTGACTCGAGGGTTTTTCTTCAGTCTTTCTCCCGCTGTGAAAATAAACTCTTTCACTCTCTTGGTGTGAACAGTTATGCATCTCGTACATACAATGTACCCTTAACTCGACCAAGTTGTAGCTTCGCCCTTGATAATCTAGCCTTTTGGTTTCAATTAAGGATGACTAGTGCCCAAGTCAAATAGTTGGCACAGCTCCAGTAGTAGTCATTGTTGATGCTGAGGCAAAATGTTGATGAGGCACTGCCGTTACTGATCCAGCTGCCATCCGTGCCGCTCCAGCTTTTGTTGCCATTGTCACTTGATCGGCCTCTTGAAAAGCTAAAGGAGTGATGGGAGTATGTGGAACCACAGTTTCAGCTCCAGTAACAGTGGCTGCTTCTTGCCGAGGTAGTTGCAGCCGAAGTCGCGATTGCACTTGGTGTGGCTGAGTGTGTTGCCGTGCAGATGGATGCTGCAGCTACTTAGTCCACTGCTGGTGCTGCGGCTTTATTGCAAGCTGCTGGACAAGTTGTATGGGCAAGTTGGAATGATGGCTGTAGTTAACTACAGTTCCACTAACACCTCCTGGACGAAGGATGGTTTGGACTATCTAGTCGACCGTTTGGGACTAGGCCGTGGGGCTTGGTCACACCGCTGGTTATCGATAGCCAATTCCATGTATCATTAGGGCAGGAACCATTCACATGAAAGTAATCATGCGAGAATACAAGGCCATGTATGCTGCGAGAATTGCAGCCAACGGCGAACTGTGAGAAATAATTAGATTTTACACAACAGGCCCACTGGGGTTGTTTTGAGTGTAACCGAATTGCATGTGCACATTGTTAAAAATCAACCGACTACTGGTCAAACTAAAGTTTGCGCCTGAGCTTGTCCTGTGTTGACAGGAGCAGTGGTGGTGGCTTTGTCTTGCACGGTTGCTTGCTGCTGTCAGTGGTTTGTGCAGCCGTTCTGAACGGTCATGAAGCAACTGCTTACTACGACTGATCTTCCCGCTGCACTGCCGGTTTTTTAAGAAAATGTTGTAACTGCTTTGGTGGGCTGTAGGATTTCTTTAAAGTAACGACTTTATGTTTTGTTTCCCTTCTCCAGGTGTGGTGGCTGTTGATGACAAAAACTTTGCACTCTCAAGAATAGTTTCTCTTTGACTCTTTTAAAATAAGAAGTGTACGGTCAGTAGTTTCTTTTAAGTAACGTGGGACTACGATTGTGATGATCTTATCTTTACTGTGCTGCTTGATAACTGAGAAGATCATTGTAGACATCACTTATTCAAGTGAAGATATGACCAACACACTTGCATCCAAATTCGTAAATACCTCTTTCGAAAATCTCCTTTGACAAAAAAAAAAAACTAAAAAAAAAACAAACAAAACGCGTCAAGTTTCTAAGCCCGTACATGTACTTCGCAGTTCTCCCAGCATGCACGCATGGTAAGTGGCGTCACATTCATATGCACTGGCAAGAAATCATGTTGTGCATCCAGAAATCAGCATAAATTGCGTTTGTTCCCTGCACTTGTATATGCACCCCAAGCGTGTATCCGGTACCTTTTGACCGTTCGTTCCACTTCATCTTTTCAACCCAAAAAAAGCGCCATTGCACATTGCTGGAGTACCCAGTGGGAACAGGTAAGCCATGGTAGTTATGAATACTTGAGTTATTAGACAGTAGGTGTTGGGTATGGCATACTTCATGAAGTGACACATGTCACCGAAATAAAACGGTTGATTGTAAATTGAGTTGGTGAGACATTTGGAATGTCGTGGGCCACGTTCTAAATCTTGTGTTTATATTGTTCACAAATTCTGTACCTCGTTGTCCTAGCCTGGACATGCCTTGCAACTGTTGTCCTCAAGTTGAGTAGAGTGGAGGTGAACATTGTTGCACCAGTTGAGTTTTCAAGCGTTAACCCTAACACTCCTGAATCCTCCAACAGGTGAAGGATTGAGGAGTGTTAGGGTTAATGAGGTCCCCATGTTTTGACCCTCGCAGATTTTGACTTTCAAGAAATCAAATATTCTGCCAGTATCTAAACGTCAGGCCCTTCAACCTTGGTTATTAGAGCTCACTCTTGTCAGCGGTGTGCGGCAGCTTAATGTGCATTTTTTAATTCTCTCAGTTCACAAGCTGGCTGGTGACTTCAACTCCACAAATGTCTCGTGGGAATGTACACCAAGCAGTGGAGTAAACCACCCACAGTGGTACAAGTATACGTTTCTTGTGCATGGTTTCTAGGGGGCATTTCTGGAAGTTGAACAAACCACCTGTCTCGGTGCTTTTATTTTTGATTGACTCTTTGTAATCGATTTTTATGAGTACCTACCTAATAGAGCGAGCTTCTGTCTTGTCCATGGTTCTCTTTGCTGGGTACATGTAATTGCTTTACACTGTAACTTTCGTAACACTAGGCCTACAGAATTAATTATAGGACAGATATGGCTTTAAGTATTTCACAGTGATTCGTATTACATGTAGATGTATTTTGATTCGCAAGTTACCTAGCGACACTTATCGTGAAAACGTCGCCAGATCTCCAATTTTTGCCCAACGTATTGAGAAGAAATCCCCATTTCAATAGTGGAAGAATCTTTTCCTTAGCGCAGCACTGCGCCATTTATCTTCCCGCAGATAAACGTGTACATTGCGTACGTATTGTGCCGCACGCATTTCTGAATAATGGTGCGAGATTGTATTTATGGAGTCGTTAAGATAAGTCGAAATGCCAGGCCAGTTATATGTTACTAGAGTCGCACCCATGGATTGCAACTGAAGTTCACGGTCACAATATATACGATTATCTAGCGACTTGTCATGAAGTCTGCATTTCTGGCAGATACAGTTGCTTCTCGACATAAGAGCACTTGTAACATATCAAACACACACACACACAACTGTTACAGGGAGAGAATTCTTAAAGCCCGAAGTCTCGATTTTGTTTATTCTTTCTGTCTGTCAGGCCCCTTTATAACAAGGTTCTCTCCACACAGTAAGGTAAATAATTTAGCTAATGTCAAATTATTTTTACATGACTGGACTTTATATGTGTACGTGTATATAAGTGATGCTCGTTTAGGCACGGATCTTGACTGTGCAAGGCACGCATCAGTAGAAAAACAACCGCCAAGTTTCAGTTGCAAATCGGTAAGTTCGGTCTTTGCATGCCATGCAGTTTTACCTATATACATGTACATGTAGTTGGCTAATACGTAGTTTTACTTTAGAGAATAATGGTGTGTTTTGAAATTGTTTTCGAGTCAGTTTTCCTTGAAAGGTAAGCATTTTTGCCCTTGGTCGGCTCATTTTGTCTAGGGACTAATTATAAAAGTAGACTTTGTAACTGTTGAGAGAAGGCTAATAAACTGTTTCCTTGGAAACACCAAGAGGATTGTGCAAGGAGTTTGTTCTTGTCTGGGAGGTGTTTTACTCCCGAGGCTGCGTCGACGACGACCTTCCATGCAGTAGCTGCATGTACTTTGGGCGTTGGAAACGGATGTGTTGGAGCGTTTGAAGCTTAGGAAAGAATACTTGTTCAGGTCAGCTTTAATAGTGCAAGGTGAGTGAAAAAAAGGTTCAGTCATGGGCACTGGCGGGGGAAGGGGGCCAGTCCCCCCCCCCTTTTTGGGGAGGCGACCCCCTGCTTGTTGCTGGTTTCACAAGGGTATGAAGCTAAATGTGTTTGCCTGTTGATGGTTAATACCTGATGGTCTGACAACTGGCCCTCACCAAGAATAGTGTTCTGCTACATTTTATGGAATACACATTTCTCGTTAAAAGGGGGATATTCATGCTTGTGGTTAATTTTAATACACTCAATTTGGAATCTAAAAAAGGAAATGAGATCCTTGAGATTTTGTTCGGTTGTTGAAAAATATATACTAAAATGACATTCGCTTAAACCACATTAGATTTAAAACCAAAATGCATTCAATTTACCAAAAACAATTTTTGACCCAAATTCTACTTTGTAGTGGATGGCGTACTCCGACCGGTATACCAAGACATTTCACAAAATTCTTGGTACAGACGTGACCGGAAATGTCCGAATATTGCCGATACCATCCGAATCGTCTTTTTCTTCTGCTTTTACTCATTTGGCTACCAATCTTATTCATTTTAATCTTTGTGAATTTTTTTTTTACAATTCTGAGGAGCATTAAAGAAAAAGTGTTGACGTTAAACTGAATTTAATATGGACAGGATAAGTTCGGAATAGTTAGACCATTCCCGGAAATCTGAGTGTTGATCACGTTGAAATTGGGCGATACAGCAAGGGCCGTTTTCCAATACTCAACTTAGGCTCCGTCTCGGGCTTCATCTGTTCTTTACTAGCTGACTTTGAAGCTGTAAGTGCAGTAATCAGTCTTATAGTGCCACAGAACATCAAATAAGATGCAAAGAAGCCAAAAATTACAGTAATCTAATGTAATTTAAACGCTTCAGGCCCACAATCGGGGATTGGTTTTGGGAACGAAGCCTGAGACGGAGACGACGTTGAGTATTGGAAAATAGAACCCTAGATTAATTAGAAGAGTAGTCAGAATCACTGGGTCTGGTATCTAGACTGAGTCTTAATGTGCAGCGAGTTGAGCTAGTTACAGCTATTAAACTCGCCGCGGCGAGATAGTAACTCGACTAATTTTTCCTGCAAGTTGCCCTCTTAAACGCCGCTTCCGTAAACTAGAAGCTCCTTTAGGTAGAAACAATTGGCAATAAAGCACACGTGGCCATGGGTGACGCCTGTATATGCCTTGGACCTTGTATGTGAACCGTGGCGGTTGACGTGTGGACACGCGCCATAATTTTTACCATCACTGAGGACAGTTGAAAAAACTGGTAAAGAATGAAAATACTGACGCCTAAACTTAGAGCTGTGCCTCCCTACATATTATGGATGTCATTTAAATTGCAAGAAGAATTTGCGGGAAAAATACCGCCCCTGTTAGCGTTTTCGTGTAGAGCCTTTTTGCGGGGTTCGTGTAGGCTGATTCGGTACCCAGAAATACCATCTGATCTGGGCAAGACCTGGCGGCACGCATGTGACTCTAGCGAGCTGGAGATAGATATAATAGTTTGTAGTCCCCCAAACCAGAAAGTACATTAAGCTGATTCGGAGAATTAGCGATAAACGCGAATGCGCTTTGTATTATATTAAAATGAGGTGAGCAAACCGACCTGAGTTTGAAATGTCTGCTGGGCAGGCCTATGGCTGAATGGGCCTGGATGGTTACGAAATCGAAGAGGGACTATCATCATTACAGAGCTCATGTTTGTTTCCTGTTTTCAAGTTCAGCACTGCATCCTTAAAAACACCGCAGGTTTTGTTTTCGCCTCTTATTCCTTTATTATCTCCTCCTTTTTCAACAATTTATACTGCAGTCGTACTCCTCGGGATTCTTGGGAAGGGCAGGGTGACTTTTTCCTGTGTTTGTTTTGAAGTCGAAGTATGGCGCCTACGTGCGCTAAGACAATACAAGCCAAGGGTCAACGGGAAGCGCATTGTGATTACCTGAACAGCAGGTTGAAATAGTCTGGAAACCGCACCTGTGAAAAGACTGCGTAAATCGAGACAGGGATCAGGTCCGTCATGTGAGGAAGGGTAATGTTTGATTGATCACGCGTCCAGCTAGCTTGTCTAGTCTGCTAGTGCGTCCTATTAATTGCCAGCCAGGCTGAGCGCTAGCGACGTCGGAGCTGCTGGACAATTCGACCGATTTGCAGCGCAAAATGGCGGCCTCCCCGAAAGCTAAAAAGCAGAAGACTGGGGAAGGAGCAGTGTCATCGTGGCCTAGGTTCTCAGAGAGACTTGATGAATCAAAGATCGCAGAGATGTTCAAGGAGAAGGGTTACATTCGGGTAGGTAGGTTGCCATGGTTGCTCAAGTCAAGACTATAAATTAGGCTATTGGCATTGCATGGACATGATGGAATCAATTTCGCGATAAATTGTAGCTGCATCAGTAATCCATCCATTTCAAGGATTGTATTCAAAGGTAATAATCACCAAAGACTGAGCAGTATACAGCAGGTATTTTAGTTGTGTAAGGCTGACATATATCAAGTAGGCCTATATATATTGTTTTTGTGCAATTGTGGCAATGGCACGGCTTATAAAACCATTCAAAGTTTTATTGGTCAGCTTGGATTTTGTTTTTAGTTCGCATGGTTGCCAATGGTTGGGGGGAGGGGAAAATGCATTTTTTCCCCCAAAAAGAACAGTCCTATTTTTCACCTATACAGGAATCTTTACCCATCATAAACATGCAACAGGGGAAAATGTTTAATTTGGCTTACAAATTAATTGAATGTACACGTATTAGCAAGAAAACGAAGAGCATGAGGAGGGAATTATGCAGGCACTGTGCAAGGAAGAAACAGCCACCAGTACCGGCACGGACCGGTATGCCTCTATACATAGGGGAAACAAGATGAACTGGAGAACACTTAACCCTAACCGCCAAGCATATTGTTTGGCTTACACTACACAGTACTACAAAATACTAAGAAATAGTCTGAGCCTGAAGGACCTAGCGCTACAGATTACTACTTCTGGCTAGGTTACTTCCATTGTTACTTGTACAGAGAACAATAAAGCCATGCATTCATAGTGCCAGAGCACTGTATGATACATTGTCCTACAGTATCTATTTTATCTTATGGCTTCACAGAACAATAAAGTCATGTCCTCTTACAAGTGACAGCGCTCAGTACTACATTTTACTACAAGTATTATGTAGGGTTATTATTATTCATTTAAATGAAAGATTGATAGGCCCTAATTGGTAAATTGGACTTCACCGTTGCTTGAAATCCCCAACCATTGCCGTTATTACTTCAAAACCTGACGTTCCCTTGGCCCAATCCAGTTTCCCATACTATTTGATTTGGACTTTACCGTGTTTACAGGCTGACACATTTATCTCTGAAGATGAGCTTAAAACCATCAAAAAGGAACTGAAAAGATACCAGATCGACGTCGTTCCTGACTTGCCTCCAAAGATGGCCTTCTATGAGGAGAAAGGCAACAAAGATACGATCATTCGCCTGGAGAGAATGCTGGATCACGATGAATTCTTCAAAGTGAGTTCTGAATTGCTTGAAATAGCAAAGTACCATTGTATATTGACTTTTTTTACGAACAGAAAACTTTACATTAAAACTTCAGGTTGAAGAGGGCGGGGAATACCTTTACCTACAAATGGATACATGTACATGTCTGTGTTAGGGATGATCAGGCATTCAGCATGATCACACCTTCACGTTGCACTGTCAGTTGATCAAGTACAAATTACACATGTATATAAAATCTCTGACTTCCCCCTTTTTGAAGCAGTCGTCCACAACCACAAATTTGAAAGAGAGGGTTAATTGGTGATGCCAGAATCCACGAATCGTGCAATAAGTTCAACAGATTGCACAAAGATTGAGCGATTTTACAGAATTAAAAGAATATAATGTACAGGACAATGTACATAGAATTAGGCTCGGGGCAAGGCATCATAAGTTTCTATATTTTATTGATTTGTCGAATAAAAGGACATAGGTTCCGCGTGATTTTCTAGGTTGGATTGTTCAACCAGAAACACAGCTACTTTTATGTTTGGCCTTAGAAGTAGTCACACTTGTACTCGTACTCCTAAGTTCTTGTACTTGAAAACCAGTACTTGTACTCGGTTGGCAAAGTACTCAGACTTTTATGTACTCGGACATCTAACTACTCGGCAGTACTCTGTACTCAGAAAAAAGAACTCGACTACAACACTGCTACCAGGTTTTCTCGACTTCAACCTTCCAATCTCTTCTGACTGATTCTGATTGGTCAATTTTTCTCCTGCCCGACCTCTGACGCAGGATTTGGGGGAGTCGCCTGCATTCAACGGGCTGGCCGACCTGCTCCTGAACGAGGAGTGTATCCCCAACAATGTGCAGTATTTCTCCAAGCCACCAGGAGCCAAGTGCACTCCGCCACATCAGGATGGCAAATATTTCATGCATGACAGAGGTCAGCAGTAATCACTACCAAGCTTTGTGTATGCACGTATTATTTGAGATTTCTTTTCGTTGGTCTGGGGGAAGGAAAAAAGAACTTCATGTATAAATAATGAGACAGGGTTCTGATCTGTCAACTGGACAGCTAGCAGATGCTTCATTGTAACAACTCATTTTAAGGGTATTTCGGAAACCTCTCTTCGTTTTTAATTGAGTCTACTTGAAAAAAGTGTCATGAAATTGTATCCGCTTGGAGTTAAGGTTTTACCAAATTAAAAAGATGAGGGATTTTTTCATTCAAAATTGGTGGCCAAGACTAGGATTCGGGATGGATGTACCCATTAGAGTTTGGGTTAGACGTGCCCTGAAGGTGGTGATTTGAAACTTCAAACAAAATTTACCTTGTTAGTCACGGTGTTAACTTGCGTCAAATGGCGATTTTGTTTCACCCATCAGGTATAACCTTTTGGCTTGCCCTGGACAACGTTGATGTTGAAACTGGGTGTCTGTACTATGTCCCTAAGTCGGATAGGAAGGGGGAACTAGAGCACTGTAAAACAGATGCCTTGGGCTTCAGCCAGGCCCTCGTGGATTACCAAGACTGGATGACGGAGACGGAGGAAGAGATGCCAGCCACGAAAGGTCAGTCGGGTCACCAGCAGGCAAGAAGTGTACATTGGGAAGGCTAAAAAGCTTGGGGATGAGTCAGGAGGCCACCAGAAAGAGTGGGTCACAAGAGAGGTTGGTAGGTCACAAACGGTTCGGAGGTCACGTCAGGAAAGCCGTGTTGATAGGATGTTGTTGCAAGGGTCAGGAAGCTGTGGAGAAGAGTGGCTCATAAGAAAGATTAGATACAAGAAAGGCCACCAGGTCACTGAAGAGAGTCGGTACCCACAGCAGAGGACAGTCTGGCACATACTGAGGTTCAGTGAGCTGCCAGTTTTGAGTAAAATACGAGAGACCTTCTCATTCAGACTTGTTTATCTATCCCTTTAATTTCTGCTGAACAGGAACCCTCCTGGGCCACCATCCTTACATGGTTCACAGGGCGGGAGAAAATAAGTGAGTTGATCTGATATTGGGCTGTTGATCTTGATTGAAAAGGAAAAGCTTTTGTGTTTAATTCTATTTTTTTCCCCACCATTTTCCTTCTAAGTGAGGAAAATTTGGTTTTAAGTTCACAGCAAGATTTCCGGCCATTAAAATTGCATCGTTCAATGATTACCTTCCGCCTTGAGTTTCATTCCAAAATCTCTTGATTTTTTTGGGCTTCATTGTCAGTGAAGCTTCAGCAACAATGACTTTTAGCCTTCATAATGTTAGAATTATAAAACGAGATCTCCCTGCTTTGAAGAGTTTGACTCGAGCATCTATCAGTTTGATCGGTAGTGACGTTTCACAAGTTGCCGGCCAGCTAGTTACGTGTATTTCAGTTCTCCAATTCTGTTGTCTCCATGTTAAGGTCTGAAGAGCGCTGGCGACCAGCTCTGGGGCTGACGTACTGGGCCAAGAGTGCTGTCAACGATAAAGAGCTGCAGAAGAAACACGCCGACTACCATGCCAAGCTCATGAGCGAACTCGCCGACAAAGGACGCATTTAAGAACACACACAATGGCCACGGGACAGCTTGTGACGTCATCGCAACGGGTTGTCAAAGAAATAAGCTCTCACTCTTCAGTCATGTTCAGTCAGGAGTGGTTTAAGTTTCAGTGGGTCACATGTGGTTGAGAAGCAAATTTATTATTTTTTTTTCAGTTTCAATGTACAGATTCACATGAAGTAATTTGCATGACACTCAATTGTAGTGGACCAACTTTGTGAGGCATTTTGTTATCCAAATCATTCCTGGCTTTGCTCTGGCGTTCTTGGAAGGGGAACTTGTAAGCAGCATGCATCTTCAGTAGTTGTGGTATTTTGCTGCCTTTGTACCTATAGATTGTGGAAGAGTAAAGCTGATTCTATGGGGCTTAACCCATACATACTGTACAAAGAATCTGCCCATGTTCTGCGACCGTTTGGCATTCTGTTGGCACATGCGAAGGGGTGCGCCAAAAATGAGCCAGATGAGTACTTCTTGAAGGTGCGTTGTTTCAGGAACCAAGCAGGTGCGCGAGTCGGTATATGGCTAGGCTGCACACACGTGCTGCTGTTCCGCTATAGCCTCCAACATGCTTCAGTTTGGGCATGCGCTGTTGGGATATGTATACCAACCTGGCTCTTGGCAAAGGTTAGGGATGACCAAGCCTTTGCAGCGACCAACTCTGCTCCGAGCGAGATGCGATGGAGAGCAATAGTGGTTAAGAAGCTTGCTCAGGAACACAAGTGCTTTGACCTTTGGTAGGATATTAACCTGCTCTCATAAACTGCATCACAATGACAAATACCAGTCAGTACTTAATTTCTCTGTTACACATTGAGGCACACAAGCGTTTATTAGTTGTTTGAATGTGCCCCCGTTCAAGATGCATGTACCAGTTAAACTTTCTGAAGTTCTTGACTAGCCTCAAGGCTGGATCCGGAACTAAATTGTCAGCGGGCAAAACATGTTTTGGGATGGCAAAACTTGGCTTTTTACACTTTTTTTGAAATAGGAGAAACATCACTTTTCAATATTTAAAATTTACAAAAATGGCCCTTGGTTGAGGAACGCATGGCCCCACCCGGATCCACCCTTGAATTGGCCGATAGTTATTCTTGTTTAGCATTTGTACTCGTTAGATATTTCATGCCCTCTTTGTCCACGGTTCAGTCATTTGACATAAGTAAACTTAGCTGGGGCATGTTTTGTCTATTACTTGCCGTAATCTCCCCTTCTGAGTCTCTTATCAGACATATTCTACCTCTTGGTGGCAGTAGACAAACACACCTCAGCTGTGTGTTGAAATGCTTTGTCATTGAATGGGTCTCGTAAAGACCTTGCTACCAGTCTTATTTCAACTCGTGATACATGCTGTTGGAGAAATTCGCAGTAGAGAGTTTGCGCGGCTACCATCTTGCAAGGCGGTTCTTTTGTTCCACGGGGAAACCTCCTTTGTGCATACCGCATGAAACAGAAGCAGTGGCCTGCAAGATGACAGCCATGCAAACCCTCTATAGCGATGCCAGAGAGCCTACATGCAGTAGCCACCTTTATGGTTGACGTCTTGCACATCCGTACTTCATCATTAATGTGCTGTATTGCACAAGCACATGCGCATTTGGAGTGTTAAAAATGAACAGAACTATACAGCTAACTTCCAACTTGTTAAGTGTCTCGAAAAAAGATAAACCGCTGACTGGATTTTGCCAAAGGAATACCGTTTAGGTGATCATTTCTTACAGCGAGCTTCGAAGGGGGGGGGGTTTGATTCCGTAGTACCTCAATTTTCTCCATTTTGCGGAATCAAGTCTTTCCTGCAAGGCAGGGGCTGCATCTGCGTGTCGAGGCTACAGCTGACAAAAGTATGGGGGCCGATGAAAACCATTCACTAGCGACGATAGGCCACTTCCAATGGGCGGGGTTTGACTCCCATCCGCAGCCAGCTAATGTGGACCCAAGGGCGAGGTTTTGTGCACGGTGTACAATCTATTTACGTATGACCATCCTCTACAATTGGTGTAAATATGTTAACCATGGTTAAGGTTAAAAGTGGTCAGTTCCATATACAGTTGGATTTAATTATTTGAAATCGGGAAATGTGAATATTATGGGAATTTTATTTTTAATGGTGCCAAATTGGAAATATGGAGACTTTTATCTTTTACGACTGGAATGGTTTTTCATCAGAAAAACAGGGAATCTATATACGTGGGTCTATAATACTTGTATGTGAGTTTTGATAAGTTCTACCTGTAGATTTATGTATTTTATTTTTTCTTAAAAACAGTTATGGCAAAGTTATGACTTATCAGAAACTTAGTTTCTCATATTTTACAAGTTAAATGTATCAAATATTACTGCACTCAAACTTTGTTTTTACAGACTTGGCTTCATTAGCGTTTCACAATTTGTTGACTTCGTATTAAATCTAAAATATATTGCGTATTAACAAAGTTGTCCGACGTTTTTGAACTGAAATTCCTTATGTCAAAATATACTGAGGTTCAGTGTAGCCAACAGGGTGTCAACTGAAGGGCAAAATCGGGAGGCCAAGTTAAGCAAACTCGGAATAGCAACTGGATATATTAATTCAGTACATAACACAGACACAAGCCATAGCATCAAACCAGTGAGTGATCTTTATTTAGGAAATTCCACGTTGGTTAAACTCAGTTAAATCACTTGTACCGTTCAAAATCATGAGAAGCAGATGGCCGAATACTTGATGCCATTCAGGAATTGTTTTGTCTGTCGGCAAATCTCTGGGACAATACATGTATACGTCATTCAAATTATTACTTCAAGGATTCGCGTTTGTACCACAGCTCATTATTTTGCTTGAAAAAGGCGGAAGATTAGTACACTTTCAGGCCATGCAATGCATTTTTTTTTTTGGAGAAGCAGGTCTGGATAAATAACTTGATACATTCGCACGGTCGTTAAGATGTTGGCTTTGATAAAGAAGTTACTGAGTGACAAGAACAATTACGAAGCTGACATCTTCAATTCACCTGTGAAATGGCGCAGAAATTAAGATCAAGTGGATCAAAAGACATGGTCACACCTCGTTACCAAATGTGTTTCCTCCAAGAAACAAACGTCCAGGAGGTTTACATTTAAGTCTAAATGCATAAATATACCGATGACAGTTTAGTCATTCCTAATAGTCGAAAGCCCTCGCGTGTTAGAGGTCATTGTACTAGGTAATTATTCTCTATCGATAACACACCGGTTGGCTGTACGCCAGCTCACGCAGTAGTACGTGCCATGTGTGAGTCCATCCACCATAATTAGAAGGTTGTTTACGACTACTCGCAAGAGGAACGTAACATGGCTAGAGGGCGTTAGAAAAAAAATGAGTTTCAATTGTTGAACAACTTTGTCCGTATTTTATAATTTTAAAACTTGTTTCACCTCGACGTACGGCAGCAGAACGATTTTCAAAGTGGGGGTGGGGGGGCAGCTAAGCGACCATCAGGAATCAGCCGTTAAAAGGCGGATTCATTAACCCTAACCCTCCTCAATCCTTCACCTGTTGGAGGATTGAGGAAGGTTAGGGTTAAGCCCCAACCCATTACAGGACCTGCAAAGCCAGTGTTTTGCCTTTGTGACCCGAAAAGGTACCGTATTTATGAACGGGAATAAAAAATGTGCCAGGCTCAGGAGAATGGAGGCTGATAAAGTCCCTCACCTTCAGCTGCGGCATTAATGTCAGCGGCCATATTCCAGATCCGGTCTTGGACAAATTAATACCGGCCAAGCACATCGTAACCCCGTAGTCAAAACAATAATCAGAGAGCTCTGTACAGAATTTGGCACAGGCGACAGTGTTCCTCAGCAAAAAAGGAACAACTGTTCTACATAAATCAGTGGTCTCTAATTAAATGGCTGCATATGTAATATAGCCTATAAATATGTATTAGCAGCTGACCTGAAGCAAACCATGGACTCTAAAGTTGATGGCACGGAAACCTCCCCAAACTAATATAAAAATAACAAACCAGTTTGTGTGTACTTAGAATATACCACACCTTATATACATTATATCAACAGACGTAGACACACTTAACTTTATACTGGTAAATACCCGAAGAGCACGACCCACGAAGGATAGGGCCAACGTGGTCGTTGCCCCTTCGAAATAGACAAACTTCAGATCAGTGGGTTGAGTTTGGTACAATGTTGACTTTCTTCAGGAACGAATTGCACCTTGCTATCGAGCCAGTGTTGTTTTTGTTACCTAGCGCACTCAAAGTTAATGCGAAGTGACAGGAACACTGCTGAAAACTATGGAGGAATAAGTGGGAACAAAACATCGTGACATGAGAATGAACAGGACACTAGTGTCAGTTCAGCGAATTATCCAAATGAAACAATGGGTCACGCTTTATTGGTAACGTTATACCAACAGTGTTGCAGTTGAGACACACAAGACCTTCACAAGACCACACCAGACCTCCAGTCGGAATTCAAGTCACAAGCTTTTCAAAGGAACTGCAAAGAAAACCAGTCCTTTGTCATTGTCCGCCCTGTTACTTGGCATCTTGTGCGTGGTCTTGTGTCCTGTGATGGTCTCGATTACACCACTGTATACCAATACTTCGAGAATGTACATGCACTAGAGAACCTTGTTAATGAGCAACTTTTCCTACCTCAATGGTACGACGGAATAACACTGATATGATAGTAATGTTATTAATTCGTGCACGCTGAATATAAGCGATGGATATTGTAATGTTTAGAGCAACCCCGTTCAGCGCTTGGACTGTCCGACGAGGCCGTGTCCAAATGACGTGATTGCGGCTGGAGATTACGCACGGGTCAATGGGGGGGCAGAAACGCTTCCCATTTTGTCGTGCTATATGTCAAAATGCAGCTTATAAGTAATTCAGAAGGGCCTTGGTTATTGTCGCTGGGGTGATGAATGACACTGAACAGGCAGCGGTTCCAAAACTCCAAGTCAGGTTTATGATTAATGACAACAAAACGTGCATACGTAGTTAGTTGCGTAGAGGAAATTACAAAAACAGGACACTGGTGTTCAAGGGGTATCATTTAAAGAAAACCTAGCAACCGATGTCGGCCATTTGCTTATTTCAGATAACAGACTGAAGTTAAATCGATCTCGCCTCTTTTGTGCGTGTACGCCAAACATCACGTTGGTCTATGCAGCATTATTATGGGCTATGGACTGCCCTGTCAACAAATGAAACACCGCTAACAAAGGTGTTCAAAAAGGCTGTCCCTTTCTTCACTGTACTTTCTGCATTTAAAAAACAATTTGCAGAATTGCAAAATCTTTAATATCCTCTAGCTCGGCCAATTTATGTTCGCAAGGGACACTTCGGTAAATGATGTACTTTTACGCGAAGTAGGTAACTGGGAAGTAAAGCTTATACACACTAATGAGTAGAGTGAACACTCCTTGAATCAATCCAAACAGGGCTTCAAAGAAAGAATAACCTTGCTTGAGTGACCACCTCTTCTTCTCAAGCGCTCCTTTTCTTATGTGTTCAATCCAGTGGTCAAGCTAACATGACCAATACGCAAGTACAAATACACGTTGTAAAATATCGATGGGTGACTTAGAATTCAGGAAGATTATTACACATGATTGGTTAATTTTTTTGTCCTATTTACATAACATAACTCTACATAAGATTTGATGGAAGACAAAATTGAAATGATCAAGGAAAAGAAGGTTTAAAATGCCACATATTTTTGTTAAATTACAGCTTGCCGTGCCCAATGTACAGTCATCCGCACAACACTGCTATACATGTATATTGATGCAGCCTGAATACAGTGGAATAGCCGACTGTCATCCCCCTCCAAGTGAAAAGATTTCCGGGAAAGACCTACTTTTCAGACAAAATTATACAAGGGACTGTATACTGGCGATAGGCAGCATCGCCTGCAAAACTTCAGAAAAGCGCAGCAATGAAGCATGGCAATCAGCCAAGCCTTGTTCATCAGTAAAGTTCAAATCCATAGCAGATAATGTACTTACATGCCACTGCCGACAACTAGGTCGACCAAACAGGGGGAGATTAATACAGGTACCGTAGCTCGAAGGTAACCAAACATTGACCAGGCTCATCGGCTCAGAAATCTTTCTAAACATACGTTTCTGGCAATTTTAGATGAAAGAAAAAAGTTGTACCTTGCAAAAACACTTTAAGGTCAATGTATTCACTACAGGTGGTAACACATTGGTTTCTGACTGCCAACAATTTGTGACTCCTCTTCCTATATTGCGAAAAAAAACTTGGATGCTTAGGAACGGTTTTCCACATTTATAGGTTGCTTCAAGTTTCTCTTGAACTTGTTCTTCCCACAAAAGTAATCAGTCAAGCCCATGACAGCCTTTTAACAGCACAAGAATTAACAGCTGACGACAATTCCAAAATAACTTTGCTTTCAAAAAAATAAATTCATATAAAAACCTGCGAAACAAAGCCGCGATCCGCATATACAGCATATTCACATCTACTGAATATTCAATCATACAACTCCAGCCACAATATCTACATCTTTACAGTTGCCTTTGCAAGAGCCAATCCGTGTGCAAGAAAGGAACAAGTATGGACAAACTTTGTCGAGTTGCATTGTGGGAAGAGCCCATTTTATCACAGGCCGCAGTTTTCAGGAAAAAATCTACGTGTAAAAAAACCTGGAAACTCGAAATAGTATATACAAAATTTTTCGCATATTTAAGTAGGCCTCCCATGATGCAATAAGAATTTATTTGACAAAGGTCATGTTTGGTTGACCTCGGTCATGCCTATACAAGTCATATGGAGCTTACCTCAGCCCAAAGGAGTTAAGCAGCTCGAGTTATTACAGCAACAGGAGCAAGATTTTTTAGGATTTGTTGGTTTATTTATACGTATTTATAACTTGACCTTATCAGTCTGAAAGGGTCAGAGTTCAAAGGTCGCTTGCACTGTCAGTTGTACCAGTATTTGATCATGGCCTGCCGGACCCAGGTCATCTCGGGGCTGGAGGCGCGGCTCTCATTGATGCTCATGCTGGACGCCGACCGGCAGATGGATGTCTGGGGGCTGAGCGGGCTGGAGGCCATCTCCTGGATTTCGGGGCTGGATGCCGAGCGGCTGGACACCACCGAGGAGCTGCGGCTCAGGCCGCAGAAGCACTTGCGGCTGACGGGCAAGGTGCTACCCAGGAGCTTGAGGAGGGTCTCGTACTGGCGTTTACGGCCGTTTTCCAGCGGCTGCTTGCCGATGATGGTATTGTTGTTGTTGTTCTGTTGCATGTCTGTTGAGGGGACGCAGTGGGGTACTTACTACAATTAGTAGTGATTAGTATATGGTTGTTAAGTGTAACCACGGTGACAGGATGAAGGAAGCAACAAGCACATATAAACAATGTAAGCAGAATGTACCACCCCAAAAGACGACTAATTCAGTTGATCAGTAAGTCTCGAAATGATCTGTGACAAAGGCATGCCTTTTCATTCGTTGGGAAATGGGCATCATTTACTCCCCGCTTCTTATGAAGTTGAGTTTGGATTTGTCTTTGACTTGCGTCCAACTTTGAAGGGGGAAAAAGGCCAGCAACAGGCAATCCTTGAACTGAAAACATGCACAAATTCTTGGTGACTGGAAAAAAGAACAAATACCACTTAAACAAAACATGCAGTGGCACGGTAGTCATGCATTAAGTACATATAAATGCTCATTCGGGAGAAATCCTTGCAGTGAAGCAGCTGGCATTTAACATAACTGCCACCTTAACAAATCTTCAGCATCCCGTGGACACTGTTGTGGCCCCTTTCTTAAAAGTCCATCAGAAGTCATCCAGGCTTCAGAAAAGTCCCAAGCTTAAGGAGGTCTGACAAATCATTGTTCAACCTGCCACTTGGGACTTTGTATGAAAGAAACTTGTGACAGACTTGACCCTGACACCACCCATGCTTGCAGTAGACGGGGTTCATGTACTGTTTGAAGTTAGAACAGGAATTCTTTCACAAACTTTTCCATTCTGTCAGTGCAGGAAGAAAAAAGTTGTTAATTAGACTGAAAACAGGATGACCAGTTTCAAAACAACACCAGTCGATGCTGAAACTGAGAACAAAGCATGCAGGCTCTTCAAGTTCAACATTTAAACAAAAGGTGAATTGTCTGCAATGTTTTACATGGTCAGACCATGCAAAGCAAAATAACTGTTCACAGGCTCTGCAAGGGTAGAGATGTGTTAAGGAGGGCAGGGTTCTTTTCTAGAATATTGTGGACAGCATGCAACTTGGCGCAAAATGTTCCTGCGAAATAACCACAATAATTACGCTTATATTCTGCACTTTTCAACCATTTTTTTTTTATCACAATAAACTGAAACAACATGACTTAACTGAATAACTTAAAATGTATTACGTCATAGAAAAAATACTTTTCCAGAAGTGGAATATTTCCTCTAATTTTTACAATACATTGGCGAGTAAAAACAATCATAAACAGGACGGTCAGACATACGAATTTAAAAAGATTTATGATAAACTTTAATCAGTTCTCTTTCATTACAAAAACTGCATAGTGAACAGTAAGCCTACTTGTTACAAAAGTTGGTATTCTTGTCATTTTCTAAATTATATATGTCCGCAACTCTTGTTACAAAAGAGGGCGTGATTGTCTTTTGCATTTAACAATTTTTTTTTCAAAATATATTGGAAATTTCAGTCAACTGAACAGCATATCAGAAAATGAAGCCAACGTTTCTGTCCAAATCAAAGGGAGAAAAATGCACAAAATACGGATAAATGCATGCAAAGTGGAGAGGACAGGAGGGAAAACAGAACGGGAGTTGCAACATTGCAAAATAAATGGTTGAACATCTCTTGCACATATTGGCACAGAGCATCGGTGTATGCCAATTGGCCACCGGCACAACTCCTTGACACAACAGAAAAGCTGTCTGGACAGAGTCTCTGAGTTTTGCAAGATGCTGCTCTGTCCAGAGTGGTAACCATGCTTACTTCGTCAGTTTAAATTACTGTCACTGATTCTCTTTCTGAAGCATTTTCAACATTTGTCGGGAGAGCTGATTTTTGATGAGGGGGGTTGTGTCGTGTGGCAATTCGCATACACAGTACACATCAATGACATTGCATCAGCTGGTATTCAACAGATTATGTGCCACAGAGAAAGATGGTAGATTGGAAGAACAAAAGAAATCCACGGAAGTTAATGAGTTTACGAGTAAACTCAGGTGTTATTTTGGAAACGACATTATGGGTTACAATTTCAATAGCCAAATATGCAAGATTCATGAAATGACTCAGTTGGGGGCAGTTTTTAAGTAGCTGATTTTTCATTTTGACGATTCTTGTTTTTACAGAATGCAACTGTTTGGTTTTACATATATATATAAAAAAAAGAAAAGCATTTTGTGATATGACATCTTTCATGCAAAATCAAAGACACAAGGTGTAGCCAGTGATTTGCAAGAATTGCCCTAGGCCTGTAGCTCAAAAACAAATCAAATTCGAAACTTGGCAAGATACAGCTACATGTCACAGAAATAAAAAAAAAACCACAGTCACATGTTATACCATCGCAAAAGGAAATCATCAACTGTTTCGGTGACGGCTTACATTTAGTGACTGGAATTTTCACAGTATTTACAAACATTTACAAAGGTGTTTTATAATGCAGGGGATCTGTTTTTAGGGGGTCCATAAAGACAACACTGACGGCACTGCTCGGTCAACCGTAACTCAAACCACTCAATTGTCTCAGATTTCAGTCAGTTGCGTTAAAAGTCCGAGTAACAAATGCAACAGTGTCCTTTGGAATTTTAGGTCATCCCTAGCCAGGTCAACATTCGACCTCCCTTGGAAACTGCTGGATCAACAGATTAAGGCAAAGATTTGATTTCCCTCATTTCAGTTTATCCATGTGGCCAAACAAAAACTGATTTCCACAACTCTGTTCTTACTTGTCTTCGTGCACCATGGAAACTTTTTATAGTTTGAGCACACACTTGTCTTACGATTCAAATTTGAGGAAGAGAACTAAGACACTTTGAGTGGTGCGAGTGGGTCGCCATGGCAACTGTTCTCAGGTGATGCAATCTCAAGGCTGTGACTCACTCATGCGAATCCACCTTGTCAGGTCCTCAATGTCGATCAGCTTGGAGTCCTGCTCCATCTGTAGCTCGTCTCGCCGGATCAGCAGCTGCACCAGCTCCTCATTCAGGCCTGGACCGAAGCGAGACAGGGAGGAGAGATGAAAAATGTGTGTTGATGCACAATATGTGTTTGATATATTACATCTTGAAAATAGTTCGCGGTACCCGCTGCTTCATTTGAC